TTTGGCTCACCATCCGAGTTAACCAGAAAACAATTCTGCAAGTACATGACAAGTAGGAGCACGTACCGGTAATCAAACATGTTGGCTATGCCCAGGTGATGGCAATCACGTGCAAAGTAATCCCACTTGTCTACGTCAATGCCTGTCCGCTTGTTGGCAATGATCTGAAGAAGAACAGCCGAAACCAGAGCAGGACGTTACCAAAGCAAATACAACACAGTCTGTATGGCCAGTGGCTACTACTAAGGGGAGTTCGAGAGTGAACACCACACATACACACACAACAAATGTGAGCCAGATACATAGATGTAGCTTAGAATGGCTGAGTAGTCACCGAACAAATCCTCGCAAGAAATAAATGGACGCCGTCACCGCCATATCACGAGAGATTTGACAAAGTGACCGTGTCCAAACTCGACCTTACCTCATACAAGAAGCTTTTGTCCTTGCCACGGCCCTCATACTTCCAATCCCGGTCCGAGTCCTGGGTAGAAACAAGAGTAAGCGTAAGCGTTGTCGAAGCAACACACAGCATACACAGCAGTATGGGTACACAGGATAGACAGCGCTCCAGGCATCAGGGGTACATCTCACACCCAGTCCAGCTGTTTCCAAATTTAGATCGTACTTGCTTGGTAGCAGACAAAGGGCAATCATGCCTCTAATGTACAGCAGGGAGTCGTAGCATCTAGAAAGACAACACGGGCGACTGTAGCGCAACACCTTATCACATTTAGAAGCCTTTCCTCAGCAAATTGTGGTATGAATAATCATAATTCCATCTTCAATCGTTTCACTCCTAGTTCTAATCAAGTCCTACCTGCCCATGTTGAGGCCCAGCGATCATCTCCTCGATGAAGATAACATCCTGTTCAGAGATCCCACGCTCAAAGAACGCCTGCTGAAGCTCATTGACTTCGATCATGTGTCGCAGCATGTTCACAGATGCGTCCTCATGCTGATAGTGAGACAACACGTGAGGCAGAACAGCACGCAAGTGGCAGAAATCAACGACTAGCAATAAAGCAAAGCGGATTGAACTTTTTTCAGTACACCCAACTCGCAACACACAAACAGTCCTTGGCTACATCACGTACAGTAAGTTGTCCAAATGTTCACCCAGAAGGGCATCATCAAGGATATAGGATTGAACTTCAGAATTGTGTGTCGCTCCCTACGTGGGAGCTCACGCTTTTCCTGCGACTTGCATCTCACTTGACCGATTCACAATAGGATCTAACTTAGGATCCGACTTGTGTCTCATATTCTGCTTGTCAACCAGGAAGATAGCGCCCTGATCCCCGATCAATGACCACCCACAATAATGGGCAAGATGGTCTACTTCAAGACAAAATATGCAGGGCTTCAGGATTACTAGACGCATTGTATGACTAATAGCCTCCTCGAAAACAGACAAATGTATCCACAGAACATCAAATAGCTGATAACTGCAATGAGAAGAACATAGGATACAAGGTCATACTGAGCTGCATACTAGTATAAGAATGTTTCATAATGAACAAGCAGAAGAGTAGCATACCCGCCAGTCACTCTGGCTATCAACCATCGGGATGAACTGAGCATCAAACATGTGTGAGAAGGGACCATGACCTACACCAAACAAACAGAAGCCAGCAACAATACAATCAGATTGTGTGTGTGTGTGTGTGTGTGTGTGTGTGTGTGTGTGTGTGTGTGTGTGTGTGTGTGTGTGTGTATGTGAGAGTGAGTGAGTGAGTGAGTGAGAGAGAGAGAGAGAGAGAGAGAGAGAGAGAGAGAGAGAGAGAGAGAGAGAGAGAGAGAGAGAGAGAGAGAGAGAGAGAGAGAGAGAGAGAGAGAGAGAGAGAGAGAGAGAGAGAGAGAGAGAGAGAGAGAGAGAGAGAGAGAGAGAGAGAGAGAGAGAGAGAGAGAGAGAGAGAGAGAGGCAGAGAAAGAGAGAGGCAGAACGTATAAAGAAAGATAGATGAAATACAATATAGAGTCGCAGATCGAGAAGGAAAGAATTAGTTCCAGAAAACGTAGAGCAGACCATTGGCCATCACTCACCCAGGTCGTGGCAGAGTCCAGCCAGCTTAACACACAGCACGTCCACATCATTGATCTTCAACGATGGCTGCCGCTGTCGCAGCTTGCCAACCAGACAGCCCGCTAAGTGAGACACTCTACACGTGAGAAAACACCAATGAAACACCAAAACATGATGCATGGGATACATGTATACGCACTGCTGCACGTATATGTACAGTAAAACCTGTCAAGGTGACCACCTGCCTCAGAAGACCACCTGCCTCAGAAGACCACCTGCCTCAGAAGACCACTGTAACCAGGACCCAGTGATACTATCTGCAGCCAAACGACCGTGGATAAGGGGACCACCTGGCAACAGAGACCACATTTTGCAGGTCCCTTGAGCGGTCGTCTTAGACAGGCTTCACTGTAAATGTACGTGAAGTAGCCACATCAACTAATAAGATGGCTGTTAGCGAAGAGCATAGCCTGGCCAAGAATGTGTTGGCATCATTGCTGCACATGACTGCATAGAACGTGTTGCCAGCATTGCAGCATATGACAGCGTGTACACTACACCACAATAATCCCCAAAGTGGTGACATTGTGAAACGACAAGCACGTCATTGAGAGCTAGCGAGAAAGCGGACTGGAATACATACCCAATAGAGTGTTCGAATCGGTTATGACTAGCTCCCGGAAACACAAAATATGTTCCACCTACGAGAATGAGAAAGAAAAAGAGAAAGAGAGAGTGAGAGAGAGATAGAGGGAGATAGAGATAGAGAGAGAAAGAGAGAGAGAGGGGGGGGGGGGGGAAAGGGGAGGAGAAGGGGTACACAATCAGCTTAGTCCAGATAGTCGAAAGCCTGAGACGAGAATTCAGTGCAGTATCCAGCTGGTCACAGTATGGTAAACGGCTAACACGAAATATACCTGAGAACAGATTGAAAACACAATTGATACCACGCAACGAACAACTGCAGCATGGGTACAGTTCTGACCTAACTGCTTGATGTCGCGCAGTCTCTGGAACTGTGGCGTATCGATGATCCGCATCAGCAACGAGTCCAGCTCAATGTGCCCGTGAACAGGATCATTGAACACCTGCGTTTTCAGAAACAGCAACAGCAGAGGCGATAACAGCAGTGAGAATGGCGATGACAGAAGCAGGGGTGGCAGCAGCAGTAGCAGCAGCAGTAGCGGCAATATCCCAAAACGCACACACACACACACACACACACACACACATACACAAAGCATAAACGCAAACATTGAGTATAACATCGACAGGGATTCAGGAAAATTCGAATGATTATCTCTTTTTTCTTTTAGTGATTGGTGCAGCCCAGAGACTGTCTGGAGAGTGTTGTAAAGGTGTATGGGTATAGGGCAGCAAAAGTAGATTGATCTTGGCGGGTGGTGCTACATGTTGCAACCAATGCATGAATAATACACTGCAATAATACACTGATCTATGCAACACAGCTGTGCTCTGACGTAAGCACTGCAGTTCTGCAGTAGGTCAATACTGACTGGATTGTTCACACAACTACCCCGATGCAGTAAACTTGTCAAGGCGACCCCTCTGATGAGGTGATCACCTGTCCTAGAGGACCACTGAAACTGGGATGAAGGATTACTACTGTATTCCAATGACCCTGGATAAGGAGACCACTTGTACACGGCGACCACATTTGTATGGTCCCTCGAGTGGTCAGCTTAGACAGATTTTACTGTACCTTGAACTGACATACAAGTACTTGCACCTCCCACTACACCGTGTACAAGCAAGAGTATATAACCCCCCAAGAGTGTGCAACTCCTGATACCCTTTCTGTGGGGTACGCCGATGGCGAAAACTCATATCACGTGGTGCAGTGTCGCAGTTGTATGTTTCCAGCCCGTTTTTAGCGAGCAGTGAAGTATTAAAAAAGCACTCTCTGACAGAAACTCACTGCGGGTATGCAAATTCCCAGCATGATGTTCGGATTGCGCGCACGCTGTCCTTCGTTTGTACGTAGTACGAAAGTATCTGAGACACGTGATGTGAGTTTTCGCCGTCGGAGACCCCATATGCAGAGTTGCACACTCTTGGTACAAGTAGTGTAGTGTGTAAATAGTGCTTCAGAAGATAAAACTCATAAAAGCCAAAAAATTGAATCCATTACTACTACAGACAGACTAGTACAGCATTGGCAAACAATCCTTCTGTGTGTGTGTGTGTGTGTGTGTCCCGTAGCTCCTTCTGCATTGTTTGCAATTGCAGTCGGCGTTTCAGTAGACCACAGGACCTATCCCGTGATCGCCCCTACTGTTCCGAACCTGCTCAACCCCCCATGGGGTCCGCATAGCCAGAATATGGCAGCGCGTCCAAGGTCCAAGGTGTGTGTGTGTGTGTGTGTGTGTGTGTGTGTGTGTGTGTGTGTGTGGTGTGTGTGTGTGTGTGTGTGTGTGTGTGTGTGTGTGTGTGTGTGTGTGCATGTGTGCGTGTGTGCGTGTGCGCGTATGTACACAATGCTATGTCCGACATGAAGGACCGCCAGATGGTGGGTTCGTACGACCTCACCCAGGATCACAGAGAGTGGAAAACAGCATGCAGCACATTTCCTCCTACCGAGCCTGTCACCTTAGGGCATGTTCGATTGGTAAGGATCGGGATCGGGATCCAGATCTCAGATCCGTCGGATCCTGCAGAGTCAACTGGACACTTTTTTGGGCCTTGACTGTTGCCATGTTGGCGAAGTAATAAAAAGTCATACTCACCGCGCCAGTTGTACAAAAAGTTAGCAAGGCCTATCTCGATCCACGTGTGCGTACCACAATGTGTACAAAAACGATTTTTACCCGCCATATACGCACAAAGGTCACATTTGGATCCGTTGGATCCGGTCAACCCTGCTCCCCGAGGTGGGTTGACCGGATCCAAATCCGAAGGATCCGGATCCAGATTCGACCAATCGAAAGGGTGCGAATCCAGTGGATCCGGTGGATCGGGATCCCGATCCTACCAATCGAACATGCCCTTAGACTTCGTTTGCAGTTGTGGAAAGAGTTATCGCCGCCGTCAGGACTTGACTCGCCACGCCTGATTCTGCTCGTGACTTGAACACTGTTGGTCCCTTCGGGACTTGCTATCGTCTCCGGATGGGCATATTGTATTGTTGTATTGTGTGTAAACGTGCATATGTGCATATAATTCATGGTAACCGGTGTTCATGGGAGCACGAGTACATCGTAGACTTACCTTGGGAAGACGTGGAGGTGCTTCCTCGTCGACTGTCTCATCGAGGATGTTGTTAATAATCTTCATGAGCTCAATGCGCTGACCTAAGGGACTGCCAGCAGAAAGAGGGAGATTATGGAGATAGTGAGTGAATGAATGAGGGAGTGAGGGAGGGAGTGAGACAGACAGACAGTCAGAGAAACAGACAAAGAAACAGAAAGCACGAAATAGCAGTCTCTGAAGACTGTAAAAGCAGGGGGAATATAGCCGCAGAGTACACAGCACTGGTGCAACAATCACCCCTGCCAACTGACCATGGACAAAATAAGGCACAAGGAATACAGTGCATGCTACAGAACACACATCAACTGCAGAATTCTCTCCATGTGGTACTGTGGCTGTAATCCTTTGTGTAGACACCACTGAATATAGACATTGTACATACACGAGTCACAACTCTCTTCCACGGCCTCCACGCTACAAGGGCCGTGGTGAGATATTGGTCGCCGACCTCTTTTATGAGAAGTGCTGATATGGCACGTGTAATGCTGATGTAATGGTTTCCTTCTCTCTCTCTCTCTCTCTCTCTCTCTCTCTCTCTCTCTCTCTCTCTCTCTCTCTCTCTCTCTCTCTCTCTCTCTCTCTCTCTCTCTCTCTCTCTCTCTCTCTCTCCGTTTGTCCGTCTGTCTGTCTGTATGTGAGCGCAAATATGTCAAGTATTGGTCCTGTTAGGGTGGTGGTGTTCCGGCGGATGCGGAAAACTCGGCCTTCAGCCGAATCTCACGCGAACCGTGGATTATTATTATTATTATTTTTGGTCCTGTTGTGTGGTCCGCCTATCCGCCAGTACATTGTGTGTGTGTGTGTGTGTGTGTGTGTGTGTGTGTGTGTGTGTGTGTGTGTGTGTGTGTGTGTGTGCGCGCGCGTGTATTTGTCTGTCAGCCTGTCTGTCTGTCTGTCTCTCTGTTGTGTGACCAGGACTAAACACGTGAACTGTACTGAAGTGTACAAGGAACTTTCAAAGAGACGCGTCAGCCATCACAGTACACCTTACACATCCCATTCCTTCAGCATATCATCGTTGATCTCCGACAGGTGTTCACCCTTGACACGCTCACCTGCACACACAGCACGGATCACACAACGAACAAGCAATGTTTAATAACAGACACATGGATGAAAGCATTGAACACCGCTAAGTAATATTTTTTTCTTTTTGAAAACAATTTCCATGGAGACAAGAATGCGATAATACTCAGAAAAAGGACACACTTCACGCCCTTAAAAGACCATCTGGAAAAGTTTTCTTTTTGCGTTATCTCTTAATGTTTTCACATCAATGGACTCGGATAGAGAGCTAAGGATAAATTTATAGAAAAGAAAAGGACGGTCAGTGTCGTGCAATGTTATCGCATGAACTGATTGTTTAGTAACTGGTGGTGCTAGTGGACAGTATAGCGTAACTTGTAATTCCTTGGTCCTTTTCTTTTCTATAATTTTTTCACATCCATAGACTTTATCTTGCCCGTATAAGGGGTCGTCCATAAATATCGAACTTTTTTCACAAAACGAAATAATTTCGTTATGGGGTGGGAGGGGGTTGACCAATTTCGTTTCAGAAAACATTGATTCATGTACATGGCTGTTGTATATGCATGTATGTCAACATTTTTTACATTCTGAGGCCCTCTCGAGGGGGAGGGAGGGAGGGGTTGAGTCTAAACTAAAATAATTCATTTGGTGAAAAAAGTTCGATATTTACGGACGGCCCCTAAGAGCCTGTTACCCCGTAAAAAACAATTGACCACTGCTACCCGTACACTGATCCTGTGACACGTGAATGCTGCCACCAACATGCAGTAGCGGCGGGTACACAGACTCGCCGCATACTGATTTTCAAACCACGCTGTCTCTATCTGTTGACACCAGAGCTATGGGGAGCAACACACAATCCCTCAACTATCGCCGAAGTCGCTACAAACCTCTTCTTTGTACAGCTATGATATCAACCAGTGAAATCCAAACCCCTCGATAAAGCCTGAGGTTTACTTTTTCTTTCACATACGGGGAAACAAGTTGCAGAATGTCGCACCAAACCAGTTCACTTGAGCTCAACTCATTTGCTCCACTGCACGCCCATCACCACACACATTCGGAAATGTTTCTCCATACGCACATGAAGGAACAGCTGGGCTTTCAGCTACGTTGGGGCACTCTACACTAGCTAAAACTTCCCGTGTTTTCCAGAGTAAAAGCAGCACTCGTAATTCAGAAGTCGGTGAGTGCCGATCCCACGGCGCCAAGATAGGAGACATTCAAATGTACTAGTAAGTTAGCATGATGCACATGATCACTTTCTGTGATTTTCAGCATGCGACACTTGCAAAAGCTGTTACCACGACATGCGATTCGCAAGTTGTTTGGTTTCTGTGACGTCTCTACGTGGCATGCATACACATGAACCCCAGGGAGAATCCCCTTGGAATGGAAACTACAGTCAGACCTCGCTTATCCGGTCCTCTTTTATCCGGATCCCTCGCCATCTGGGAGAAAATCATTGGTTACCGATTTACAGCATATGTCATGCATACCGTATTATCTCTAATATAAGCACGGTCCTTTATTTTTTCAATGTACCTCCGCCCCGTGCTATTAATGGAGACGTTCCTTTATTGGAGACCGTTCCATTATTATTTCAACCTCATTTCAGAGGCATGTTGCCATGCCAAATTCATGTATGACACACACATTTCAGGGTTTTTTTCGCCGGTACAGATAGTGAATTTACACAGTGTGCTTATAATGGAGACTGAGCACTTTATTTTTTGAATGCCGCCCCAAGGTGTTCTATTATTGGAGACGTGCTATTATTGGAGACTGTGCTTATATTAGAGATAATACGGTACATACAGTATGTGTGTTCGATTATCCGGTTGACGGTATACTCCGTTGATGTGCGTTATAATAATAAAATAAAAATAAAGTTCAACTTTTGCAATGTATAACATAATTATTATGTTGTACATTGCAAAAGTTGAACTTTAGTCGACGTATGCGACAGCACTCGACATGCATCACCTTGTCGAAAGTGCCGCACATCGCGCCCCAGAAAGTAATATTGTGAGTCCTGCTAAAGACGAGATCTGGTACATGCAGAATAGTCTGAGACAAATTTCAAATTAAATATTCATATTTTGAAATTACAAATCCCTCAACCCAAACTAATGAATTCGAAATGCATTCGATATCTGTTTTCGGAATGGACCATTGCTTGATAACTAACTAACTTACACCACTTGTAATCGTGACCCTAATCTGGAATTACAAACAAATCCAGATTTGAGGACAAGTTTACTTCGCTTTAGAAGCAGTGCTCGTGCATACATGTATTCATTGAATAGCCATACCTTCAAATTTGGAGGCAACGTCATTGTCAATTCCGTGACGCCTCAAATAGGATGCCAAATGGGATGGCCTCCACGATTTGTGTTGAACAGACAGCGGCTCGCTCGGTGATGGACAACGTTTCTTTGCAGGTGACATGTACGGCGTGATGCCGAGGTCGTTGATGTCGAGGCGACTACCTCGTCGCTTCATGATTCCAAATATCAAAAAAATCAAAATTTCACTTTGAAAGCTGATCGGCTTGAAAAGCCTGTTCCTGCTCAGTTGTTCACCGGAACAGATCGCAAGTTTGTGGTGCACTCAGTAGATGCACGAATACCGTACCGTAGCTACGCGATATGTGTACTGAAACTGGTAGGTCTATTCGTCTACATAACTTCAGTACTGTAGTCGGAGCCTTCTTCCCTGCTAGTGTTTTTGAGGAAGCTTCTGGGGAAAGGCAGTGAAGCTGCATGTGCGTGGGTTTCTTCAAGAACAGTTTGCAATCTTCTCGATCACTGAAGTCAACAGCTGACATGTACTCCACGAGACTCGATCGTACCGTACCATCACTATGAACATGATGAATGGTCTACAACATTCATTGAATCAAGACCCAATCAATAATGATTCACTATTTCTGATTGTCACAGCTAGCTAGCAGGTTCGATCGTGTGGAAGTTTCGAACTGACCACAAGCACAAGACAAGCTGCCGCCATGTCACAAATCATTAATCAACGATCGACCACATGCACAAGGACACAGTGATGTGAGTCTGGTGCGTGATCGATGAATCTGATGACATGGACATGGCAATCATGTCACAAACTGCAAAGAGTTGCAAATATGCAGAGAGTCATTTTCTTGTGCAATGATTATGTATGGCTCACAAGAGTCGCAAAAAGTGAGAATACATGAAAGACCAAAAAACAACAATACTAAAATATTTTATTATAACAGGGAAGTCGTAGTACTAGGCACTACGGTCTACCTACCCCAAACCCAGCAACGAGCAATACAACGACTGAAAGAGCAGAATACTGGTTTTACAAGGAGCCAGCACTGCAGAAGAGAATCCTCTAACACAGACAACACTCGCGAGAATGACTGTTGTGTTATAGAGAACAAAAAGCAATAGCACTGGGCGAACAGCAAATGTGCGAGAACGAAAACAAACACGTAGTTATAACAAAAGTAGCAGCAAAACACAGAAGAGCGCGAGGAGAAAGGACAACAACACGTCACTCTTATATACACAACAACACCACAAACAGAAACACAGCGGCAGATAAGAGCTGCCAGAAGGGAGAGAAAGAGAGAGAGAAAAACATAACGACAACGGAGAAAACTTTATACAGGAGAGGCAAAAATATCGTCGACATGGCTAGTATTTTCGTATGATACAGGTTGTTGTTTGGAAACAGTCGGAGAATTGCACACAATCACAATAAAATCGGTTTGGGACGAGTGATGCACTGAACAAAGGCAGAGTAAGTACCAGCACAGGCTGGTTAAATGCCAGAGCACTCGACTGACTAGCGCCAGCAAGCAGCCACACATGCAACAGAAATGGTCCAGAGTATGCTAGTTTAGTAGTAGCGCAGATTTCGTGAGCAGATCATTCGGAGCGTGAGTATGAGCAGCTACCGCTTTTTTTAATTTTATGACATAGGCGTCTGAAGACTAGGACGCGAGGATCAGCAGCCACACTGGCCACATGGTAACTCTCAGGGAAGCAGTGACGCACATGAAATGAAATACTGTTTATAGTCGTGTGGCTGAACTAGCAGCTCGTTTCGGGCAGTTCATATCCAGCTGACTGTGCATAGGTTCAAGTTGACGCTGGGGCAGGCGGTGCAGATACGGTGCCTTCAACAGCAGGTGCTGGGGTCTCATCCATTGGAATGTCACCTGTTGCGCAGAAAAAAAGAAGAAAAAAAGTTTTAAAACAAAGCCAAGAAATACATTCCCATACCAGCCGACGGAGTAACAATTCAGAAAAAAGGGTGCAAGTGTCAGAAATTATGATTCCGGAATGCGGTATCTCTCCTCAATGATGAACTCAGAAGAGGGAGCCGGTTTCTCATCAACCACTTGCACACAGGCTGGGATTCGAACCCGGAAAGTTCGGATCTGAACATAGAAACTAAACATACATTCAACAGGGGCCCAACGACAAACGAGATAAATACCACGAGACAATATAGCCATTTTTAGGCAATGAAAAGTAGGGCGGACAAAGACGGAGATGTGGAAAGCCCAGAGAGGGACAAGACAGAGATCTGGAATGTCCTGAGAGGGACAAGACTGGGATCTGGAAAGTCCAGAGAGGGACATCCATTTAGGGGCCGTCCGTAAATATCGAACTTTTTTCACCAAACGAATTATTTTAGTTTAGACCCGACTCTCCCCCTCAGAACGAAAAAATGTTGACATACATGCATATACAACGGCCATGTACATGAATCAATGTTTTCTGAAACGAAATTGGTCAACCCCCTCCCACCCCATAACGAAATTATTTCGTTTTGTGAAAAAAGTTCGATATTTATGGACGACCCCTTATGACAAAATAGAAAACACTCCTGTACATCAATGAAAAGTCCACGTACCGGATGGTTGTTGTGTTGGTACTGTAGGAGGCGGCGGTGGAGAGACGGTAGTCGATGCTGCTGCCGGAGCTGGCTGTACAGCAACTGCTGGCGGTGGTGGTGGTGGTACGGGTGCTGCACCATTCGTAACGGGAGTAGAGATGTCTGGTGTTGTGCTCATGCCATTGGTGACTTGCGGCGCGATTGCCGGGGCAACGCGTCGGCGTGCCACGGCGTGCGATTGGCTGTTACGTCGGCCGTCGTCGTCTTCAGAGTCGGAGTACTCGTTGCTGCGCTCTATGCGCTTGTCACTACTCAGCACTGCAGGCACGAAGAGCACACAAGCCGAAATCAAGGCAACTGGCACTCCACATTCTGACATAGAAGATTATAGAACACATACCGTAAAGTCTTGTATAAAAGCCGCGGCTTCTATGACTTTCTTGGTGAAATTTTGCAAGCTTCTATATGAGACAGGTATTTCTATGTATGTCAACACTAAAACCAGGCTTACGTGTGATTTGATGGGCCCAAAATTGCGGCTTCTATTCGAGGGCGGCTTCTATTCAAGTGCGGCTTTTATACAAGACTTTACGGTAGATCCAATGGATACCTGGGAAAAACTGGCCTAGAAATTAGCCTAGAAATTCTTCTCCACTCCCTAACCTTGGACTTTCCCCGCCTCAAATGTGGCAATGGGGGAATTGCATAGGCCACACACAATGTACAGTTGTTTTCACGATGTCTATGACTATACGCGTGAGAGACACTAACAAGCCAGTGCCAGTTTGGGATGAATGGACTGTACCTGACAACAAAAAGCCCACAAAAAAAGCTCACATGTAATGCGCTTCTCCGGATCCTCCCTGTCCTCGTCATCACTGTCCTGGTTCATACCGTCATCGGGAATTGCTGTGTGCAGAACAGGCAAAAACATAGTTCACACAAAGCATCGGGATAATTCAGGACAACTGAGTGTAAATATTACGCACATACGCCACACACACAAACGAGCGCACACACATTTCTCCAGTAAAATGCAGATTATCCAAACGTCAACAAAAGAAAGAAAAAAACCATTCCAGCACACATTACCACTCACGTTGCATTTGCACTCCAGGAGCATGGGGAATAAGTCGTAGGTTCTCAAACAAACGGGTCCTAGAAAAGCGAAAAGCAGGCATACACGAACAACACGTCAAGATGAGACAGTGAAGTGGCAACCGTACACAGAACCCGGGCTGATAAAAAAGATACGGGTGTGCATGCAGTAACAGAGCTTATTCCAAGAGCACATTACAGAGCATCACCTCCGCCTTGTCATGGTCTTGTGCATGTACTCGGTAGAAACTCTACTTTTCCATGCCGCAGAGCACCGTTCACAACTCGTATTAACGCTGCATACAAGTCATATAAGCAGCATAAATGTATGTTGTTGGATACAGAACGCAGTCTTACTTAATCTTATCAAGGTACTCGGGCGAATTCTGATTGGCCATATTGTTGGGGCTGATATGCAGCTTGAAGTCAGGTCCAAAGTACTCGAAATAGTCGTTGTACGGCAGTTCTAATCAGAGCAAGTACAGGAATACAGCAAAAAACTATTGCAATTGCAATTGTAATGTAGATAGAGAGAGAGGGAGAGAGAGAGAGGGAGAGAGAGGGAGAGAGAGAGAGAGAGAGAGAGGGAGAGATAGATAGAAAGATAGAGATAGAAAGATAGATAGATAGATAGATAGATAGATAGATAGATAGATAGAGAGAGAGAGAGAGAGAGAGAGAGAGAGAGAGAGAGAGAGAGAGAGAGAGAGAGAGAGAGAGAGAGAGGCTATTACAACATACATCCACAGTGCTGCTCAATGGGGCTTGAAAGTGATGATGTCAGATATCAAAATGGAACGAGAAGAAACAACTTGTGGTGTGTATGTGGTGGGTGGACACCTCGTATCGCACGCAGGTGTGATTTTTTCTGTACCAGGAGTGGGTCCCCGATCGGGAATGCCCAATCCAGTCACCACCCGCGGACGTGTCATTATGCAGTGAAGGAACACCACCCAAACATGTATGGATCCATACAAAAACTGAAACAAAGTGCTTTGTGTCAAATTGTAGCTGGGCGTGTTGCTTGACGCCAGAGCTTTCCAGAGGGGCGAAGATCACGAAAATCCACCAAGATAAACTGGATTAATGGCTGACTCATGGTACAAAATTGTTGAATTCTGTGAATAGCCTCATTTTGACTGGATCTTGAGACCGTAAAAGGGATAATCTCGTACAGTCAGACCTCGCTTATCCGGTCCTCGTATATCCGGATCCCTCGCCATCCGGAAGAAAATCGCTGGTTACCGATGTGCAGCATATGTTATGCATACAACATAACCGGACCTCGCGATCCGCATACCGGTGCATGATTTTGTGTACAGACTGGTTAAAATGTGTACAAAAAGCTTCGTCGTATCCGGTTGCATGTGGCTTGCAGAAGCTAGAATCAGGGAGTTGTACAGGCAAATGAGGTACTTGACCTGCTGGGTGCATGTGGACAGCACTCAGTTGCATGCACTTGTCATTTTTCTCGCTTGTTTTACATACTGTGCACGCTAGTTGTACTGCATAGGACCCGTCTACATGTATGTACGATGCCACTGCTTTTGACATGCCACATGCATACAGCATGTGTGTTCAGTTATCCGGTTCCCTCGCCTATCCGGATATTTTGTGGAAAACAGATGTGTGCGGTTAAGCGAGGTCTGACTGTACCCTAGTAAACAAAGTCCGGTGCCCTCAATAGTTCCTGTGATCGACACACCGCCCAATAAATAAAGCCCACAACTACAATGCACAATGCGAAATCTATTTCCACCCAAAAATCCGTGCTTGCCCAGGCAGTGCACGATAATTTCCTGCTACGCAACAGGGACGTAACAGTAGCCAAGCACGCACACACACACACACATGCAAGTTCATCCGGTGAGTGTGACATACCATTGCCGACTTCAGCATTGAGAGCCGTGGCAGTTTCCAGAGTCCAGCATCTAGCCACGTTACGGATTGTGTAGCCGCCGCCACCGAGCAGAAGCAATGGCAAGTTGAAGCTCTTCACGTAATCCACACAGTCTGAATGGCCTGGCAAGCACAACACATCACCACCACCAGCAGTAACACACACACACAAACACGCGGTTCAAACACCCTGGTACACTGCAACAGGGAGACCCGATTGCACTGCTGTGGCTGCCATAGTAGAGGCACAGGACTGGCGAAAAGCAGTCTGAATGGGGAGAAACTCTTCAAATGCCCCAGGATCACCACCAGTGGCGTTCGGCTCGCCTGGGGATGCACTGGCTAGTGCACTTGTAAGAAATTGTTTGGGGCTGCGTCACAGCTCGTTAAACTGCTCTATTGTCTGAAGCACAACGTCATTCACAACCACGTGACGTACAGCAGAAGTTCACAGTCAGGTTCAGCCAACACAATGCACTAGTACATGCGCTTGGGTTTTCTGGCACACACAAACTCCACGAGCTACGCATGGCATAGAACACTGGTTTGCCTTGGTATATGGAGAATGTTGCTAGACCTATGAAACCAGGAAACCTGCAAAGAAATTAGTGTCTGGTGGTACCCTGGGGCCTGTACCTATCCAACTTGCGTTAAAAAAATCACATTTGCAAGCCAAAACCACCGCGGAGTGGAGTGCGCTGCGCATTTTACACAGACCGTAGCACGATGCACACGCAATGTCTGTCAATGCAAAAAATTAAAAACAATCCGGCTAAACTTACCCTTGAGGGAGAGGTTGAAGCAACCAAGACGATCACCGGACAGAGAGTCAGCACCACACTGAAGAACGACAGCGTTTGGTCTGTACATCTCCATAACCTTGGCTATCACCTGATGACGCACCCAGTAAACACAGAAAACAATGTCGAGAAGACACCCAGGCAAGATGTGAGCACAACTCAAATCACATTAAAGGGGAAGTTAAGGCAAAAATCAAAAGTTCACCAGTTGTAGTCTTCGGGGTGCTGAGTCGAATGGTCTTGGTCCGAGAAAGCTGAGACGCTCCCTTCCTACTTGAATCCCAATCGAACTCGCGCACTTCCACCGAAACTGGGTGACTGCGCCCTACTAGATGGGGATTTGTATGCAAAATGTCACTAAAAGCGCCATTTCGTTCTCATAAAAGCACGGATGACCGCGATTGGCCCATATGTTGTAGTCTTTTGGACGCTGAGTCGACTGGTTTTGGTCCGAAAAGGCTGCGATGCAGCGTTCGGCCCTTATTCCCAATCGAACGTGGTTGAACAAGCTGTCACGTGCTCCTGGGTGCCCAAATCACCTGGTCACCACGCCAGCAGGCGACAACTTTCACACCAAGGTTCAACTCGAGTGACAGGACTGCACCCAAAAAAGGTCAAACAGGCTAGTAAGTTGTACCCTGCAGGCACGGTGACTGGTGTACGCAGGAGCACGTGAGCGCTTGTTCAACCATGTTCGATTGGGAATAAAGGAGGAACGCTGCATCGCAGCCTTTTCGGACCAAAACCAATCGACTCAGCGTCCAAAAGACAACATATGGGCCAATCGCGGTCATCCGTGCTTTTATAAGAACGAAATGGCGCTTTTAGTGACATTTTGCATACAAATCCCCATCTAGTAGGGCGCAGTCACTCAGTTTCGGTGGAAGTGCGCGAGTTCGATTGGGATTCAAGTAGGAAGGGAGCGTCTCAGCTTCCTCGGACCACGACCATTCGACTCAGCACCCCGAAGACTACAACTGGTGAAATTTTAATTTTTGCCTTAACTTCCCCTTTAAGATTAGCACAAACATGCATGACTATAAGACGAACAATGACTGAAGATGACAATCAATTGCATTTGAACGGTAAAAACTAAACAGATGTGATGCCGCAGAGGTGACTTACAGGTCTGAAAATGGACTGGTACGAATCGTCGTCAATGCCATCACGCAGAGGAAAGTTGACAGCATAGTATTTGCCTTTCCCTGCTCCAACATCCTGTCGACAATGAGACAAAAAGATACAATCAAACCATTGGTGAAAGGAGCATTAACAAATCGGATCAAGGACACAGAAAAAGAGAGAGAGGGGGGGGGGGGGGGGGGGGAGAGACCAGCCAGCACCCGAATACAGACCATATCGGCCACAACCCAAGAATAAAACAGTTCATTCAAGCCGAGCTGCCTAATGCCAGACCATCTGGTAAAAGGAGAGCGATCGCTCTCGCGCGCCTTTACTCTCCTTATTTTCTTTTAGGGCGTACTTTTCGTCGCGCCTTGAGAATTTCGAGCGCATCCGCATCACTATCTGCTATGAAGTTCTGAAAACACTCAAATATTTCGTAACTCGGCTTTCCCTGAACGGAATCGAGTAATTGAAAGATCTATTCGGATTAGAAAGTTCTCAGCTGTCGGCTCCAACAAATCGGAAGGCGATCCGAGGTCCAATAGTGGAGTTACGGCACTCGCAAGGTATTTTACGTACCGTTGCAAATTTTCACTTCCACACACATTATTTTGACATAAAGGATTTCCCTCTGTTGCGTGACAGTCCGGGCATGCATAGACCTGTGTACGTGTGACGCCAGGCACAGGTCTTTAGCCGTCAGCTACAGAACAAAGCCTCAAAGGAGCGCTCTACGATGAATACTACAAAAATATCATGGATCTTAGCGAATTGTCTCAATTTCCCATTGCGTGTGTCATTGTCCCTGATGAAGGGAAACTAAAGTTGTGGTCCGAACAGCTTTTATTTGTAGTGCGTACGGCGATTTTCCAGAACGAATTTGGCAGCTATTCGGTATTGAATCCGATTGGGGTATGGCAAGATGTTGAAAAAACCTGTATTGTGCTCGCCTTGGATAGATAAGGCGAGCGACTTTTTTTTGGGGTGGGGGTGGGGACTGTTCTCCCACCACTCTCCTTGAGAGGATAGCGAGAGTGATTGTTCACTCTCCTGGAATTTTCTTACACGAAGGTCTGTAATGCTCTACTTTGTCAGGCCCTCCAAGAAAAACAGGAAAACAGACTATAGATGTACAAGAGGCACACACCTTAATATCGCCTGTTCCAGGAAAGTACTCCCCATACTTGTGGAAGGACACGGTCATCACTCTGTCGGTTGTGTAAAACGCCTCTTCTACACCATCACCATGATGGATGTCAATGTCGATGTACAGAACTCTCTGGTGATACCTGTATAAGCACATGCACACACACACACACACACACACGCACACACACACACACACACAGGGGTGGTAAGTGCCCTGGACTGGTGTAAAGTTAACAGATGCGGAACGTCATGCGCCGCATTAAATAAAAAAATAAGATAAAACTGCGAAAGAACACCACACGGGCAAATACTTCTGACAAACAGTAAAACGCAGCTGGGACAAGCGGCTTCAATGATCCCTCCAGGCTCCACACTACATTCGGGGCAGAGATGGATACCGTGAAAGTGGACGCTGGTAGTTCCTTTTTCTGGTGCCGTGCCGTTGTACATTTATTTCGGTGTTAGTAGGCTCATTGAGTGAGCCTAGCCACGGGATGGGGTTCGGTGGATATTGACATTGGCAGGCTCACTCTGGCAATAAAAAAAGAATCTTCCAACATTACAACTATAGTGCATTTCAAAGTATAGACCTCTAAAAATTCAAATTTGGTTTCAGATTTTTGAGAAATTTCTTTGGAATATTGCTCAGGCAGCTCCTGCAATTTCTCTCAAATAAATTTCTAAGCGATTGGGTAACAAGCGCCCAATTTCGGAAATTTTATGCACAAAGTGATCACAGATTTTATGTGGTACAGATGCTGGCTTAACGGTTTTTCGAAACCAGACGTCTGGACTTTTGAAACACACTATAACACGCCTCCATTTACCATGTAGATTGTAGAGAGCATGATGTGTGCGTGTATGTGTGTACACCATGTTACTTGACCAGTTCTGGCAGTGTTCAGGTCCAATGTATGAGCATTGGGAGGGAGAGAGAAAGTAAGAGCAGAGGATCGATATATAGGGTATTTGTGCATCTGGTATTAGGTTCCCAGTTTTGCTGCATTGATAAGCTCTGTGCGTGAGTGTGTGTGTGTGTGTGTGTGTGCGTGTGGTACATGATGTGTGCGTGTATGTGTGCACACCATCTTACTTGAGCAGCTCGAGAATGGCCAGGACAATGTCGTTGACGTAACAGAAGCCTGACGCTTCAGACTTCTTGGCATGATGCAGGCCACCAGACCAGTTGATAGCAATGTCCGCCTGCTTCTTGTTGAGCTTGATCGCACCAGCTGAACACAAAGGAGCACAGGACACGCAGTGACAAGACTGCCGTGTAAACAAGGTACGCTCCGACACATCCGGCATCAAAAATGCAGATCCTTCCCAGTTCTCACACAGCAAAGCTCTGAGACTACCCCACTATGCCTGCCTGCTTCAAATGCAAAACTCTAGCCCAGTTCATATTCTTCATCGCACTACTGATGCTACCGGTGATAAAAAGTCTTCTTGTGTGATCAGGTGCTTGACCTGGCCGACGATTATCCATCCTTCGTCAACTGCGAGTCGACAAGATCTCCGTCAGACTACTGTAACCGAATGGCGCCTAGTAGCATGCACTATGATCCGACACACCGCCAAAGACAACAACCGACCGTTCCTTCTTCGTTCTAAGATTCTGTTGAGTAAGAAAAGTGTACGGTATTATATGTGACCAAAAAGATACAGTGAAAGAAAAGCCTAGCAAAGCATTGCAAGGCACGTTGGTTCGGCTGCGTTGGTTCAGCTGCACGCTAGTGCAAACATGCAGATCGACAATGTTGGGCGGAAACCAAACACCACAACATTGCCAGAAACTAACTTGTTCACACCTACATACAATCATGAGTCCATACCGTGTCTGGTCTGGTTTGTTATGTTAGCAACCTAGAATGCATTGAACACATGGATTCGATCACACATTCCCCCCTGGTAATACAACAAAACAGGGAACTTGCACTAAAACGTAGAACTAAGGTTCTCCAAAGAAAAGAACAACACTCCACCAACAGCTAAACAAGAGAACAGCAAAATGCGTAATGGGTCTTGCATTTGCTAGCTTGCTCCTAACTAAGCACGCGCCAAGCTAGACTGATAACACGGCACACGTACAGTTTCAGGAGCCATAGCGCTGCGGTGGCCTAATGGCAGATCTGTCTCGCAGGGACATGCGAATGCCGCCATCCCCAATGTTGGGCTCAGGGCCTGGCAGCACTGATGCTGGCTGGTACAGATAACCACCATCTGTTGCCGCTGCACTGTCGTCCATCGGCGCTGTTGGTTGGGCCAAGTCACGGGCGACATCCCTCTTGATGATCTCCACGTTGACAATCTTCTCCGCTGAGTGTGGATCAGCAGCCCGGGTGATGACAACTGTCGACGGCGACACAACGCGAACGATGCGCCACCCAGGCTCGTACGGTGCCAGGCATTTGCGGCTCCGGGAAGGCCGACGTAACAGCACCGCATCCCCTACGCTGTACTCTGCTCTAGACGATCGGGCTCCATCAGGCTCTTCCAGGATGACCGCTGCAGCAGGTGTAGGTCGCGACTCCGCAAGACGTGTCCTGTGTTACAAGTGTGGGCAAGTTGGCCACTTCAAGCGGAACTGCCCTGCGAGCACGAGTAGTGGTACCGGTAGCCACAAGCAAGCCAAACACAGTCAGCTGATGTGTTTATTCTGCGACGAGGCTGGGCATATGATGAGAGATTGTTCGGAGTTCAAGGCCTTCAAGCAGAAGAAGCAGCGGGGTGGGAGTGCAGCCGCTGCTCCTGTGCACTCTGGTGATCATGGTGACTCCAAGGTGTTATGCCTGAGCAGTGGAGGTGACAGTCTGCCACGGATCTTTGTGGACATCAAACGGTCCGGCGGTCCAAGCAAGCGTGTCGTAGCTGCTGTGGACACCTGTGCATCCCGCTCCCTTGTAGCTAGCGCCCTGGCAACCGACCTAGCTTTGGATATCAGGCCTACGTCATCGACAATTAATGCGATCGATGGCAGTCCGGTGGATGTCCGTGGCGTCGTGGAGTGTACAATCTCACGGCTGGATAGTGCTGTGGTTCGCCTACGTGAGACCGAGACTGACATGCTGGTGGTGGACGACCTGTCTGTCGTTGAGGCTGATGTGCTGATTGGAGTTAACAGCATCGCGACTCTGGGTGGTGTGCATATGCAGTATGACGCAGGAGAACTGGTGGGGGTTGTATTCGGGACCGTCAGTGCTGCATGCCCATTGGTGCTGGCGTCGAGCACCCCAGATGAGCAACCATCACGCCCCGAGTCGGAAGCACGAGCCGTCGCTGAAGACTTTCACCACGCGGACGTGGAGAAGCTCAGCAATGGCGATGTTGTGCTGCGGGCATCAGATATGATCCTCCGGTGGAGTACGGCTGACAAGGCGTGGGAGGTGCAGTGGCAATGGGCGGACAAGACGGAGCCGACTACGTGCATCGGATCAGGCCTTGGAGAGTACCCACGATCCAAGCTCTCCAAGGAGCAGGAACAGCTATTTGGAGATGAGGTTGAAAAATGGCTCGGCTAATGGGTAACTGGCCCAATATGTACACGGGTATTATACTGTGTTGGTGGAACAACGTTCGAGCTTTGCCAGCCCTGTTACAGCACATCAGAGCGTGTCGGCAATCGTTGCAATGGACAGATAGGAGTTTCCTCTTCGAACTATGTATTTTATTCTTTGAAAACAAGACAGAAACAACGGAGTCACGCTGCATGAGGTCCAAAACTTAGTGCATTTGCCTCAACCGTGTGTGATTATAGTTTTCCTGAATCCCAGAAAAAGAATTGAAATGCACTTACTGTAAAGTCTTGTATAAAAGCCGCGGCTTCTATGACTTTCTTGGTGAAATTTTGTAGGCTTCTATATGAGACAGGCTTCTATACAAGACAGGTATTTCTATGTATGTCAACACTAAAACCAGGCTTATGTGTGATTTGATGGGCCCAAAATTGCGGCTTTTACACAAGACTTTGCGGCATGTCAACACTAAAACCAGGCTGATGTGTGATTTGGTGGGCCCAAAATTGCGGCTTCTATTCAAGTGCGGCTTTTATACAAGACTTTACGGTATGTCAACACTAAAACCAGGCTTATGTGTGATTTGATGGGCACAAAATTGCGGCATCTATTCGAGGGCGGCTTCTATTCAAGTGCGGCTTTTATACAAGACTTTACGGTATATCATAGTTTAGTACACGCCTGCCTCATAGAAACAAATGAAAAGCGAACTCCTGTTTGTAAAAGTGGGGTTTCTCGCATTTCGCGACATAAATGCGAACATATGGGCATGTTTTTCACAGACCCCAAATATAGGGAAAGATTTATTACACACTAGCAAATTTTGGGGTTCACAGCTTGCCCTCATGATGCTTCGACCCTGAAAATTTGAACAAAATCTGACAGAAAGTGGTTTTTGACGTCCGATAATATTCGCAAAATAGGCCCTAGCGATCTTTAATTGTTTGTCAGATTCATGCGGGTGTCTCGCCGAGGTTCCTTTGCTTATGCTGTGGATATGTAGGCAATACCAAGTAAAAATATGTAATCATCACTATTCTCCCTCTAGTTTACAAGAAAGAATTTGACAAGCCACTACCAGCACACATACTCACCAATAGAACCTCCGGTCGCAAGCTGACAGAACTCGAAAAGGCCATCGAATACGGGACAGTCCTCGCCAACATTAACTGTAGGACAAAGCAGATGACCCCAAGCTCATTATTACTACGGAAGCCAACATCGCTACAACAGGCAATGGTGCATAGTACATTATCAACACCATGTACATAAGGATAGCTGGTCTTGAATCGTATGAGTGCAGAGCGTTTGTAGCAAATACCAGATGTCACCAGTGTGAGGACTTGTAAACGATAGAAATTAACACTCCTAGCAGAGTGCCTGATATTTAAACTTCCGGAAACTCCAGGCACAGTCTATTACATGAGGACCCCTCCCCCATTGAACCCGCAGCAGAATAGTAACCCACAACAGCACAACTAACTTTGAACCAGACCAGCATCAAGTTGTGTTATCAACATATCACCTCGCAGCGCCTAAAATTAGCTTTCAAACTTTTTAAAGGCACAAGTACGCTGATCCGCAAGCGAGTTGACAAAAAATGACAACATTGACAACTTGTTTTTACTGTGCATGCAAGCGAATCTGAGGTGATAACAAATAAACTTACAACGCGGCATTTGTTTGGAATGTTCACCGATGTTGTCCGGACGAATTGTTCGAAGAAACTTGATGTAGTCATCAGAATGGTACTTCGTTAATTCCGAGACGTCGGCTTTCTTGGGACGCTATCCAAATGACATCATGAGCAAAATTTAAAAAAACACCTCAAGTAACTTGCAATGTAGTTTAATATCAGACATAATGCTCACAGAACGACTTCATGAACTCTACAGTACACTTACATAAATCTCCATCTTCCTGTACAATCCATAGTTCAGCAACAAGTTGTGGGTCATGCGAATTCGGTGTGGCTTCATTGGATGGCCCTGGCCATAGTAGTAATTTCCAACATCAGCTGAAGGGGGAATGAATGGTGGGCAAAACACAGTTCAAGACGTGGAAAAACAAACAAAAATCGTAGGCGGAAAGGGAACTCACAGTCATAGTAGTAGCAAACTTTCTTTTTCGACATGGTGAACAGCTTCTCTTCAAACTACTACTAGTACTAGCTTCCAAATCTTCACAATTGATCTCAGCAAGTGTTTACAAAACTGAAAAATTAGTTTGTGTGTCAGCAAAGATAGAGAAGCAAGCTAAAACATGATTTTCTCGCGATAGAAGCGGCTATGACGAAAATGTTTCACCCCATTTTTGGTACGCATGCGTAGATTCTTGTCATGCATGATTTTTTTCTGTTTTCCCACACTCGAGCGCCAAGCACGCGAGTGCCGCGCAGCGAGTGAGAGCAGCGGCTCAGCCCACCCCAGACCCGGCGCCGGTCTAGCCGCTATCTTGGCGTAGTGCGGCCGGCGCCGCGAGCTCGAGCGCCGAAGAGCGGGTGTCAGACATGACGTCAACAGTCATTATAACATGAGTCATTTTGAGTCATCTGGAAAACATGTTTTTCATGCACAAACAATCAAAAAAAGGAACAATACCAAAACGACTCGATTGCAACAGACAGTGTAGTGTGGAGGTTCTCCAGTGCAGGACATCGTGGGCGATCCTTCTGAAAAGAAGTGCAACGCGAAGGATAACGACAGTGAAAATATTATTATTCTGTGCCTGTGTCACCGACATGTAATTTGTTTGTATGGCAGGACTACGGAAGGACCTCAGCTTTGTACTTGTGATTTTTTGGTACGTTTCCCCATGCTTGTTAATGTTTCAATTAGAATTGCTCAGACGAATGTTCCACATTTCTGAACGAATGCGTGTCATCGATGTTGTTCAACGCTGCGTAGATTTGTGGACGTGTTGTTGGCCGTGGATTTATTGGGCAGGCAGTTAAAAAGTTTCTCACTGTTGAAAGTTTCATTGATTCCCATAGTGGTGTACGATCATGCCCTTCATCAACGTTCAAATTTAGTATTCAGCCAGATCAGTTCTGTATGAGCTGGTTTGTGACACTTCTTGAACACGCCCTTTGTTTATCTCCATTACCAGGTTGTTGGTGTGTACATTTGGCACATCGTCTCCTGGTTATTGTCTCGGCGACACGATTGATGCTGACGGCGAGGTGCTGATTGAGGAGGAAGGTATGGAGTACTGTAGGAAGGCTGACACTGGACTAAAAGCAACAGCTTCCATACATTGTGTGGTGGTAACCTATTAGTTCACGAAGTATGGCTGCTATCGGCACGACACAAACGTGTTTCATGTTGGTGTCAATCTCCAAAATGTTGGGGTTTGAAAATTGATTGATAGATGTTTGATTTTCTCAGAAATTGGGAATTCCTGAATTGATATTTCATTCAACTCGCATGGTGAGCCAAAAAAAGGAAAAGTCCAAAATGTTACGAGTTATGACTAACTGTCCACCAACATAACCAGATCATATACAGTCAGCAAGTGCGACAAATGGCACAAAACTGACAAGGTGAGACATTCAGCGACCTGACACCTAGGCTCCAACACTTCTCCAAGGTGCAATCGTGCTCTTCATCGTTGCGCTTTCCTTCCCCTCTTGGACCTTTCCGAACCTGAGCCTTCCAAGGTTGTTGGTTTTGCGCCTTGGAGAAGTGTTGGAGCTAGATGTCAGGTCGCTGAATGTCTCAGTACTCGTCCTTGTCAGTTTTGTGCCATTTGTTGCACTTGCTGACTGTATATGATCTGGTCACGTTGGTGGACAGTTAGTCATAACTCGTGAAAATTGGGAGTTGCTGGATTGATTTTGATCAAATTAGACCATTGCAAAATGGAGGAACTGGAGCCATAACCCAGCACCTGTTGCTCCACTCTCCCATAATCAAATCATCGCCGACACGTGCAGCTGTGGCCTGCCTGGGTGGCTGTGTCCTGTTGGCGGCGTCGTGATTCATCACCATGGAGCACCGCTGGAATGGAATTGTTTTGTTCATGGCGCTGCTCTCCTGGTGTTCTGCAGAGGATACCATGACTATATCTGCCACCGGGCCGCTTTCAGCTGGCTTGTCACACGGGGCTAAAGTTGAAGCTGCCAGAACACGTTTCACGTCTCTAGACACTAATCAGGATGGAAAATTGGACATCACTGAACTTAAAGATGCACATGCATCTATTGTCACCGATGAGGTCAGTGCCTCTGTATTGTGTGCTGCTGATGTTGCTGTTGTTGCTGCTGCTGCTGCTACGGCGGTGGTCTTCTCCTCTGTTATTACTTATACAGGTGGAATCCTGATAATTCGAATATGGCTTATTTCGAACATACCGCTTAATTAGAAGTTTTTCCAGGACCGATTTCTATCAATACGATTCCCACGTAAAAAAAATCTGATAATTAGAAACCTCGAACTGGATATGTCGAAGCTAGCAAAGTGTAATTCGAAGTTCACTGTAAATTGTACTGGTCAGTTCAGTTTGCATGAGCAGGCTGTGCCGGTCAGTTCAGTATCCGTGAAATCTGTGTCTAAGGTCCATAGCGCAACTCTGCGTGACCATGAGAGCATTTTGACATACATATTGTGTTGTGGGTTCATGTTTGGATAATTAGGATGTCCGGATAATTAAAAGTTTTTTCCTGGCATTTTGAGGTTCGAATTATCAGGATTCCACCTGTAATGTAATGTTGCCTGTGGTGGCAGCAATGTGTGCTAACACGTGTGTATGTGGGGGTGGGGGGTGCATGTGGGGTGTGTGAGAGAGAGAGAGAGAGAGAGAGAGAGAGAGAGAGAGAGAGAGAGAGAGAGAGAGAGAGAGAGAGAGAGAGAGAGAGAGAGAGAGAGAGAGAGAGTGAGTGAGTGAGTGAGTGAGTGTGTGTGTGTGTGTGTGTGTGTGTGTGTGTGTGTGTGTGTGTGTGTGGTGGTGGTGGTGGTGGTGGTGGTGTGTGTGTGTGTGTGTGTGTGTGTGTGTGTGTGTGTGTGTGAGGGTGTGTGTGTGTGGGGGGGGGGGGGGGGGTACATGGTGTGTAAGGGGGAGGGGTATTGGTGTTTCTCTGTTTGTTTCCACGTAGACAGTTATGGCAATGGGAAAGGAAGGAAGGATGATGTCTATGGGTGGTCCGTGTATCTGTCTGTCTATGGGTGTATGTCTGTGCATGTCTGTCTATGGGTGTATGTCTGTGCATGTCTGTCTATGGGTGTATGTCTGTGCATGTCTGTCTATGGGTGTATGTCTGTGTATGTCTGTCTATGGGTGTATGTCTGTGCATGTCTGTCTGTGGGTATATGTCTGTGTATGTCTGTCTATGGGTGTATGTCTGTGCATGTCTGTCTATGGGTGTTTGTCTGTGTGGGGGTGTGTATGGGTGTACAGTCAACTTCGCTTATAACGACACTCGGCGGGGCATCAAAAAGGTGTCCTTATTCGCGAAGTGTCGTTATACCCGAAGTCTCATTATATGTATTCCAGTGGGATGGGACTTTGCTCTGGGCATGGGTATTCTGTCGTTATTCGCGAATTGTCGTTATATCCGCAGTCGTTATTAGCGCAGTTGACTGTATGTGATGTTGTAATGCATAATCCCTATCTAGGCTAGACGTAGACTACTATTGATCTTGGATCGTGACGGCAATGGCTACGTTACAGAGGAGGAGATGGTAGCGGCAGCTACGGCCGAGAAGACCCGTGACTCCAACCAGTGGCCATCTGCAGACGTCATCGCTGCATTGACCAGTGCCAGTGTGATTGCTGCCGCTGGGGCGTTTCTATGCGTTCGACATCGAATGGCTGCTGCGCCCCGCGTGCCAAACGGTACGTCAAGCAATGCCTCAGCTAATATCACTTGATCCGTGTTTATTTGGCATGTATTTCATTTGCCTTGTCAATGATTTATACCACATTTCACATGATCTATGAGTCGCAACTCGCACTTGACGACAATAGAAGCAGCTTTCCAATTACATGTACATTGATCCATGGTGTTTGTTATTTTTGCCTCTTTTGTGTTATACTTTCTATCTCTCATTATGTGAATTCAGCTGACGATGTTCGCTCCACCAGGCTTGAACGACTCGCGAGACTGTCAAACTCATCCGCTGGTACTGATCCTCACCGCAGAAACGATGACAACGATGATCCATCGTCAAGCGGCAACACAACGTCCGCAGGCTCAGCCGGTGGCCAGAGGCACGCGGGTATGCAAGTGACACCCGCGGGCGATAGCCACGTGCCAGGGATCGTCCAAACAGCTGACGGCAAGTCCGGTAAGGATTCCTCCGCGTCATCCGGCAACGGCACTGGTAGCGGCTCGTCAACTACAGCCTCCAGCACAGCCACAGGTAGCAGCGGCAGCAGTAGCAGTGGCACTACATTGAGCAGCGGTGTGAGCTCCGGAGGTAGTGGCGGCAACGATGACGATGACAACAACCGGCGCAACCTTCCACGCCGCACCTCCGGCACGACCGTTCTCTTTCAAGACACGCCGCAGGAGGAGGACGATGACGGCGAGGGTGGTGTCGAAGTGGAAGGATGCGATGCCGGGAAACGTGAAAGGATGCAGATCGAAGGTCAGGGAAGCCAGGATGATGCAGCGCCCTGTGAAGCTGGGGAGCCAGCTGCTAAGCGTCCTAAGGGTAAGGGCTCTCTCACATACAGACAGTCAAGGTCGTTGGTCGCAACTCAGAGTGACGAACTTCCACTGATGAGGGTCACGCGAAAACATTTTGGAAACTAGTATAATACTTTTACATTGTTATGACTCCGCAATTTGTTCTATTCATTGCCATCTTGTACATGTAGTTGAGCCAGCTATTCACGAATTGTTCTTGTATACACGTGCACATGTGCTCAGGTCCACCCATCGATGTCCGTGCAAAGCGCCTGGCCAGATTCCAAGCGCAAGCGTCGGACTCCGGCGCCACTCAAGCCGTGCCAACAACGCCGACCACGCCAACGGAAAAGTCGCGTGAGAACCCGCTCGCCAGCAGCACGGGTGCAACTATGATGGCGTCGCAGGGCGCGGTGAGCAAGTCGTCTGCTTCCCCGGTTACACCGCGCACTGTGCAGCCAGTTGCAGCTGCAGCTGACGGGTCACAGCCGTCAGCCACAAGGAAGACAAGTCAACCGGCAGCAAAGGCGGGTAAGATGTTACACTGCATCCTGCATAGTCTAACCATACTTGGTCACCCATGTTGAATTGCTACGCACTATGCAAACAGGCGAGGGGAGAGAGCTACATGAGCAAACCTGATACTTACGTTACACGCATGGTGCAGCGAGTGTTGCAGATCACTATCTCACCAATTCATCGAGCACAACTGTACATCAACACACCATCATCTTATCTACTCTGCCATCTCAGCCTCCCGATCGCGCCAACAGCAAAGCCGCACACCCTGCATGAATCCCATAGTGTAACTCCGATAGAGAAGTCCTAAAGCTCACACCGTCCCACATACACAGGTCTTCCATACCGTTCAATTGCAGCGCGATCAACGTTAACCCAACGCCCGAAGCTTAGCACCACACCCGGTACCCCTGACACATCAACACCTTCGCTGCTAGCATTAGCACCCCCTTCTCCTTGTACTTTTATACCAACCGATGTAGCCTACACTATCCCCATGTTGCCTGTGTTTCAAGCATGAAACTCTGAGGTCCAATGTTAGCCCTTGAAAAGGCCATTGGCTATGCTCTGCATAAGTGTCATGTTGTGTAGTGTTGTGTAGTGTTGTGTAGTGTTGTGATGGGGTAACCAGAAGACTTTATAGTTTCTACAGTGGACACTCATTAGTTTCAATGTCGTGGCTGTGGTTGCTGCTGCTACCGCCGGTGTTGCTGCCATGGTGGCCGTCATCATGGTCATTGTTGTCGTTGTTGCTGTCCTGTTTGTTGTTGTTGTTGTTGTTGTTGTTGTTGTTGTTGTTGTTGTTGTTGTTGTTGTTGTTGTTGTTGTCTTTGTTGTCTTTGTTGTCTTTGTTGTCCTGTTTCCAATCTTTATTCTCTTGTTCTTGCTCTTGTTGTTGTGGTATTCCTGGCATTCCTGGCATCAGCAGCGGTCAAGGTAAGATTGCCATGATTTCTGTGTACTAGTATGGACTGTTCCAACACCCGCACACACATGATATGCGGCGTGGACACACGTCATCACACTCTACAGTCTACTTTGGACTATGGGCTAGTTGCTCTGCCTGCACACACACGATATGCGGCGTGTACACACGTCATCACACTCTACAGTCGAGCTTGGACTATGGGCTAGTTGCTCTGTCTGCACACACGATATGTGGCGTGTGCACACACGTCATCACACTCTACAGTCTACCTTGGACTATGGGCTACATATAGCATAGGTGCTCTGTCAGCTCATAGCCCAGTGAGTCATACGCTATGTGTACAGGACACTATTGTACGGAAAACACTGGCATCATATCAAGCAGAGTCTGCAACAGTGCTCTCTGCTGATGGTGTAACACGTTGCAGTTGTTTTGAGCTGTTAATTTTTTTCTGATGTTTCACTGTGACCGATCATCTTGTGGGTTGTGTGCTGTTTGCCTGTTTCAATAGCTATCACCAGAAGATGCCGCTGGACAATTACTTTCGTCAATACTAGACGTAAATTTGGTACGTGTTGTCGTTCCCTTTGTGATCTGATTGGGAATTTACTGTTGGGGAAGCTGTTTGTTGAAGTAATGGTTGGCATTTGCGGTCGGTAGGCTCCGCATCTCAGATTTCTGCTTGATTAGGTGGGCTCGATTTGGCTTTTGTGTTTTGCTGCTGCACTCAAGTAGTGTTGCTGGAGTGTTCCGAGCACGAAGCTTAGCGTCTTTGGTCTATGTTGTGTGCCGTCTTTCCAGACTATAACGGGCGGTGGAACCTACCCGTGCGCCAATTCTTCTTGCTCGCTGACGTTCAATGCTGCAGCATTTCCCTCCGCAGTTGACGACAGTACAAAGGTTAGTCGATGATCAGCCTGTATGTATGCAGGTGTCACTGTGTGTGGGTGTGGGTGTGGGTGTTGCCAGGGGGAGGTGATGAGAAACTGCAGCAATATTCAATATTCATCTATGTAGATACACTCGGACGTCTCTTATCCAGGCACCTTGGGACCGGGCACTGCCTGTATCTCAGGATAACTCGCTCAATTCTGCATACCTGGTCGGAGTCTCGATGCTTATACTAGTGACAATAAGCACTTGCACGTACAAAAAAAGGTTGAATCCCCCCTCCCCCCCCCCCCCCCCCCCCAAATTCGAAGCATTTTTGCCATAGGGACTCGCGCTCAAGGTGCCCGGTAGAGAGTCGTGCCCGTATCTGAGGCGTCCGGGTAAGATACGTTTGAGCCTTAAACTTCTGTGACTCTGTGCTGTATATCTTAGTTTTCAACTGCCACTCCACCAGTGTTCTTCCCTTGCAGTCATCGTTGCTGTTGCTGTTGCTGTTGTTGCTGTTGCTGTTTGCAGAAAGTAAGAGGGATCTTTCAACGGCGTCTCGGCAGAGAGTTGGTGAGTTTTGCATCAGTGTCCGGTACCCCACCTGTATAACAGTATTGTATTCATGTACTTGAAGTACTCATCTGTGCTCTCAGTGTGTATGCACTATGCACACATACCGGTACACATACAGCGGAGGCGAAAGGTTGTGTGGCTGTGTAGGTGTGAAGCACTCTGCTTCGAGCTGCCTCGGCTGGCCTTGTTTGTACTGTGTGCATGTATACCTATGAATGCTGTGAAGTTATTTTTGTTTGCTGCCCTGTGTGTCTGCTTGGTCGTGTCCTTCCCATCAGGACACTGCCCGCTTTTGCATGGCTTGTTATGCACGGGCTGAGAGAACAGAAGGAAGCTTGGCTGCGATGGCCCCTGACAGCACAGGTGTATCGGCGTCAGATCTACTGCAAAAGAAACTCGTAGAAGACATCCTGGACATCTCGGCCACGTCCTTCTTAGAGCAGCTTATTGAAAGTGAGTTGGTGGATGTGTGGGAGGTCGAGAGTACATACCAGAGTATACATGGGATTACTAGTATGTTGCAGCAAAATCCGAACGCTACATCATACAAGGGCAATCAGGTACATGTACTAAAATTGCAGGTTGTCCAAGTGTGACTTTCCACTTTTCAGGTATAGAGTGATGTCACAATCTTTGTCATGTGAATACAATTGTGCAGAAAGCGATCATAGCATGTTGACAGTAGAGCCAACATGGCCGACACCATGTGACCCGTAGATATAGGGGTTTAGTGGAGTTGGAAACCAACCTGGCTGTCCTGTATGATCATGTGAATAGATGTGCACTGCGCAACATCTCTGTGTGGGTGTCCGTGAGTGCTTGTGTACAACGTGTGCCTGTTGCACCCGCCTGGTCGTGCCACATGTACCACTGACGGAAGAAGTTTGGACTCCGCTGAGACAATCGTTAATGCCGAACAACATGTACAGTTGCACGCTCTCTGGGGGCGTTGTACTCATGGTGCTACTGTGTTGTGATTTCAATCAACAAAAGGAGAGATCAGCTGCCCGAGAAAAGACGGCAATTGCATTGAATTTGATAGTGGTGTAATTGTGTTGCTTGGTGATGTCCAGCCGGCAAGACAGACAAGTCCGGGGATCTATGGTCCAGCTTCTCACGGCAAAGCGATAGTCAGGTATGGTGATCGAGTAGCCCGTACGTTTTTTTCTGTTCTTCACTGCCACGGGCGTTTCCCTCAATTTGAGTATTTGCACAATACATGTTTCTGCAGCGGTAAGGTTGCCATATACATACATTTGATAGTATGCTGTACAAACACACGTGTAGAATGAGCATGATTTGATGAATTCTGCTGAAATCCTCTGCGCATTGCAAACGGTGTTGGAGAGGCAGCAGCAACGAGAGGCTACGCTACGAAGCGATGCTGGAGCTCGTAGCTCAGGATCGGATGAATGAATTCACTTGAAATTCCAGGATACGTCCCTGGATGTGTCCGACGTGAAACGGACCAAACGAAACGGAAATCCAATCACTTTGATTTCTTGACCCCTCTGAAGGTACTACGACCACCTAAACCAGCTATTAATACGAGTTGTAGATGGGGAATTATCCATTTTACACCGCTGTCTTCTACTGATCCTCTTTGCTGGCACTAGAGTGAGAAGCACAGTCATGTAGTTACCATAAAGTCGTGTATAAAGCCGCGGCTTATATGGCTTTTTGTGGAAATTTTGCAGGCTTCTATATGAGACAGGCTTCTATACAAGACAGGTATTTCTATGTGTGTCAACACTAAAATCAGGCTTATGTGCCGACAGTGTATCTTGAAAATCAGGCTTTTATTCAAGACAGGCTTCTATATGAGATAGGCTTTTCTTCAAGACACTACGGTATGTTCATCTCTATGCTGTTCTTGCATTGTGCTTCTCTTAGAGTCCGTTTTGCCAGCTACTGATGCGCTTCTCTCGCTTTGTCAGCGATGGCTTCATCGTGTCGCCCACCTGTCTGGACAGGCTGATGAAGATGACAGCAGAGTCGCAGCCAGCCCAGGAGACGTTTATGCAGCTGGTATGTGCTGTGTGTGTGTGTGTGTGTGTGTGTGTGTGCGCGCGCGCATATGTGTGTGTGTGTGTGTGTGAGTGTGTGTGTGTGTGTGTGTGTGCGTGCGTGTATGTGTGCATGTGTGTGTGTCTGTGTGTCTGTGTGTGTGTGTGTGCGTGCGTGCGTGTATGTGTGCATGTGTGTATGTATGCATGTGTGTGCACGCACGCGTGTGTGCGCATGCAGTCAGGGTACCGATGGACTTTCATTACACCTGTCGTTTGGCTGTTTCTTTGCTTTTGCTGCAGATCCGTGCGGCTGGAGATGCCACCATGTCAGTCGGTCGCTTTGACGAGTTGGCTCTTCGCTTCAACATGTACAACGATGCGTTGCAAGTTCTCCTGGGAAGTCCTGTAATACAGAAAGTCTTGACGGAGACGCTGGGCAAGGAACTAACAAGATGTGACAAGGTAACCACCTCAAGTACATGTTTACAGTTGTGTTTAACGTATTGTGTGGGTCTTGTTCACTGTGTTCAACCAATCGCTTTCTGTAGGGGACACGGCAACAAAAAGTATGTGTGTGGAATTGAAAGTTTTCACGAGAACTTGGCACGGTGTGCTGCTTGTGGGCGTTCCGATCAGTCACGTCAGCTACTGTCTGATTCTCAGTGTAGGCGGGCGTCTCCTTTTCATCAGGTGGTGTGCAGCCCTGCATTGCTTTGTTCTTCTTTTCTTTTCTTTCTTTTTTACTATACATACATGTGTGTGTGTGTGTGTGTGTGTGTGTGTGTGTGTGTGTGTGTGTGTGTGTGTGTGCGTGCGTGCGTGCGTGTGTGTGCGTGAGTGTGTGTGTGTGCGTGCGTGTGTGTGTGTGTGTGTGTATGTGTGTGTGTGTGTGTGCGTGTATGTGTGCGTGTATACATGTGTGTTTGTATAAATGCTTTCTATGTTGACAGGGCAGCTACTTCCAGTCGCAAAGTACACTAGCCGGTCTGCTCAACATCAGTACGCTGCGCTTCCCGTTCGCAACCAACTCGCCGCTTCACCGTTGCTATGGCGAGCTGAAGGGATTTCCCCAGCCGCACGATGACACTGTGTCTACACTGAACTATCAGATCCAGGGTGCTGTCCAGGGTGGCCAGAGTCTTGTGCACTCAGTGCTGTTTAAGATTATCAAGCAGGCGCAACCCAGAGATACGTATGTTGCTGCTGTTATGTGCACTGTGCTATATACTATATAGCTGGCCTGCTGAATTGTTAGAGATATGTGTGTTGCTGCTAGGTGCACTGTGCTATTTAGCTGGTCTGCTGGACTGGTGCCCGATGGGCCTGATGGTCGATGTGGTGTTTGGCTACTAGTATCTGTGTGCTTGTTTGTTGGTATCGTCGTCGACACTTTGTATTGCTTATTACGTGTGTTGCTACGGCTGGTGCTGTGAATAGATGTAGTGATCTGCTGCGTGCGTGTATGTGTGTGCGTGTACGTATGTGTGTGTGTGTGTGTGTGTGTGTGTGTGTGTGTGTGTGTGTGTGTGTATGTGCATGTGTTCTTGCAGCGTTCTATCCTGGCTCTCCGGTGTTCTGTGCATGAATCACCTGCGTACCGCAGCTCAGTTCAAGGGCCAACAGCCGGACACGCTCACTGCGTCTGATGGTGAGTTAGAAGCACACCAATTCGAAAATGTGCACACAAAGTGTGTCGGTGCAACACCACTACTGACATTGTACTGGTCTTCTTGTGTACGCGTTTTCCTGTTTGCTCCAAGCGCCTTATTTCCAGGCTTTGTGCCGTACTATTAAAAAGCTTGTATAGTTGTCCAGGTCTGGTCGATCAATGCTCACCTCTTTGCTGTTTCAACTGACCTCTCTGTATAAGAGTGTGGCCATATGCTAGTCACATGACAGAATAGATTGTTCACTGCAAACTTGTCACATGATCAGAGACAGCTAGTCACACGTACTGCCTTATCGTGCTTCCATGCACTAATGAGCCGTGTACCTTATCATCGTGTGTGAGCTGTGTCAAGATTCAAGCTGGATGCATGGTAGGTTTGCACTGTTGCGGTGCCTTCACGTCATCTCCATGCTGTGCCGGTGAACATCAGCTGTTGAGCGTGTGGAAGTGGTACTAAACTCGACGTCTCTTTCTTGTGATGTGTGCTCCATGTTGGCCAGGGTTCATGCTCAATGTCTGCTCGGTGATGTTACGCCTGTGCCAGCCGATCTTCACAACCATCGAAACGGATCGTCTGAGGAAGATTGATCCCAGCTACACGTCACGGCCCTGGTGTCGTCTGGATCTCCACGATGAGCCTTGCCTGGCACGGGGACGCATTGGTGAGTCGACCACTACTTGTATTTCAAATTTATCATGTGGGCCACTTGCATTTCAAGTCTATCATGCGGAAAGGCCATTTTACTGGGTTTTTTTTGCCTCTACTAGTTTTAATTGCAGTTGTGTCCTATGCACTGTCAAATGTATGTACATGTAGTTGAATCACTCGATCGCGTTTTGTCTGTCTGTATCTGTGCAGATGCCAAGGATCGTCTGAAAGCAGGCACTGAGAGGTTTGCTATGCCAGCCCTGTATCAAGGTATGAACTATAGCCTCTTACAAAGTTACAGCACACTGCTGCTAGCAAGAGTACATAACCAAGAGTATGCAACTCCTAACTGGAGCTGCGATGGGTTCACCCACGGTGGAATTTTTTTATTGTGGCATTCTTTTGGCAGAAGTATGACAAAGTTCGTATGCATTCCCGCGCTTGTTTTGTAGATACGATGAGAGTTCATCGGGTTCAAGACACATCGATCTATCGTGCGTTGTTCTGCTTCGACTACCGAAGCTGTGATGTACAAATTATTTGTACTTTGATCTCTGACTACGCATGATGGCATCAGTGAGCCAAACCACCGCCAAAGACTGATGTCATAAAAAAAAAATCCGCCCTGGGCTGGGGGATCGTCGAGTTCCACACTCTTATGTATGTACTCTTGCTGCTAGGTATGCAGTATAGCCTATTAGTACTGCTGCTGCTGCTGCTAGGTACTACAGTGCTGGGCAGAGAAATCCAACCTCATGAATAAAGTAGCGCCGCGTTTAATAGAGTGCACAGACCAGTGTTTGTAGTGCTAGGGCTGCGTAGCGCCCGGCAACGCTATTTTATTGATCAATAATAGAAATTAAAAAAGAGGACCAAAAGTTTACAAGTTATCCGTTTTGTCCAACACTAACGGTTATAAGCAGAATACTGTTGAGTCAAAAATGTGCAACAATTAGCACAAAACTTAAAATAATAAAAAAAGGTCGTTGAATGGCATGATCTCATCAGTCAGTTTTGTGCTAATTGTTGCACATTTTTGACTCAACAGTATTCTGCTTATAACCGTTAGTGTTGGACAAAACGGATAACTTGTAAACTTTTGGTCCTCTTTTTAAATTTTAATCCTTGGCTCTCCATCCGAGTTAAATAATAGAAATGCAACTATTATAAACCCAAAACAATTTTTTTTAAATGTAAAAAACTCAAAGCAAATGAAAAGAACCCAACCAGCCGCACACGGAGCACACAAGAGGCAACAGCATAAATAAGTAAACTTCCTCAAAAAATGTATCCTGTATCCTGTATATGCTGGGGCTCCCTGTAGATGCTGGAAAGCCGGGTTGGCTCCACGCAACCCCTGCATCTATGGGTCACATGATGTCGGTGGCCATGTCGGTTCCACTGTCCACATGCCATGATCACTTTCTACACAAATTTAGTCACATGAACAAGATGTGAAATCACGGAATTCCGCCGTGACAGACACCCATAGTAGAAAAGGCCCCAAGCTGCACACTCTGGTTTTCATGTACTCTTGTTTCTACACATATTTAGTCACATGACCAAAGATGTGGCGCCGCTCTATTGTGATGTTCTGTGTGTTGCAGGCTCGGCGAATTTCCTGACAGAATGTTTTCACATGACCCAGCTAGCTCTTTATGTCGGTGTCATGCCAACCATCCGTCGCTTCAACTCCGTCTTGCAGTGAGTACCATCCCAGTAGCATTCCATCTTGCCTAGCATGGGGAAGTTGCCCGGAACATATTGCCATTATTTGTGCAGCTTATGGAAAGGATTGTGAGTTTCACGCACAGGTCATCGTGTAACTCGCATACCAGTAAATATGGTATGGCAGTAGCCAAGGCCCGGGTCAATAGCAATCTTTCCCGGCATGCACACAGTCAGCTCGGTATCCTTGATTGACAACACTTTTGGAATGTGGGAAAGTTTGCAAGGCACATCGTTGCAATGTTGAGCCTCCGTCATCGAGTCGCGTACGGAAAACTACATAATTGTATTCAAAGTCAAACCCACTGTTTGTCAGTTATGACGGCTGATCCTGCCCTTGAATGGAACCCTCCTGCCTACAGCTCGGGGATTCTGTGCTAATTTTCTCATTTGTACCATCACCAACTATTATAAATATAGCATACAAGAGTTCCGTTTTTAGGTAATGGCCAACTAAGTAATCTTTCCGAAATGACCTTTATTCCATGCAAATGTGTCTGCGTATGTGTGTCTGCATGCGTCCATGCGTGTTTGTATGTCTGTGTGTGTGTGTCTGCGTATGTGTGTCTGTGTCTGTGTATGCATGCCTGCCTACATGTGTGTACATGTGTGTGTGTCTGTCTGTGTCTGTGCATCTGTGTATATGTACCGTGATATATTATTGTATGACTGTGCGTACACATGTACACAATCTTGTACACTGTGCTATGCTGTGTTGTGCTGTGCCTATAGTGACTTAGCCCGCGCTCAGCAGAGCAAGACTGGCAAGGAACGGGAGGATCTCAAGACTTACTCTGCAGTGAGTTCCACAGGCATGCGTTGTACCATGATTGTGCAGTGGCCTACACACAGTTCAGTCATTGACTCCTACATGCTCTGGATTGCAATGATAGGATAAACCTGGGTTTTCCCAATACGGTTCAAATGGTCGCAAGACCGGGACTCTGCCAACCGGGTTATGATTGTAGTCAGGAGCACTACGCGTCCTCGCCTTGTAACATGCTGTCAAAATCGGAAAAAAAATGATTGGTTGTAGACAAATATCTCGCCAAGACATTCTCGTGATCATGGACGACTCGTAGTGTCACCATCAAGCTCTTGTGTAGTACATGTACCGTAAAGTACCGCCAGAGCGCCCCACCATCTCATCCTTTCGTGGTCGTATTGTGGAGGTGGTCTGCTGTCTGTAGGTCATACGACATGAACCTTGTACACATATTGCACGTTTTGCAGTCAATCCGTACCTTCGAGCGGACACAAGCTCCACACAAAACCCTGCCAAGCGTGACCTTAGTACACTAAGATTCTCACATCGTACAAACTTCGTTGCACTCTGCCATACGATTTTCCTTTCTCAGGCTGTAAAATCAAGGTGGGGCGCTCTCGCGAGACGGGGCGCTCTCGCGGTACTTTAGGGTATTACAACTCGCTTGGGTCATACTAGTATTCTTATCTTGATTCTTCTATGCTGTGTGTGTACGTGTGTGTGTGTGTGTGTGTGTGTACGTGTGTGTGTGTGTGTGTACGTGTGTGTGTGTGTGTGTGTACGTGTGTGTGTGTGTGTGTGTGCGCATGTGTGTGTGTATGTGTGGGTGTATGTATGTATGTGTGGGTGGATGTACGTGTGGGTGTGTATACGTGTATGTGTGCATGCTCACATGTGTCATGGCGTGTCCAGTTGTTCTACTTGAGTTGGTCCACGTGTCTGCTGGATCCGGTGTTGGTGCGCCAGATCAGCGAGTTCTACGTCACACAGGCGGTGTGGATCAACATGCTGCTGGTTAATGCTGCCCAGGTAAACTGATGTGGTGTTGAGGCTACAGCCTACTCTAATGTAACTTCCGCTGCATGACTTGAAGGCACTGAAAGGGTGAAGTAATTTCGTTTTGCACTGGGGAGTAAATAATAATGAAGATATGGCCGAAGAAGCTGGAAACAACACAAAGTTCAAATGCAGACCAGAAAGAATTGCCTACAGCACTGATGTTCTACCTTTGTGTATGCAATCACACTTCTGTCCTAAAGTAAAGTGCATGCAGTATAATGAAGTTGCATGTTGCTACTTGGTTTGCACAAGTGTCACCGAGTTGCCACGTCTATTGTGTGTCCTAGGTGTCATGCAGGTTGCCATGGTGAGCTATTGCTCGCCAACCTCTTTGATGAGAAGTACTGGTGTGGCGTGTGTAATGCTGATATAATGGCTTGCTTCTCTCTCTTTCTCTCTCTCTCTCTCTCTCTCTCTCTCTCTCTCTCTCTCTCTCTCTCTCTCTCTCTCTCTTGCACTTGGTCTCTCTGCTCTCTCTGCTCTCTCTGCTCTCTCTGCTCTCTCTGCTCTCTCTCTCTCTCTGCTCTCTCTCTTTCTCTTTCTCTCTCTGTTCAGGAGGGTGGCAGCGAGGAGGAAATACATGAGCGGCAGCGTAACGTCTGCTCCAACATTCTTGAGTTCTCTATCAAGGCCATGACCTCATGGTTTTCCTTTGTTGTTCAGCACAAACCTTCATTGCTTACTGGTCTCTCCGTAAGTCCATGTATGCGTTCACATGATTGTGTGTGTGTGTGTGGGGGGGGGGGGCATGAATCAGTTCACATGAGTGAGCGGGGTATGTAATTGACCTTCATGTAGCCTAAAAACAAAGTTTTAATACGGTAAACACTTTTCTTTGGATCGCCTTTTGCCTTCAAGAGATGAATTGTTATTAAATTGTTTGCCTTCTGCTGCCATATCTATTTTTTGTGAGAGGTGCATAAGTTCTCCAAGCACAGCCACAACGATACATCCCATTCCCTGTTACTGCAAATGCTGACCCAGTTTGGTGTCGGAATAGCCATGCTTAGTGTTTACTGCCTTCGCTTGAACATTCACAAGCTGATGCTGCTGATGCTGCTGCTGCTGATGCTGCTGCTGGGTGGGTGCGTGCGTGCGTACGTGCACACGTGTGTGTGTGTGTGTGTACTGTATAATGTACACTATACCTGGAAGTGCATGGTAATATTGATAACTTGTGCGTCGGAAAAGCAGCAAAGCTCTTCTGTACCGTATTTCCCCGATTCTAAGTCGCACCCCAGTTTTCAGGTTTGAGCCAGTTTGGATACATTCACATCAGTACTAATAAGGCGTGCTTGATTGTCGCATCCCCCTTTTTACCCTTGAATTTTAATGTAAAAAGGTGCGACTTATATTGGGGGAAGTACGGTATATGGGACTTACCACTCGCCTTTGCTTCATATACGGCAGCTGTGAACTTGTGATGTAATGTTGCATGCTCTGTATTGGTTATTCATGTTGTGCATTGCATTGTAGATGACGGCGTTGGTAGATTGCTGTGTCCTGTTGCTGGAGAGACCCGACCTGCTGCCCAGCCCTCTAGCCCAGACACGTATTGTTGAGCTGCTACTGGTCTTCCTGGAGACGTCGAACCGAGCCTCACAGCACCGGCCTGGACACGGCTGGGGTAGCGGTGTCCACACCGAGCTGGCTAGTATTGTACACACCAGTCCAACCGTACAGACACAGTTAGGGCCGGCTCTGCTTCACACGTACGCTGCCGTCGATCTTGTCGAAGGTCTCGACGTCGACAAAGAAGACTTTGATAAGTTTGGAGCACGGTAAGTGAAGCCAATTGTTTTTATATGCGGACTGGCTAACCCAATGGCAGGAACGCTGATGTCATTTGAACATTCCCATTGTGTCCGTGAACGGCACTGTCCTTGCTCGGCAGCTGCGACTGGCTACTAACTTGTTCTACTATGTCACGCTAGGTGTGAAGTTTTTATGTAATATTTGTTTCTCTCTCTTTTTCTCTCTCTCTCTCTCTTTCTCTCTCTCTTTCTCTCTCTCCCTCTCTCTCTCTCTCTCCCTCTATCTCTCTCTCTATCTCTCTCTATCTCTCTCTCTCTCTCTCTCTCTCTCTCTCTCTCTCTCTTCTTAGTGCTCATATCCAGAAGCTGCTGAAGCACATGTGGTCCAGGAACGATTGTCGCAGTTCAGTTATTGCCCAGGTTGGCACACCTCGCTTTGAGGTGAGTTGCACTTGTAGTCAAGCACATGCTAGTGTCTCTATGACTCAGTATGAGCTACCTGTGCTGGTTCTGTAGTGAAGATTTCTATTCTCACTGTGTCTACGGAATTACTTCAGTATATCTGTGGAAAGCTCTAGTTTGGGTGACGGTTGCCATTGGTTTGCATGCTGAACCCTTGTGCTTTGTTGCAGAATTTGGTGCAGCGCTACTGTGTTTGTGTGAATGTGGGTGTGGGTGTAGGTGTCAGGGCATGACACCTGCCGATTTTATAGTTTGGTACTTCCATTCATTGGTGGTGGAGTGCTCTAAGGTGTTTTCTTGAGCACACTCCTGCTTCTCCCCCCCCCCTCTCTCTCTCACGTTTCTCTCTCTGTCTCTCTCTCCACCGTATTCTCGCTGCAGCGCTTTCTAAATGCCACCTTGGACACACTTCTGTATCAGATGAATGATGCGCTGCGCCGTGTTGCCAATGTGCGTCAAATACAACTAGCTAAGGATGATGGTAAGTCTGAGTGAGGATGATGCTGCAATCTGTGTGTCTGCCAACAAAGGGATGTGATCAAACCCAACAACAGAGTGGAGTCCTGGAGTGCAGCTAATTTATGGATCGTCCAAAGTTCAGAATAGCATGCGGCCATAGACAGGCACTCTGCGGCACTGAAAACAATGCAAGCGAACATGTCATGCTATGCCCTCTCGGCTCGTACCGTAGTGAAGTACCGCAAGAGCGCCCCGCCGCTACGTGCTATATGTTCTCATGATGTTGTTCATTGGTTTGAGGGAAAGACGCAAACGGGAAAAGTCTGAAGAAAAAATTGTTGTTGTTGTTCGTCTTGTTCGTCTTTCTCTTTATTTGCAATTGCAGAGAAGGCATGGAAAGCCCTGTCTTCCAAGGAACGCCGAGAGAAGGAGGGGTTCCTGCGTAGTGAGGAGAGTGTCGGCAGTGGCTTCATGAAGATGGTTAGTGGCAGTGTTCGCATTAGGGCTGTTCTAGCACTGATGTAGCAGAAACATTGTAGTTGGTTGTTCCAACGAGGAACACACGCTTCCTGCCGAACTTGACACTTGACTGACTCACCACTGCCATCCGGAGCACACGAGGAGCCCGTCGCACCCTCCACTCGGCTAACCTGCAAGAAAGCACCACTCCCTGCTCAATACACAGAAAACATTGTACTTCGAAGTAATACTCAAGGAAGGTTGTTATCAATAGGCCCTTAGCCGCTTCGTTTGCCATGCTCTTGGTGAACAATGATGAAACTAGACTGGCTGCGTAGTCTATTATTGCTCCTGCTTGTGTTGCTGCTTGTGTTGCTGCTTGTGTTGCTGCTTGTGTTGCTGCTGTTGCTGCTTGTGTTGCTGCTGTTGCTGCTTATGTTGCTGCTTGTGTTGCTGCTTGTGTTGCTGCTGTTGCTGCTTGTGTTGCTGCTGTTGCTGCTGTTGCTGCTTGTGTTGCTGCTGTTGCTGCTTGTGTTGCTGCTGTTGCTGCTTGTGTTGCTGCTGTTGCTGCTTGTGTTGCTGCTGTTGCTGCTTGTGTTGCTGCTGTTGCTGCTTGTGTTGCTGCTGTTGCTGCTTGTGTTGCTGCTGTTGCTGCTTGTGTTGCTGCTGTTGCTGCTTGTGTTGCTGCTGTTGCTGCTTGTGTTGCTGCTGTTGCTGCTTGTGTTGCTGCTGTTGCTGCTTGTGTTGCTGCTGTTGCTGCTTGTGTTGCTGCTGTTGCTGCTTGTGTTGCTGCTGTTGCTGCTTGTGTTGCTGCTTGTGTTGCTGCTTGTGTTGCTGCTGTTGCTGCTTGTGTTGCTGCTGTTGCTGCTTGTGTTTCTGCTGTTGCTGCTTGTGTTGCTGCTGTTGCTGCTTGTGTTGCTGCTGTTGCTGCTTGTGTTGCCATCCTGTATCATGTTCTGCTCTTTGTTGTTGTTGTTGTTGTTGTTGTTGTTGTTGTTGTTGTTGTTGTTGTTGTTGTTGTTGTTGTTGTTGTTGTTGTTGTTGTTGTTGTTGTTGTTGTTGTTGGTGTGGGCGTGGGTATTTGTGTACAGGCCGTGAAGACGCTGAGCCTTCTGGAGCAGATGGTCGAGGAGCCAACCGTAGCGAGACTCTTCTGGAAAGCCCCGCTGAGCGTCCGTGCATCTGCTGCGGTATGTGTACTATGTTTGCTACCACACGTACATCTACATCATATACACAGTTGTCTAAAGCCCCTTGGCTGCTTACAGTGCTCAATGTCCACTGGACAGAGCAAGTAATAAAAACATTACACAGCAATGAATCAAACAAGTCTCTTTCCGCTGTTACTCCGAGTTTCGTGTCAAAACACTTCATCAGACAGCTGTCTGATGAAGTGATGATCCGATGTGATGATCCGTCGGGGAAGTGAACTGCCTGAAAAGAGAGAAAAAACGCCAGACCCACCAGGACTCGAACCCGGGACCTTGCTTGTCATGAGCAATGCTCTAACCACTGAGCTATGGGACCAGGCTGAACCTACAATTGTAGGGTTCGAGTCCTGGTGGGTCTGGCATTTTTTCTCTTCTCGGGCAGTTCACTTCCCCGACTGATCCTTTGAATTTGAAGCTCTCCCAATCCTTTCAAAATTACTTACAAGTCATAAAAAGGAGTTTGATATCATTGCAGAGTGAATGGGAAGGAGCAAGTCTGCTCTGACCTAGTCTTCCTATGATAGTACTGTGGCTAATGTTTAGACGGGGACTGTGCGTGTGTTTGCGTACGATCGTGTGTGTGTGTGCGTTTTGTTCGCAGATTGTGGAGTTCATTGATTCCCTTTGCGGCGGTCACAGGATGGACCTGAAGGTCAAGGATCTGGAAAAGTCAGTGCCAGCGATCGCAATGTCCCTTGTATAGATTCTTGGTTGGAGAGAAGCAAACCAACACGTGAAGCACAGAAGCCATGTAGTTTCGACTAGGCCTTTCATACCATTCATTTTTAAGTCAAATACAGTTATGTCACTGCTCTGACTGCCAAACTGCCGGTTATAAGGACTTCCTTGCTGCTGTATTCGACTTGAAAAGTAATGGTATGAAGGTAGACCTAGTCGAAACTACATGGCTTCTGTGCTTCGTGTGTTGGAATGTTCCTTGTCTTGACTGTCCAACCTCACCTGCATGGTACAGGTATTGTGCTGGAGTTCTGTGCTGCAGAACATTGTCTCCTTCTTCCTTTTCTTTCCCATTTGTCTCTTATCTGTATCTGGATTCTTGGCAGTACATGTAACAGCAATGGCTCATTTGTTGGTCTGTGCTGCTTCATAATCTCAGTCTGTGTTCGGACATTCCAACACCAATCAGCTTTGCAGTATCCTCTGGTGCCTTGATCTTTCTCAAGTAGTTGTGTTCGTCGGTCCTAAGTTAGACCCCATTGCTTAACTCTGTGTTTGGCTGTCATGTTCCTGTTGCTGCTGTTGCCCTATAGGATGAACTTCAATCCACGTCAACTTGTCTTGACCATCGTGTCGCTGGCCCTGCGGATGGCCGGCTTACTTGAGAGCAGCGGTAGTTCGATGGCCAGCCTCATGTCATCACTCTCCACGCCTGCTGCTGCATCGCTGCCAGCAGCTGGTCAGATCAGCAGTAAGTTGTGCATGCATTCATTCATACTTTATTTAAAGATTCTCCTAAAGGAAATGGATAGTTATCAGGGGAGTTTCCTGGAAGGGTGAATGGGATGAAAGGGAAGTGACAAGCACGCTAGGCCTAGCTGACTACCGCCAGAAAGAACACCCGCCCGCCGCAGTAAGGAAAAAGTACGGTGACTCCCTATCGTGTGGAGGGATTAGCACTGCGGCCAATGTTGCGGAACCAATGAACAATTATTCATTAGTTAGAGAGAGGTGGACAATGAATGATTGCATGTAATTGTTGTATTCTGAACATCTTCCCTAAGCACGTGCAATGCATTTTAACGAGAATAGACTCCAGACAATTTGCCTTTGGATTGTCACAATCTCGTTCTAAACACGGCAATTGCATGTGTACATGCTCTATATGTGCTTAGTCTTGCAAACCGCATGTAGATCTGGAGACTTACAAAGAAAACACTTGCTGTCGTGTGCACGTCATGTGCTTGTGTGTGTGCACTGCAGGTGGAGCAAGCCTTTCCTCGCCGGACCTAGACGAGACAAGTCAGAGCAGTACTGACAGCATTGCTAGTACCGGTACTGCTGCTGCTGCTGCCGCCGCCGCTTTGTCTGCGTCCAGCGAGGATTGCAACGGCTTCATTACAGCCCTTGCCGAGCATCCGGATTACTCCGACGCCACCATGGTGCAGGCCGGGCATATCCTGCACCAGTGCCCAGGTGCTTCGGAGCTTCACATCAAGGCCTTCCAATCTCTGATGGACAAGGTGCGTGTGTGTTTATATGTACTCCTGCTGGCCGGTTTGATAAGTTGTACACAAGCGTGCAACTGCAGAATAGGCGCCACGGAAAATATCAAAACAGTTCTAAAAACACATGAACTGTCAACTATTTACTTCAACGAATAAAACCCGAAACCTGCTGAGTGCTGTACTGTAAACATAATACAAATAGTTCGACGTACAGAGTGTCAAAAGCCGCGAACATAATACTTTTAAAGTACGAGTAAACATATTGTACAATTCTTAGAATGTCACGAACTTCGAAATATCGGTGCTAAATTCTGTGCAGAAGGTCCCATCCATGCTCGAAGCACTTCGAAAATATGAGTACTGCTGTTCGTGCCTGCTTCGAATTATCAATCTCGCTTGTATGGACGTCACACAGATGGAAATCGGTGCATGGAAAATGTTCGAAATAAGCAAGACCGCTTTAATTAATGGGCTGCACAAGCCACTGTGTCCCCTTATACAGATCCGTGTGCACGATTCTCCTGTGTCCCAGGTGAAAAACTTGATGACGTCATTATCAGCTGACGGTCTTCCGCTGGGCGACCTGACAGTTGAGTCTGAGGATGCAGCTGACGGTGGTGATGGCACTGCAGCTGTATCTACAGCCGCCTGGCAGGACCTAGCTGAGGCGGTCGATCTCTGCATTGACGGTGTCGCTGATCTTTACGTGGAGGCCCTGCGTGATTCGGTCGTCGACACTACCGAGGAACTGGCGGTAAGTTGGTGTGCTTAAGTGCCAGATGCTGTCTGTTTGTTGTGGATTCTGTCTGTAGTTTTGTTATGGATGCTGTCGGTTGTCTTGGATGAACAACAGGCCATGCATGGAAAAAACAATATGCCTAAATTGTATATGTGATTGGATGGCTGTGTGTGTGTTTGTGTGTGTGTGTGTGTGTGTGTGTGTGTATGTGCGTGCATGCGTGCGTGCGTGTGTGTCTGTCGGTGTGTGTTTGTGTGCCTGTGTGTGTATGTGTCTGTGTCTGCTTAGGATGATCACGCTATGCAAAGTCAGTTTGCAGATCAGCCACTGGATCCACGGTACGGCAGCAGCTTCTTTGAATTGGACATTTTGGTATATGAGACTAAGAGTACAGAGTATTTGTCTGAGGAATTGGAGATAGATTTTTGGCGTACAGGTGTCGATGAACAGTGGAGGAATTTGCGTTCTATGCTGTTTATTGAAGTTCAGCTGCGTGTTGATTGCACCTTTTTCTCCTGAAATCTTGGCCGGTCATGAAAATGCTGCCAAGTGTTCCACAGCATGTGTGCCAAGTTACGCCAGAAAAGCAAGAGAAAAGAACAAAACCATCTCTGCTAAATGTCAAAAGTCGTTTTTCAGATGACCTGCGTTGTAGTACAGGGGTTGCCGGCTACTCTGAGACCCCCAATACATGTACTGTATATTCAGTACTACCCTGTCTACAAACGGTGGCTGCTGCTGCAGGGTGCTATTGACCTGCATGTATTGTACAGGTTGATAACTACTTGTAGTAAGTTGTAGTAACTACAGAGAGGTATTGACCTACTACATTGTATCTACTGTAAGTTGAGTTGGCCTAGCTACATGGTCTACCAACGCCATCCTTATCCATGTTCCAGTAGACTACCTATTGCTACAGTGGTAAGCCGTAGTGTGTGACTCTGTGCGTGCTCTGTGCGTGTGCAGCTCGCCGAAAGTGCACGCTCTGATGAAGGAGGTGATGAAGCTGCCCACCAGTTTGCCTCTGCACCCTGGCTCATCGATCTTCCTGCGCCAAGATGAGGATCGGCTTGACGTGATCCGTGCAGTGATTACTGGTCCTATGGACACGCCGTATAGCCTTGGCTGCTTTGCGTTTGACATCTACTGTCCGGCATCCTATCCTACCAATCCACCCCTGGTCAAGCTGATCACCACGGGCAGTGGAACTGTCAGGTATGGTGGTGATGATTGTGTGTGTGTGTCTGTCTGTCTGTGTGCGTGTGTGTGTGAGTGTGTGTGTGTGAGTGTCGGTACTGGTTTGATGTGAAAGTGTATGTGCCAGGGAACATGTATTCCACTGCTTTTTTTTCTCATTCTGAAAGGTACAAATAAAGCTACCCCATACAATGCCCTCAACCGAAGTACGTAGGCTAAGCCAATCTACTTCACTAGCCCGATAATTATGATGTTCTTATAATAGTCCGTACCTGAAGGCCTGTGCAGTACTGCAGACAGTGTTCTTGTTGCTAGGGAGCATCCCAGCCTGGTAGTTCTTCAGCACACTGCATTCAGACCAGTGCGGTCTATTCTGCACGTCGTGTTTCAAAGAGCCCGTCATTGTGATAGCCGCTTTGATTCGTCCTGGTTGACGTGGATTGGCCTGCCGTAGGGAATGCAGTGTGCGCTTTCACTTGCGAGACATTGTCAAGTTAGCGACAAACGGCTGAACTCAGTGAAATATCATTAGCACATCCTGTTTCATTCCAGATAAGTAGCGGTTTGGTAAATACCATGTCGTTCGTCTCTTGAACTCTGCTGTGTTTGTGTCATGCTCTGTCGTTGCCAGGTTCAACCCCAATCTATATGCAGATGGAAAGGTAAGCTGCATGCCATATCTTGTGTACGGCTTCCGGTGAAGTGAACCATTCCGCATGCTGTTGCTGCTGCTCCAACGCTCTATTTCATTTCCTTTGTAGACAGCAGGCAGTTGCTGACGCTGTTGCGAAGTAGTCTGAGTACTGGCAACAGACCTGCTGGAAGGAAGGTGGTTTGTAGAGCTGCGGTGGTGCAGGGACAAGTACTGCGGGGTGTAGCAATAGACATGTTTACTGCACTTCTACCTCCAAGTACTGTCGGGGACATTGAAACCAGTTGAGAAGTCAAGTGGCCTTCGGGCGCTGGCCTTGCAGCCGTAAGAACCGCTTGTCCATTTTTGCAGTGTGTACGCGCTAAGGCCAGGCAGTAAGGGTGCTGTCCCCGGTCATTCCACAGGATTTCCATGTCCACAAGAGCACATGTACTGGAGAAAGCAAGTGACGTGTACTGTAAACACGTTGTGTGTCTGCACTACTCGGATGTGTTTTCAGCCAGCCCCAATGCCCTGCCTGTAGCGCCGCATAGCTTATTCTGAGTGGACACAACACACAGCAATGTGCATATTTCTGTCAAAAGTGCCGTGCCACGGCTCCTTGCCGTTAGCACTGTGCAGCGTGTAGTGTGTATGTAACAGCAGGCATATACACAGGTGTATAGACTGAGAAGTAAGTTGCATATTTGAGTGCTATGACAGTGCACTCATCAGACAGCTTCTTGGCTAGTGTGTGATCATGAAACGCTGGGTAGTAGCTTACTTGAACGGCGTATGCACTGGTGCTAGTTACTATTCATGCCATCGCTCTATCTCTGATGGTGAGTCATTGGTGACTGCTCTCTTTCACACCTGTAGATCTACATCTTACTTTGTATGCACTTGCCACTTGCCATGTGTGTGTTGTTCAGGTCTGTCTCAGTTTGCTGGGTACCTGGCACGGTGGAGATGCCAGTGAGAAATGGGACCCGAAAACGTCGTCCATCTATCAGGTAATGCATGTGCTTGTGCTTGTAGTTTGGCATGCTTTGAGATTTTTTTATTATTATTATTATTATTTTTACTGGTTCCAAAGTTACGACCGTTTCAAGTTCAACAATTCAAATGAAAATGAGTACGCACGGATCGAAAATTTGTACAATTTTGCACTCCATGCAGTCGGTGATTTTCACTGGAACCGCGTACTACGAGCGAGTTTTTTTTCATGCTTTGAGATAGGGCCTCCTTTGAATGATAGTGCTGTGTCAGCCTGTCTGCTTCTCTGTCTGCGTAAACACCTCTCTGAGATTCATCCATCCGTTCACTACCTGTGTCATGTAACGGTTATATCCTGTATACTGTAGCGGACATTGAAATCCGTTGAGAAGTCGAGCGGCCACGGGGCGCTGGCCTTGCAGCCGCGAGCACTGCTGGTCCCTTTTTACAGTGTGTACTTAAGTACAGTGAACTACAGTGCATGTATATATGCTAAAAGTAGTGAGGGTGCCTGCCGACCGCTGTCGTCCCATCAGATTTCAATGTCCAAGACAGTGCATGTGTTTGTGTGTGTGTGTGTGTGTGTACGTGTGTGTGTGTGTACGTGTGTGTACGTGTGTGTGTACGTGTGTCTGTGTGTGTGTGTGTCTGTGTATGTGTGTGTACGTGTGTGCCAGGTCTTGTTGTCTATCCAGGGCATGATCTTGATCCCGGATCCCATGTACAACGAGCCTGGCTATGAGCGGATGCGGGGAACCACGGAAGGAAACGTAAGTAGGAGTGTACAAGGTAGCCTTGGCATTGTACTGCAGTCAGCGCACAACCTTATTCGCAGAAGCTTTCGTTTTGTATGTCTCCTCATGTTCTTTTTTTGTGTGTGCATGTGTGTGTGTGTGTGTGTGTGTGTGTGTGTGTGTGTGTGTGTGTGTGTGTGTGTGTGTGTGTGTGTCTGTGTGTGTGTGTGTGTGTATGTGTGTGTGTGTGTGCGTGTGTGTGTGTATGTGTGTGTGTGTGTGCGTGTGTACATATGTGTGTGCGTGCGTGCGTGCGTGTGTGTGTGTGTGTGTGTGTGTGTGTGTGTGTTTGATGTCTGTACACTCCAGGAGCGTAGCACCAAGTACAATGCTAGTTTACGTCTATCCACAGTGCGCCATGCTATGCTGGGCATGCTACGTAAACCACCCATTGGTAAGCCATGCACCGTACGTATAGTACTGCTCGCGTGAGTCAAGTTTGCACCCTGCACCAGTGCAGTGCACAGCCCAGTGTTGACAGGGCTGGGGCTGTACAGCAGCTGCTGGCGTGACAATGACTCAAGGGATTGGGTTTTTTTGGCCAGAACTGAAGCGAATGCTTTGCATGATGTGAGTTTTCGCCGTCAGTCTCCCCCACCTGCAGAGCTGCACACTCCTCAACTTCAAGGCAGCTAGTTCACTCTTGTGTGTGGGCTATGGTGGCTGTACGTGGAGCTGAACTAGTGATAATTCACGTAGCTGCTGGCCATTCTGAGAATTTTTGACCATGTGATATGTGGTCTACTGTAGCAGTGTCTAATCTGCCTTTACAGACACAGACAGTACATGTACATGTACTGGACTTTACTACACACACTTGAGAGGAATCAAACGCGTTTCTGCTGTAACTCTGAGTTTCACGGTTTTAACCGATCATCAGACGTGACATGACATGTACATGACTTTACTACGTGAGCGGTTGCGCTCGGTGAAATCCGACCCAAAGTACAAGGCTGGCTCACGCCGTGGACCGTTTCCGATCACATCACTGTATGTGTACATGTGTGCGTCCGGCAGCATTCACACCACTTCCAGGGCGTTGAGGGCTGTCCAGGGCGCTGGATATTCCCGTTGAGTTGGATTTCACTCAGCGCGACATGTTAGGAATGGGTTTTTCTCCCACACTGGAGCTCGCACTATTCCGCCGACTTTACTTGTGGGAGCAAACCCATTCCTAACAAAATCATCGCCGAAGTCGCAACCGCTATTTCGTACAACTGTACCTGATTGTACAAATGTACTGTAACGTGCAAGCACAGTCGGATAGAAACAAGAGTAAATAAGCTCCCGAGAGTGTGCAACTCTGCATATGGTGTGTTGTCTCTGATGGCGAAAACTCACAGGGAATACTGTTTTTACTACTCTGCTGCTGGCTAAAAACGGGCCGAGAGCACACAAAGGGAACACTGCACCACATGATGTGAGTTCTCGCCATCGGCAAACGCCATAGAAAGGATATCAGGAGTTGCACACCCTTTGGGAGCTTATGTGGGCCGCGATCAGCTAAAACATGTCTTTGGGGTTTCGTAAAAAAGTTGGGAAATGACGAAATGAAAAAAATGTTTTTTGGAGCGCGTTCACTCTGCACTTCATTCAAATGATTCATGATGTGGTGATCATCTTCTCAAATTTTGTTCAAACACTTGTTTGGCGTACTACTTCAAGTAGCTGGCGAGCAAAGACTGACAATGTCCGCATCTAGTGATACAAGAGCAGCTCGCACGGCCAGACGATCGCTGTGCATGGCCCAGGTTTGTTCAGGTGTCTGCAAGTCCGTGGCGGCGGGTCTGCAGAGCGACGCTGACAATTTGTTGGGATCTCATTGATGTTGATGTCGACAGCGAAGCTGAATCGTCCCCGTCGTCTCCAGTAGTGAAGAGGCACAAGTTGTGGGCTAGTACATAATCATTTAGGCGGCGAACCGGCTGCCTTACGACGTTACTTGCGTTCAGCTCTCATGAGGCGTCTGACGCAGTCTGGGAAACGCAGGCGGCGATCGAAAGTGTCACTGCCAGAATCGAAAGAGTATGCAAGTGCAACGCCGCCCAGCGCATCGTGTTGCTTTCCAGGAAGAACTTGGGCCATGCCTTTGAACTGATGTCGTTGACATGCTCAAGTCGGTGTCAACATCTTTAGTTCCGTTGTATTGTGCTCCGCCACAAAAGCCACCAAGTAATAGTTTGTCGCTTTGTGTCAGACTGTGCGAATACTGTCATTTTTATTTCAAAGTACACATTTTGAAAGCGGTGTTTGGGGCACTTGTAGACTACTTTTCTGCCCTGTATCACCTTCAAGAGGTCAAGTAAGGTCCCAAGAACTGTTTTCTGGAGGAAAACAAAATTTGAAAATTTTCACCCTAAGACATGTTTTAGCTGGTTGTGGCCCATGTACTCGTGGTAGAACTTTAGATATGCATGTTGTCGTTGGCCTTGTCGCAGCGTGTTTCCAACTGATGTTTTTTCTAAACCTTTGTATGACTCCTTTCTTGGTGTTGTTTCGCCAGGATTTGAAGACATCATCGCTGTGCACTTCACCATTCAGAAGGATGTGATATTACGCCAGCTGTCGCGCTGGCTACGCGAGTGTCAGTCCCCTGGTGAGGAACAGAAACTGCGCCGAGCCGTTGATGAGTTCAGGGCTGAGCTGGAGAAGGTCTGAGACTGAGAGGCTGCGCGTGTGACATCTTCTGCACTGCACCTCGCCATGAAGGTAGCGATGTCATCGCTGTAATGACGTACCAATCTGTCTCTTTCTCTTCGGTGTCTTATGCTGCGCTTGCCGTTGTTTGTGCTTGCCGTTGTTTGTGTTTGCCGTTGTTTGTGCTTGCCGTTGTTTGTGCTTGCCGTTGTTTGTGCTTGCCGTTGTTTGTCGCCCCCCCCCCCCCCCCCCCCGTGCTGCCTCTTAGCAGCATGTCCTCTGCCGCGTCCTGTACCCTCTACCGCCAAGTCTTGTACCCTCTGCCGCCAAGTCTTGTATCCTCTGCCGCCAAGTCTTGTACCCTCTGCCGCCAAGTCTTGTACCCTCTGCCGCCAAGTCTTGTACCCTCTGCCGCCAAGTCCGTGATTATCTACTATTATACTTTACTTTCCCTTTCCGTGCGATTCTTTCCTCTTTCCTCCTTCGCCGTTCGCAATAACATGTCTCGTCGCTTCTTTTTGATGCGTGTGTAGGTGGGTGCGTACATGGGTGTGTATAGCATTCCCCTATCAGTCTACCCTATTTTCTGTTGAGTGTGCTGTTGCGTTTCCCCGCTCGGTTCTTTGCGCTCTCACGCTCGCCCGTCTTGTCGCGCATGCAGCAGTGTAGTTATCTGCTTACTGCAATACGTGACTGCTGTCTGTTGTAATGGAACTTCACAACACAGCTGTTTTGCCGGCTGCTGCCCCGCTTCCTGAGCACGTTCACCCGACGCCATGGCCGTTGCTACTTCAGAAGTACACGTGCAGCCTATTCCTGATCTATTCCGATCTATTCTGTTCATTTTATTTTTATGATCTGGCAGCTACTGGTATGGAACTTGCCCACTAGGGAGTCGTAAAATACCGGTATTTTACGACTCCCTGTTGCCCACGTACGCATGTAGAGTCTTGCTTGCTTGCCCTCGTGCTCAATTTTAACCTCGCTATCCAGCACCTTCCAGTTGTTTGATTCCATTGTCTTGCTCCATCAGTCACACAACGTCACACGTGTACAGCTTGTCTTGCTACATTCTGACTGCACAGCGTCAGGCGCACATGTCTGTTGTACAGTGCAATGCTTCCATGGTTCCATGGTTTAAAAGCTGAAGATGTGTTTTAAAAGTCTGATGATGCAACGTGTTCTTTATGACTCCCCTGTTATCAAAATGGGACGCTGCGTGTAGTTGCAATGCATTCATTTGCAAGTACAGACTGTCACAGTGTGTTGCATCCTAACGGCCACAACTCAACCAAGAGTAATATGGAGGGGGGAGGGGGGGGGGGGGGTAAGTACAGTACAACCTGAGACTAACAACCACCTCTTGGGGCCAGAGAAAGACTATGATTAAGTGGTCTTTAGTGGCAGGTGGTCCTTGGTTAGAGGTTTGCACCGCACAACCATTATTATCAAGAGTAGATAAACAAGAGTGTGCAACTCGCGGATGGGTAGGCCCACGGCGGAATGTTTTGTTGACGTAATCTTTTCGACGAGGCATGCGCTGCGAGTTTTTCGGAAGTTTTCCCTCGTGCTCTTGGCCGGCTTTACACTACAACAAGGTCGGTTCCCAGCACGTGCTCTCACACTGCTCTACGCCTACTACGGCAAAATGTGCGTTCTTCTGAAAAAAGGTGACGTCAACAAAAAATTCCGCCAAGGGCGGGGGTATCTGCAGATTATGCAGGAGAGATCCGGAGTTGCACATAGTCCATCGGCCAAATCTCAGAAAGGGCCTCTTTCGGCGAAGGTGATGCACTGAAGCTCCAACTAAACGCCCTTTGGCACACTAGCTCATGAGACCCCATAGAATACGAATCCGTTTGTTGGACGTTGCCAATCCAGTCCAGGATAGTCGAACTGGGTCGAATACCTTCTTCCGATTTTCGTAATTTCGTCCACCATTACATCTTTCTCATCGACTTTTTTTCGCTTGGCGAATGTTCTTGAGCCGCTGAGCAGAATCTACGCACGCTCGAACACTTGAAATGCCTGCATGTTGACGGTTCGCAAGATTCTAGCGAGCTTGGTGGAAATCTATTATTTATTTTGACATTTTTTATCTGAATTAGAACGGTAGAAGCTTATTCGGAGAAGACGGCGTGTCGCCGCTGTCGGATTGTCGCTACTGTGTTTCAGACGTATTTGCTTGACCGTGCTATTGAGGATGGACAGAAGATGAAGTGACGGCTTTCTTGAACACGGACGTTTTGTCTACATTGTAGCTGAAACATCTCATCTGGCGTCTAGAACGCAATTATTATGAGTTGTGAGTGCCAGCTGAGCTGAACACAAGCTGGACACCATTCGTCAGCTGGGAATTTGCATCGAAGCTCTTGATAGCCACGATAAGCATTGGTCCTTATTCACAATTACGTCATCGGCTCGCGCCGGGGGTATACTTGAGATTTCGTGGTGAGAAAGACTTCACTTCTTCCAAAATTTTCGTCTTGGACATCAGACAGTTGTGGTTGTTTTTATTTCGAGAGTTAGCCCTCACGTCGAGTTCCAGGCAGTGCCTGTCGTGGAGTATCACCGACTGGTCCGTCAGCTATGAGTGCCAAGAAAGTTTCGTCTTTAGCCGACTTGAGAGTGCCTGAGCTGAAGAGGCTACTCCGTGAACATGGCTTACCCCTTTCCGGAAAGAAGGACGAACTGATTGGGAGGTAAGCTTTCTTCGTTTCACTTCTTACTCAGTAGTGTGTTGCCGAAAATTACTAAACTCTCCCAGGCGTCTGTTTTTTCGTTATTGGCCCGCGTGCAAAGAATGGAGCTGAACTAAAAATATTTTTCAAAAACCAGTAGACTTGTGTAGCATGGCTACTTTATAACACGTTATTTGTATACACATAAATAGTACACCGTAGGAATGCTTGGATAGCTCTGCGCACACTCGCACGGCCTTGTCTTCTTCTTCTCCTTGTGTGAGACAATGAACGAATGATAACTACTTACGTAACTACAAGTATGTGCTTTGAGTGCTGAGAGTATACGAGTTACAATGGTGGCAGCGGTGGAATTCGAACCCACGCCTCCGAAGAGACTGGAGGGGGGATTACACTTGGACTACGTTTGGTGTGGGCATGGACGAAGCCATAGCCATGACCATGTGCATGGCAGCATTGCGACTCTGCTGAGAGTTGCTATAATGGGATCTGCTTTCAACTCAGTGTGCAACAGCATCCATAGTCATTTTACCTGTATTATGTTCTTGTCATTTTACTTTTGTTTTGTGACACCGTACCCATGAAACGAGACAATATTCCTTGCTGAGCCTAAAAACTCCAAATCTTCCTGTGGCTTGTGTTCCTGTGTCAACTGCAGATTAAAGACATTTGCGAAAACTTCAGGCCAAGCTGAAAGTAGCTTTCTATCGCCACCGGTACAAGGCAACGTCAGTAATCCCCCAGCACAGTCACAACCACCGCATATACCACTATCCACAGAGTCGATAGAAGTGACCCGTACGAAAAGCAAGCTTCCAGTCGACCCGAACTTGTGGAAGCCCTTGGTTGACATTCGGACTGCCTTGCCGATGTTCACCATGGCCAACATGGTGGCTTATTTCATTTATGGTCAGTCCACTGATGGGAGCCGAATGAACTTCAAGGCTGTAAATGAGCATGCCCTGCTTCTATTCAGCAATGGATTGGTGCAGGCCATTAAAGGTGCAGTGGATCCCGAAGAGCAAGGAACAATGTATCTCCGCTGCATTGTGCTGGCAGAAATGAAACAAAAAAAAACCTATACCCTATACATGAAGCTGGACAGACATGCAGAGGTCCTGTACGCAGAGTGTGGCTGTCCTGCTGGCCGCCCTCCTCACGCTTCCTGCAAACACCTTGCGGCATTTGCGTATGCTCTTGAGGAGTTTGTGCGGCTGGGGTACCACCGGTCAGCATTGACTTGCACGGAAGAGGCCAGCAAATGGAATGTGCCACGGAGCAAGAAGGTTGAAGTGTGCCTGCTAAAGGATCTGGTGTTTAAAAAGGCTGCGTACAGCAAGAGCAGCGCAACGCCGGTAGCTGCTGCACGGAAGGAACTGGACAAGCCACTTGCCCCACCTCGGCTGCCAGCAACTGCCTTGCTGACTTTCGCCAAGAACGTAAACGAACTTAGTACCCGCGGCGTGGCAATGGCTTTCACCCACGTTCTGCCGTCCGAGTCAACGCTGGTTGCAAGGGTGGAACGCATTGCACGGGCGAACGAACAGCAGCAGGCGTGTCGTGAGTTGCGGGCTGAAGGCACAGATAAGGCTTCTAAGGGTGCATCCTGTGAACCTAGTCCTAGTGGTGAACCTAGTCTCAGTGGTGAACATAGTCCAAGTGGTGAACCTGACACGCAACTTACCCGAGAGGAAGTGAATCCGCAGTCGCCCATGGATGTGACTGGGAATGCTAGTGACAACAGACAAGTGCAAGAGTACCCCCTGCCTTGGGGTGGCTCTCACCGGACAGAAGATGGCAAACAGTTCTATTTTAGCAATACGTGCCCACTGGACAATGGCTTGATGTTTTGTTTTACTCTCCTCAGCAGCAATGACATATATATTCATGAATTTAGAGACGCAGCTAAAAGTGGGAACCGCGCAGCTCATGCCCTGCTGGATATGTGTGGGTTCATTGACATTGGCGAACCAGGCGCAGCGAAGTACATCTGGTGGCACGCCCTTGAACTTCTAGGCCTTCCCCGAGTACCCTGTGATGGACAGAACATTAATTTCTATGGTTCAGAAGCAGATCGGTTTGTTATAGCGTTTAATCAATCGTTTTGTCTTCCGTCAGTATCCTACGAATGTGACACGTGCAATGTGAAGAAAGATGTCGTCACTCCAGAAATCTTTATCTCTGCAGATGGAGACCTATCTCACCTGCCTGGGCCGGACCAGGTAAAGGTGATGTTGAATGCCTGGTTTTTTCCGGGAAGTCAGCCTTGTCGTTGTGGTGGTGTGCGCTCGTATTCTCGACGGAGGTTGCAGGTGCTACGTGGCTCCAGAGTGGGGTGCTCTGTGGCATTCTTTTGCTGCATTTGCCGCGAAATGGTTGGTCGGCACACAATTTATTCTGCTGCAGATTTTCCTTTACAGGTTAAAGTGCCAGGCACTGATTCCGGCCGCCTGACTGCATACCGGTTGCTGGGTGTGACCTATGGAAATGGTCAACATTTTGTGTCTCATATTCATGAAAATGGCACGTTTTATTTCTACGATGGCATGAATGCAGCCACAGGGGGGCGGCCTCAGGCTGTGGTTGGCCCTCCAGTGGCTCCAGCTGGCTATCAGCTTGGCCACATTATGTATGCTGCAGTTGTACCGGCATGAAGAGCATATTTTATGTGAGAATTTTCATGATCTGTCACTCATAATGTCGTAATGAGAATGGATACTTGTTGGGTGTGTACGGCATCACATCTGCTTGGGAGCACGGCTCCAGAGCAGAACATCTTTAGTCACAGAAAAGTGAAGGCCCATTCCAAGTCCGATGTAACAAACAAACACCAAAATATCCTACAATGTACTGCATTAGATGCCTAACGGAGTAAGGTGTGCTGTCCTGAAGGCAACAATACAGGCTACATAAGGAGGCGCACAGATCACAAGTAATGCAATGTCGACAGTATACAAATTCAATGGCAGCAGGGGGGGGGGGGGGGGAGTCTTAGGCTGTTGCTGAGCACCATTCTGTCCCACACGCTACAATAGCTGTCACTACCATAGTGACTGTCACTTGAGATGCACGAAAGTAACTAGTTGGTCGCAAGCAACCGCGTTATGGAAAGGTTATGTGGAATAGCTGTATGTACACGGAAGTATGTAAATTACGCGATTATGTGCGCGACAGTCCCGGAGGGAGAGACCATTGCAGAATAACTTACATCAATGGTGGATTAAATAGAGTGAGAAGGGCACAGCATGAAAAGATTTCATCTCCAATATCAGCCATACTGATCGGCAGGAAGCGAAGGATGGAATAATTCTTGATCTGCTGAATGGCTCGCTCCACATGAATCCTCAGTGATGCAATGCGTCGTGTTGTAAGTAGATCTTCTTCGGAGAACTGTTGATGGTGGAGAAAGGGTGGGATATTGACACCAACACCATACACAAGTGCGTCGGATGCAATGTCAAACCCTTTGTCGGCCATAATCACATCGCCTTTGTCCAGCAGCTTCAGTAGTTCGCATCTCCTCACCAACTCCTTGTCAGACGTCCGTCCACCATACAGCTGCGACACAAACGACAGAGCACCACCAGGTGTTATTCCTACAAGCGCTTTAACGGTGTTACGTTGCTTGTATTCCGACCATGTGGCAGCTTGAGTGGTGGGGTTCTTTGGCTTTTCTATCGGAATCTCCAACGCATCGATGATAATCCGTGTCCGTGGATACATTTCGCGGAACGACAGTGACATTAGCTCATCCACTTGGGATCTGCTCGGGAAGATCGGGATTTGGCGAAGTGCATTGGCAGTCAACGGAATCCAATGGCGGATAATCCTGGATATTGTTGGTTGGGAGACACCAGTTAGCCGTGCCAGCTCCTCTTCCGGATAATCCTTCCACACCTTCACCATTGCAATAAAAAAGCAGTCTTCCAGTGGAAGGATTGGTGCAGTACCTCTTGCTTGGGTGGCAGAACGGGTGGACAAAACAAGTTTGAACATCTCCTCAAACTGTCCGAATGTTCTGAACCCAGTATACCAGCGAATGTTTTTGTCCGATGTGAACTGCCGTGCCGTAAAACGCTGCCGTTCAAGCTGAGCTTCGAGGATCGTGTTTTGGTCTTTCAATAGCTCTAGCTGTGATTTCAGGTCCAAGATCTCATCCCTCAGCCGCTGATTCTCTTCGACAACGTCCACCTCTCCAGTATCTTCGGTGCTGGCCACTTCTTCCTCATCCACCGTCATACTTTCTTCCTCGGCCTCACTCGCTTTCTTGGAGGTCAGTGTTTGGCGCTCCACCACTGGGATGGTCCAAGCAAATACAGAGGGAACTTCATCGTCATTCTGGCGTTGCAGGGCTGGGAAATGTGCTCCACATACACGCACATCGTTTGTTGCAGTCACAGTCAAATTTTGTTTTCGAACAGCATCTTTCCACGATTTGATTAATTTTCTTTGCCGTTTAGCTAGATGTGGATCAGCGCTTTCGGGCAGGGGTTTGGGGAACTTGGCGAACGGCAACGTCCTGCACACGCTGCAAGCGCCCCTACAGCCGACTCGCTTTGCCGTATTCCCACAAAGACGATACTCTTCCATCGACCATTTGCCAGTGCAGTCCTGAACACGTCGGTACCCTCGCTTGCATTTCTTCGCCCCAGACACGTTCCGACAGCCAGGAACAGTACAGGAGTGCGGCATTGCTAGTTTAGAACGTATGCTGACAGCGGTGAAAACAGAAAACCCCTTAGCTAGTAAGGGATCAAAACAACACACGTTCCAAAACTAAGTCACGTCAAAAGAAAACAAGCAAAGCGGACTTCTTGTTCGTAAAATCTTTCTCCCATGCCCAGACAATGCAAATGCTGCCTCTGCCAGCTTGATTTTGAACAGTACCCCCGCGCCGGCCGCGCGGTGAAAGGATGACGTAATTGAATAAGGTCTAATACAGAGGTAACCTTGTTTGACTCAATACGCATGCAGGTGATACCACTAGTGGCACTACAATGTAAATGGTGCAAAATTGATGCAACAGCGAATATGTACTTCGTACAATCACGAACAATTGTAACGCAAGTGTTCATGCCTGTCATAGAAGAATTTCAGCCAGGAAGTCTTGTTGTCATGGTCATAAATAATACAGGACTTGAGTTGGCTCTGGACATAAACACACTTGTGGTGAATACGGTCATTATTGCGAGAAAAATATTTAGCCATTGTATGTTAACACCTGATGCCGCACTACAAGCAATATTTCATGTACATGTATGTGAGACTCAATTGCATCCACAAGGCCGTAGATGCATGTAAGCACACAATGCTGTACAGTATAAGTAGTAGTCGACATGTGGTGCCTTCCTGCTGCACATGCGGCAAGTTGGCAACGACACATGACTTATCTGCACCGCACAGCGTGAGCTTAGAAAGGAATATTGCACACATAGTGCTATTTGTGTTCCGATATCATTAAGCCGGTATACATGTACTAGTATCCTTATACATGTACCTGGTGACTCGATAGGCGATGCCGACTGTACTAATCTTATCCATATTACCCGATAGGCTATAGCACACTGCGTCAGATCACTATGCAACAAAACAAGAGCTTTGGAGCGAATATACACTGAAGCAAAGTAGGTTTCAACGGTACAGCACTTGTCACGATGAGGGGAGTTACGAGGATGGTTAGGCAGTGACACATAGATGATGATTGTTAATGATTCATGCACGGTGGAAAATAACCACCAATGGCGATGATATTGCTTTCACAACAATGACATCAGTAGGAGCAGTGACACAACTTTACTGCTCCAAGTAGGATTTACAAGCGAGTGAAGGGAGAGCAGACTGGTCTAAGTTAATAGCAGACCGGGTCTAAGCAAGGAAGTAATCGGCATCAGAGGTGAGCTTGTACATCAGAAAACAGATGATGATCACCAAACACAGAGAAGTTGGCTATGTGTATGTTTGTGTCACTGTGTGTGTGTGCATGTGTGTTTGTGTGTATGCGCGCACATCTGTGTGTGAGAGAGAGGCAGACGGACAGATAGCATATGGTGGGAGGGATCAAGGTCTGACCTCAGAGTTAAATGCTGACGGTGTGGAATAGCAACAGTGCGAAATCGGGCAGGGTGGTTAATGGCCCACACTGGAGCCGAGTAGGAGCGCCAGTGGTTGAGGGCTAGCACAGGAGTAGCAGCAGCTCCAGCCTAGGAAGATCAGCTTCTGGATGAAAATCTCCCGGACACAATAGGTACCAAGCTTCACTAGCAGATTGCCGGCAGGGGTGCACGGCGAGCACCCGTACATCCCTCAAGCCACCAGAGCCGCAGTACTTGGACACGATCCAGGTGCTTACCCGCCAACAATGCTGAGAAGGCACTGGAGCCATACAGGAACTTATGATCAAGCATGACCACAGACTTGAAATACAAGGTCCGGCGTTGAATACTGAAACAGCGACGTCTCCTCCACAGAACACCACTCAGCCCCACCATTGCATTATTTTCGCTTTTTCATGATTTTTACAATTGTGTTAGAGCACACAGCACTCGATGCAACATTTACCAGTGACTAAATAACTCCGCGTCTCCGACCATAACTGCAGCGTTCCCGTGAGCCTGTTGGATTTCCGTCAGCCTGTTGGATTTCCGTCAGCCTGTTGAGATTATCTTCATCTCGTCACATGTGAGCCTGTGTGTTTCATCCGTATCGTGGCACAATTACACAGACACGATTTCCAACTCAGGCCGGTTCCGTTGCTCGAAGGGTTGGCGGTAAGAATTGCTACGCCGTGTGTGGCTGCATGGGAACTTGGCGAGTCGTCGTCTTTCTCCATAAATCCTGATCGTCACGCGAACAACAGCCACTATTGCCTAAAAACTACGACACAACAGTATCAAGCTCGCCTCAGCAGAAGGACACGAATGACGAGCGCTAAGACGGAGAAAGAGAGACAGGGTTAGCGAGAGCTGACTAGTGCAGGTACGCTGTCATCTCCTGAGGTGGTGGGCGAAGCAGCGAAGTGAAACGAAGGAAGATAGAACTTATTTGGAGGCATACGGAGGCACCAAAACCTATTGCCTGTCACATACTAAGTGCCATTTAGGGTTGACAGCTGTCAGCTGACAGCCTCAAAAATTTGAAAATCTGCTCAAAAAACTCTCGATCAGAACTCTGCGCACTCTCAAATGGAGCGCACAGTAAAAAACTCGGCGACGAAGAACGCTTCGTATCGACGCCCTGGACTGAATTCGGCACGTCCAACAAACGGAATAGTGTTCTCTGATATATTCTCTACGTGCTGGGTATGGTCGCGTTTAGTTGGAAGCTCAGTGCATCACCACTTTCGATTTTGAGACTTGGCCGATGGACTAACACTCTTGTTTATATACTCTTGATATTATCAAGAGTAGATAAACAAGAGTGTGCAACTCCGGATCTCTCCTGCACAATCTGCAGATACCCCCGCGCCCGCCCATGGCGGAATTTTTGTTGACGTCACCTTTTTTTTTCAGAAGAACGCGCCTTTCGCCGCAGAGCAGTGTGAGAGCACGTGCTGGGCACCGACCTTGTAGTGTAAAGCCGGCCAAGAGCACGAGGGAAAACTTTCCGAAAGACTCGCAGCTCGTGCGTCGTCGAAAAGATTACGTCAACAAAAAATTCCGCCGTGGGCATGGGCCTTTCCGCAAGCTGCACACTCTTGTTTATCCACTCTTGATATTATGAATCAGGGAGTCGTATTTTACGACTCCCTGAGACCGTCCTTGCCGGGTGAAGTGGTCTGTAGTACCAAGAGTACATAACTACACTGTGTAGTTATGTACTCTTGGTAGTACCAAGAGGGGGTTATGTACTCTTGGTAGTACCAGGCTGGTCGCTAGTCACGGTGGTCTTTAGTTACAGGTTTGACTGTACTCTCGACTCAACTGAAAGTGAGTTGCAGTGGTTGTTACTTGATACAACCAAGAGTACATAAGTACTCTTGATACAAATGTAGCATATCTTGGCTTGTAGGCAGGGAGTTGTCGACAACCACTGGAATTTCACATGCAGGCAAAACCGTCACACTCAATTTTTGTTTGTGCTGGAATGTACGTTCAGGCCAGGTTAAGGGCCATTATGACTCCTTGTGCTCAAAGACAGGCAGTGATTGGGTTGAATGTATGCATACTTATGTCAATGTGAAAAGCCAAAGAACTGCTGCTTGCACAACGATACGTGTACAATGCATGACTCCCGGCACCTGCACATATGATATGGAGCCTGATAGGTCCCTTGGTGTTCATCCTAAAGAGGCCCGGGTTGACTGTGGGGCCGTTTGCATGAGAAAAACAAGCCCTGTATACCGTTCGTGAATGGTGTAATTTGGATCAAGAAGCACCTGCTCGGGCTTCTACTGCTTTTCCAATTGTCACTTAATTTTTCGAAAAGGTGAAGCCTTCACTGAACGAAAAATCAGAAGAAAAATTGTGCAGACGAGAAACAAAAGAGACGCACTGTCCACGACGAAAACCTCTCAGGCTCACGAGGCAAAATCGAAACATACGGAAAACTCGCTTATAAGCCCAGGGCTTTTTTTGACCGTAGACTGTACATGAGAAAATAGGCCCTGGGGGTTGGATAAGCTCGGGGTCAAGGGTAGGGCTAGTTCAGCTCGGGGCGAGCTGAATAAGCCTGCCACGCCATGTAAACGCGCGCCATAAAACGACTGGGTGACAGGTCAAGGCAGGCTCATCGTAAGCCTAGGGTTGAATAAGCCCGGGCTTAAGTTTCTCATGTAAACAGCCCCTTAGTCGGATGCTATTCAAACTTCGGTATGGGACATATGGCGCCCTACCGGTATTCCGACTGGACAAACTTCTGGTGAGAAATTCGTTGTTGTAAAGAAACAAGAAAGAAATTGGTTATTCCCCATCTGCTCGCATACAAAGCAGCCAGACAAGCAGCCATACATAATGTCAGTGCAGCAACGACTCGCATATCCAGGACTGAGTGCAGGGAACGCTAGCCAGCCGTACCTTCACAGCAGTGAACTGGACGGGATGATGCCCGAGCTGTAGGTAACAAGCAAGCTGAGGTGCAGCTGCAATACACATGCACGGCAATCAACACAGAGACCAGACCAGCCATGGCAGCAGCAGCAGGTGCAGTGCACCGTCTCAAAATAGAAATTCTATTCACCTCCGGGGCCCCGCATCGAGAATTCCCCCGACAGAATCTGTAAATAAAATACTACTACTTCGAAGTGTCTGGCTGGTGCAGCAGCAACTGAAGCTGATGCACAATCCATATCCAGAGCATGACGGCAGCCGTCGCAGCAACGGCATCAGACACTTCAAACACTGACACCAAACAAGCTCAGGTTTGCAGCAATGTTGCTTAGCAGCTTACGGTGGGCCACCAGCAGTACAACAGGTCCACCACAGCACCAGAACAATGAGCTGAGCCGATAGCAGTAGATCGGCACGGCTACTCCGACGCAGGCAGACGCAATTGTGTCGTGCGCGCCCCGCAAGGCGGCGGCAAGTCACCACCCTTGAAAAGGCAGAAAGGGCTCAGCTCTCCGAGCGTCTAGTGCTATTCTCAGTGACATCTCGGACACGTATGCGTCGCTTCGGCTTTTCCACAACAGCCTCTTCCGGCTGGTCTAGATAAGGCGCTAGTGACTGCAAGAACACCAACACACAGCAACACACACCAGGTGAGGTGAAAGGAGGCGATTCTAGGCGAGCAACAACAGCTTACACAATACTTTGGCTAATAGAGGAAATGCAAGGCTGTTGCTATACATGTACAGTCAATGTCAGTCATACCACATAGCACCACATAGCACCACATAGCACCACTGGGCCACTGAGCAGTGCTAGAGGAGAATGATGTTGCACACATGCAACACCAGACCCATTGCGCAATCACTACACTACTACTACCACCGTAAAATCCCGCCAGAGCGCTCCATCTCTCCCATCCGCCCCTCCCGGACTTCTTGTCAGGGAAGTGATTGATCGTATCCTCGTATGACTCTGTGACGCCGTACTGTACTGCAGACGTGTGCTCGACCCCGTTGGAATTGTATGCAACAGTGCCCACCCCCTTGACCAGGGATCGCACAAACTCTGGGTTTTGATGGGTCTGTACGACTCCTGGCTCTTGACCTTTGGTCGGTGTACGAGATGCACGATCAATTTTCGTAGGGTGAGTACTTTTCCTGTAGTACTGAATGCGGTAAGTAGGACTCGCCCCATCCGCCCCCTCCCCACCGGGACCTACTCGAAGGGTGGCGGAGGTAGGGGCGCTCAGGCGGGATTTTACGGTACTACTGCGCTACCATTGTTTTCTGGCTACTGTGTGACTCTTCTACACTCTGCCTACACAGCATTTTGAGTACTCTTTGCAGAGTGGGTGCGTTCGACTACTGCCACGAATCGATTTATGAATGGAATCTCGTCATTCGACTTCACGTCCTGAGCCCTGGAATCGGCTCGTAATCGAGTCACATCCTATTCACATGGGGTGATGTGAATCTGAATAGCCAGGGACGATTCATGAACGGATTCAACATCGATTCGTGGGCAAAATCAAACTCACTCACTACTTGTAAGTGCACCCCTCGTGTTACCGTTTAAAATGAATTCTTGTCCCCTTACCAGATCTGGCTTGTAGTAGTTGTGCACCAGAGAGTTGCCAGCGATCATGGAGCCAATGGCAACGACAGTACGGACAGCGAACTGCACTGTTGTCATATCGTACGGCATGTTGGCGGTGGTGGTGCTGATAAGCGCTCTACTCGTGTTTGGGCGTGTCCTTCTGCCGATGCTCCTCCACCACTCGATCCGGATCGAAGCCGACTGACTTCCAGTAGGTTGCTCGCTCGGCCACCTTCTCCGCTTGCTTTCTCTTGACAGTGCCGTCTGCAGACATAGGCAACAGTGGAGTGGAGTGGAGATGTATCACATTATGACTATACATGTAAGACCAGTGTGCACGCACATCAAGCATGTCATCAGCTCTCACTTGCCTATGCATGTGGATACCAACACCAACGCCGCAGTCGGGATTTAGGTTCCGTTCATATACCGTATTTTCCGGAGTATAGTGCGCACTTTAGATGTGCTATTTTACGCCCTAAATCGCAGGTGCGCACTATGCTCCGAATAAGAAATGCATGTACTTCAATGAAGATTGAAGTGCGCACCCCCAATGAAGATTGGGGCTGCGCGTTATACAAAGGTGCGCACTATACTCCGAAAAATACGGTACCTTTTAAGCCGTCCAAGGTTACTAGTGCCAATCGGGTTTTTCTTTTCTTTTCTAAAAACGAAAGCTTTCGTTGGGAGCAGGTGGGTTTTATGAGTTTCATGCGATTCTGAAGCTTGTTCTTTTTCGCCCAAGCCATGGAAGGGCTTCCTGGCAACTGCTCTGACTCAACACGAGTGTCGGACATCAAGTGGAGCGCCATTCTACTGTTTCTTTCACCTCCACGCATCCATTCCCATACGAAGTGAACATGAACTGGTTAATTTCTCGCACGTGACCCCAAAAAGTGACCGTTGGTACGACCTTGAACAATCTCTATAGGTAGCCAGCAAGAGTCTATAAACAAGAATACGCAACTGTGATCTCTTTTCCATGGGCCAGATGCGCGGCGCACTGCCTTCATTACATCATTCAGCTGCAGTCCGCGCACTTGACAAAATCAAACACCGCACTTTCCCTCTGGTTTGAAATGAACTTTCGTACGGAACTGGAGTTTACGCACCACAATTTAGGGATCGCGTAGGTACTGGAATGAATCGAGCAAAAACGGATGGGCTTGTGCGAGAAATCGTGGGTTTGAGTGCATGCTTTCAGACCGTGATGGAGGCAAGTTACGCAATGAAGGCAGTGCGCCGCGCACAGACCCATAACCACAGTTGCATACTCTTGTTTATGCACTCTTGGTAGCCAGCCTTTGGGTATCTCAAAAAAGATAAATATTTGTGAGCAGTTTCCTCGAAGTGTGTACCACTGCTGCCAGTCCACACAGCACTTCTCACGATACCAGTACATTATCCGTAGTTGTGTGTGTTTGTGTGCTTATTTGTGTGTATGTATGTGTGTGTGTGTGTGTGTGTGTGTGTGTGTGTGTGTGTGTGTGTGTGTGTGTGTGTGTGTGTGTGTGTGTGCGTGTGCGCGTGTGTGTGTTCGTGCACGAGGACAATATAAACCAGGAATACTGCGCTCTACAAGTCACACGACAATATATCCAATATCTATGTACATGTACTGCACCGGACAGGGTCCTAAGCTGGGGGAGTAACAGGAGGTCAGCTACTTACAAAAGTTTACACCATTCACGTCCAGATTGAGCATAATCAGCTCAAGAGCTGCGCCGCTGCAGAAGAAAAACCCGGCAATGAACGAAACTCGTACCGGTTCGCCAGGGCCAGGGTACATCAACTTCGTCACAAAGGGATGGTTCAGGAGTCTATTCATGCCCAGTTGTCCAAGAGATCCTCATTCTATTTCGACATCGACCTATTTTACTTCAAATAAACTCACCAGCAAAGAAATGTGTGAAGAAAGCCCGACCGATCATGACGCAACCATGCTGTTGAGTCCAGGTTATCATGGCAACGGTGTGCACATACAGTCTGTAAATAATAATTAATAATTTTAGAAAACTACAAAGTGTAGTGTCTATACCAGGGAGTCGTCAAATACTTTGACGACTAGACTCCCTGGTCTATACTAATGTCATAGATCTACAATGTACACCCAAATGGCACTGGAGTATGCACTATGTCTACGTGACTGTGATTGTGAGGGCATATCTAGGGGAATACTGGTCACCTACAAATTGCACAACACCCAAAACTTACTTGCCAAGTCCCGGGCACCGAAATACACCTCGGCTAAATTACATGATGTTATACATATGCAGCAGGGAGTAGACCTACGAGTCGTACTGGTCCCTGGCTAGCACAGCTATCTACAGAAGAGTTCGAGCTATGTACAGTCACCACGCCATAGTGATGTCTGTGGGCCGGAAAACAAAACAAAAAAGTTGCCCCTCTCCCCCTGTCTCTTTCCTGATCCCACGCAGTGCTGATGCCTAACCGATTACTGTCGGCTGGTTGCAAGCGTGGCTGAGAAGTGTGGGCAGCATGACCAGGACCTTTACTCACCAAACGTAACACTACTAGTACTACCAGTAGCAAGAGTACATAAACCGGTTTATGTACTCTTGCCAGTAGCCATAGCAGCAGTATTCAAATCTGACTATCGGATATTGAGAACACACCTTCGCACGAGACACTCACAACCATCCACAGTCATGCACAGGGAAGAGAGGAAAGACACGGCCTCAGCCTCAAAATTCGGCTAACACCGTGTGTGGAACAGGTGTCAGCAGATGAAGAGTTCAATCCCACCGTTCATTCACTCAGCACAAGAAAGGTCAATAGTGGCAATACAGCCACCTTCTTTTCTGTAAAGTCAATGTGTTCGGCACAGTGAAGCTGCCCAAATGGACAGTGACAACAACAACACACACACACACGCACACACACACACACACACACACACACACACACACACACACACGATAAACGAAGAGCGGAAGCGAGGCAGGATATGCTACAATAGCAGCAGCACCAGCAGTGGCGGCGGCAGCAGCGACAGCAGACAACTAGCAAAGAAAATCAGGGTTGCGTGGAGTTCGCAGTGTAACCTATACTGCATGAAAGCAACTCAAGATGCAGAAAGAAAATCTAGCATGGTACTAGTGCCTAGCAGTTGCACGAGATACGCGAGTTGAGTCATGTGACAGGCAGAATATACGACCGGTATACATAACTACATTACAGTACAGTGCAGTACAGTACAGTACGGTATACTAGTCATAGGAAGAAGCAGTGCAGTGGCAGACACTACAAGTAGTACCTTCACCAGCAACTCTTGCCACAGGTAAGCCAGCAGAGAATTGAGTGAAGCATGTGTTTTATGTCAGTTTCATGAGGGGGGGGGGGGGGGGGTAGTGACGTGCAAGGCCATCATCATCAAGATTCAAAGTGTAGCCGGAATGCATGATCCCAAGCTGCCAGGAGAGCAGGTCCACTGATGCATCCCGGTTTGTTGACTTCAGCAAGTACATAGTACCAGGTACCCAAACATCTCCCAACAGCAAGGACTCAACTGTTGCGCATAATCCGGCAAAAAAAACCCTGATGCGAACATGGACCTCTGCAAGGCTCTTGGTGCCCAGGCTGGGAAGGTGTCACTGGCGCATGCCAAGGGCTTGCTCCAACTCTGCTCGCCTTGTCTGAATCTGATACACACACACACAGCCACACATGCAAGTACAGACAGAGGCCAACAAACAGACATTAGGGACAGTTTCACATATTGTGGACGAAATACGTTCTGGCAACACTGATATTAGAATACACACCTTTATCCATAACACAACAAAGAAACAAAGCAGTACAGAGCCAACAATGCACATCCACACATCCACACACAGACACACACACACTCTCCTCTCTCTCTCTCTCTCTCTCTCTCTCTCTCTCTCTCTCTCTCTCTCTCTCTCTCTCTCTCTCTCTCTCTCTCTCTCTCTCTCTCTCTCTCTCTCTCTCTCTCTCTCTTTCTCTCTTCTCTCTCTCTCTCTCTCTCTCTCTCTCTCTCTCTCTCTCTCTCTCTCTCTCTCTCTCTCTCTCTCTCTCTCTCTCTCTCTCTCTCTCTCTCTCTCTCTCTCTCTCTCTCTCTCTCTCTCTCTCTCTCCCACCCACACCCTCTCACTGAAATCCGACTTCAAAAGTCCAAGCAATTTGAAAAGCATCCGCATACAGTGAAACCGGTGTTTGCCGGACCCTGTACCAAGAGGACCCTGTACCAAGAGGACCCTGTACCAAGAGGACCCTGTACCAAGAGGACCCTGTACCAAGAGGACTCCTGTATTGACCGGGCAGATTTTCGTGCACCACAGTGCTGGGGATCAAACTTGCATCCCCGATCAAGCGGGATCCTCTCATATCAGGATAGTTTCGACTGCGGCAAACGCATCTGGTTAGGTCCAGTTTTACTGCCTATCTCCATGTAGAACAAAAGAGCATTTAAACCGATGAAAGACTTCAAAACACTGAAGGATGATCTGCAAGCAAACGTTCTAAGTTCTAACCTTGCGGTAGAAGTAGCGACACACCGCCTCGTTGGCCCAGGGCTTGCAGTAGTAGTCTGCCTTTCTCTCCGCCTCCGGATTACCAACCGTGTCTTGCATCACCTGGCAGCCATGGAGCAGAGAAACAACGGGGGCACACAACACAGACAGACATACACAGACACACAACAGAAGTTGTAGACACATGTCACAATCCAGTAGCGTGCTCCACTGCCCGAAGAATGCTCAATACCCATATGCAGTGTAGGGCAGAGCCCTCCACGATCAGTTGCCTGATGACGGTGACTACGTGAAACTCGGAGAAACTCTCTCTCTGTCTGTCTGTCTGTCTGTCTGTCTGTCTGTCTGTCTGTCTGTTTGTCTGTCTGTCTGTCTGTCTCTGTCTGTCTGTCTCTCTCGTAGACACATGTCAGACTAGAAAGATAAATGAGATGGATGTTGGCATGCAGAGCAGGGTTCAGTGGGAATCCCTCACGCAAGAGCAGAGACCCATCACCTCTACCTTCTGCAAAGTATGTTGACCTTGAGATCAAAGAAGAATACGCGAGCAAAGTGCTCATAAAACACACATGCACACGCCTGTACTCCTGCATGCTCACAACTCTGAAAACGTCCTCTGCACACATACCTGCAAGTCTTGCGATTGCGATACCAACCACTGGTTGATGAAGTCCTGTCCACAACAACAACAACAACAACAACAACAACAACAACAACAACAACAACAACAACAACAACACCACCAGCAGCAGCAGCAGCAACAACAAGAACAAGAACAAGAACAACAGCAGCAGCAGCAACAACAAGAACAAGAACAACAACAACAACAAAGGCCATTGTGAGAATAAATAATTATTACCGTAAAGTACCGCTAGAGCACCCCACCGTGATTTTACAGCCAGGGAAAGGAAAATCGTACGGCAGAGTGCAATGAAGTTTGTACAGTGTGAGAACCTTAGTGTACTACGGTCAGACTCAGCAGGTTTTGTGTTGAGCTCTTGTCCGCTTGATGGTAAATCAAGTACAGATTGACCGCACAACGTGCAATGTGTGTACAAGGTCAGTGTCGTATGACCTACAGACAGGACACCACCCCCACAATGCGACCACAAAAGGACAAGATGGCGGGGCGCTCTGGCGCTACTCTACGGTAGAAAGCAGCGCAACACGTATTGGCCTACATGAAAACCAAAAAGGATTCATGACAACACCCTGCACAGGACAGTGTCCGACAAACACGAGGGGCGTCTGCAGCATGTGCACAACTGCCTATGGTGCCTATGCGTACCTATCACCATGCTGCTGCAAAAAGTGCATACATACCTGAGGGTGCTTAGCGTACTGTGAAAAGAATTCACGCCGTGTCTTCAGCTGGTTGACTTGGTCGACGGTTTCATGGATCTGCGGTGGCCAGGCAAGAACAGAATTATATCTATAAAAATATAATTATATCGAATATAGGTGCCGAGATCTCATCAATGAAGTCCAGACACACAAATAAACCAGGTACGGTTCGTACGAAAACACAGAGAAAAATGTCGAGGCCCTTCGGCACTCCAGGTGAAGTAAAATAAAATAGCAAACGAAGATACCTGTCTAATTATGCCTGTGCTTTAACCACTCGTAGTACATTGGGGGAGCATCCGCAAGTAGTCTGTACTCAGCAGACACTACACACGTAGTGTGACGGGAATGCCAGTAGGCAAGTCGCACAAATAAGCTATTGCTCTACCCTCCCCAATATGCCTTCGACCAGAGCACTAGTACAAGTACAAGATACTACAGTGGTTGCAACTCCCATTCTACAACTGTAGCGCTCTCTCTTTGCTGGTGTTAGTGTAGACTCTACAAGCACATGCCGTGTGTTTGCAGTGTAAGGGGCCATCCGGCATTATCGATAATTTTCACGAAACGAAAAAGTTTAGCTATGATCCTCCCCCACCCACCCATATACCCCTGAACGAAAAATATACTGACTTGACAGCTAGAGTGCGATTGATGTTTCGGCTATCAATATTTTTCAGAACGTAACTCTCCTCAACCCATTTTCGTTTTGTGTAAAATATTGATACTTATGGACGGCCCCTAAGCGTACCGAGCTGGGGTCGTATTTCAGTTGCGACCACTGCAGTAGATACTACTGCAGTGCCACAACAACTGGGCACACGGATGGCACACCGTACGGTGAAGGGAGCTCACCTTTCCGACGATGCCGACAATTTCCTGCTGGCTGGCCGTCGACATGAGCACGCTGGATGTACTGTGACGCAGAGGATCATCCTGAGAAAGCACCCCCCCCCCCCAACACACACACACATGCACACACACATGCACACACACATGCACACACACACACACACGCATGCACACACACACACACACACACACACACACACACACACACACACACATGCATGCACACAAAATACGGAATCAGAGCGGCCTGAGCAGCTGAAATACTAGTACACACATCAGAGACGCAGATCATCCTAAGAAATCACATTGACCCCCCCCCCCCCCCTCCACACACACACACTTGCACACATACCCAATAGAGTCAGAGCGGCCAAAAGTAGCTGACATAGCAGTACAGACATCAGAGATACCAACGTGAGTACTTCTGAAGTACATTTATCATGTACTCTTGGCATCAAGGAAGACTGCAGTAACGAAGTTCACCTAACGGAATGACAGTTGAAACTGTGGAACAACGAAATAGTTCTAGTATAGCGGAGCTGAGCAACCTACAACATCCACATCCACATCGTAGCAAACTTGCTTCTTCTGCTCCGCTGGATCATTGCTGCAGGCGGACAGGAGATAGCAACGCCCATGATCAGCCAGGAGTGTGAATAGAGACAACGTTACCGGAGTTATGCCTAACGTGCTAGTATGGCATCACTAAGTCAAGCACCGTATTTTCCGGAGTATACGCCGCACTTCAAACACTCAAAATTCACCCAAAAGAAACGGGGGTACGGCGTATACTCCGATGATCAAATTAACGATGATGTATAGGGTATACATGTATGTCTGTATTTCGTGGCAAAACAGGGGGGGGGGGGGGGGGCGGGGGTGCGGCTTATACTCCGGAAAATACGGCAATTTGCCTGGTGTAGCCAGTCGTGTAGGCAGTCCACTGCTCTGTGTGGCGCATGTCCACTGCTCTGTGTGGCGCATGTCTACTGCCCTGTGTGGCGCATGTCTACTGCCCTGTGTGGCGCATGTCTACTGCCTGTGTGGCGCATGTCTACTGCCCTGTGTGGCGCATGTCTACTGCCCTGTGTGGCGCATGTCTACTGCCCTGTGTGGCGCATGTCTACTGCCCTGGGTTAAAATGACACATGACGGCTCCTCACACAATCTCATAGTTGATGATGATCGGGTCCGGTGTTGTCACGTGAGCGTTCAGCAACGTCGGCAGCTCCGAGAACTTTGCACGTGCAACTCCAAATATCTGCAGCAAGCAGCCCAAAAGTGAAGACATATCCCACATTAAAGAAACTCTGCAGGGTGTGTGCGTGTGTGTGTGTGTGTGCGTGCGTGTGTGTGTGTGCGTGTGTGCAGAAGAGCAAACTCATGACGAAACTCATGAATCAAGATGCAACTTGATTACACAACACATCGCATTGTTCACCGCCCAGGGTGTCTTCAAGGACTGGGAAAATCACGGGCAACAACCTTGGATGAGAATATGCTCAGAAAGCAGCAGCTCACCTGTTCCAGGTACTTGTCGAAGTTGAGGTACTGGCGCTCGGAGGGATCTTGCAGTTTGTGAGTCTAAAGGCAGGAAACACAGTACAGTCATGTAGCAATACTGACTACAGAACATTGTTACAAACCTTTGGTCCCACGAACGCCAACAAGCTCCATAGGTTGTTATATTCCGATGGCAGTGCCAGTGCAGGGTTCACACAGTACCACTAGTATATTCAAATGACCGGCATTGCCAGTGTAGTGACAGTGTAATGCCAGAGGGGAGTACCAGGGTGGTGACAGTGTAATGCCAGAGGGGAGTACCAGGGTGGTGACAGTGTAATGCCAGAGGGGAGTACCAGGGTACTAAGTACTACTGACAGTGTAATAATATAATGCAAGTCTCACCTTGACATATTGCCACAGGGCGCTGAGGATGGCGGGCCTTGTGGCAGTATGCATCCCCAGCACACGTGCAAGCCGAGGCTCTAGTGTTGCTTGCTCCGGCTGTGTTCAAACACACGCACATGCACACACATACACACAAACACACACACACACCACACACACACACACACCATGTACCATCACACACAAACAAACACAAACACACACACACAATGTCATACACGTGCACAAACACAGACACACACAGCAACTGCAATGATGCCCACCGTGCATCGGTGAAGAAGTGCATGATTGTACAAACTCAACCAGGGAGTAGTAAAATACCGGTACTTTACCACTCCCTGGCCCCAACACCAAACCTCCCTCAACTCTATCATTACACCAAACTAGAAGATGTTATCGACTGTCTTCGCAAACCGGTGAAAACACAAATACTGGAAAGCTTACCTGGTAATCCAGAAAGAGACAAATAATGCACTTGGTCGTCTCATCTCCAAAGCGCCGTATCTAGGAAAAGACAAGGCATACAGAGGCGTGTACGGGAAAAGCAAAGACATTTCCTGCAATTGATTACATGGCCTTTCACGTGCAAAAACATAACATGTGCAGTGCTGCACAATGAAATCCAGCCGTGTCACTCAATTTTGCGCCGGGCAGAGCGCAGTCCTAGACCTCCGAATACTGGACTGTGAAATGGTGCAAGGGGCAAAGTTGAGTGACGCGACTGGATTTCATTGAGCAGCACTGTACATGGCTTGCAAAGCGCAGTGTGAATCCGCTGGGCCGAGTGGCTACATTTGTGTACACATTACGTGCAACCGTGGATGTGTGCGTTGCGTGAATTACCTTTCAGGTCTGAGCACATGAACACACATCAGACACCGTGGAGTACAGGCAAGATACTAACCTGCTGCAGGAAAACAGCGTACATACGATCAAGCAAGGCCTTACCGAAAACCCGTCGCTCTCGCCCCGCTCAAGAGAATGTGTCCACTGCACAACAACAGCAACAACAGCAACAACAACAACAACAACAACAACAACCATGTGAGAATAAAAGATTCGAAAAACAACATCTGTAACCGCAGACCAACACATCCAGCTCATCGCTGAAGAAATAATTATACCGTCATGAAACAAATGCCATGGCTTGTGTGACAGTAAGTAAGTCAGACTGTCCTGCATTCGAAGCAGCACCATCACCCACAACGACGAATGCATACAGAGCATTACTACCCTCAAAGGCCAATGCACACATGCAGTTCTTAAAGCGCTGGGGGCAAGCACATCAAACCAAGCAAAAGGGCCCAGGACATGTACAACTGACACCAACAGAGAACAAAATGGTGATTGTAGACACAATGATGGCAGCATAATGCAATACTGTTTCGCCACCGTACCGCCAGCATGGTTTTACCTCGATCAGATGCTGGTCCGGCCCGTACTTGCTCTTGTCCAACAACTCCACAATCACTCGCTTGAAGAAAGACGTGAACTTCCGCCGTGAACGACCAACTGGATAACGCTCCTGGGTGGTCTAAAAGAACGTACATGTGCACGTGCACACACATGCGTGCACAAGCACACACAATTTGTTTGTGGAAAGAATGTTGTGGAGGTAAAAACCTCTACAGTACTCTTTCCACACACCGGTCCACTGCCTGGGTACTGCCTGGGTACTGCCTGGGTACTGCCTGGGTACTGCCTGGGTACTGCCTGGGTACTGCCTGGGTACTGCCTGGGTACTGCCTGGGTACTGCCTGGGTACTGCCAGTAGGAATCTACATACTTATGCATTACACACAGTCATACAACTCACTGTCTTGAAACAGCCCACAAACTGTGAAACTCTGCTAAAACTACTGTCTCAAAACTTTGAGAAACAGTTACCACGTCTGTGAACTTACATCGTCCAGCAGGCGACCTTCAATATGCAGTTCAAAGTGTGGCATCATCACTTCAGCATCCTGAAACGGACAGAACGGACAGGGAGAGAAAGGGGGGGGGGGGAGAGAGAGAGAGAGAGAGAGAGAGAGAGAGAGAGAGAGAGAGAGAGAGAGAGAGAGAGAGAGAGAGAGAGAGAGAGAGAGAGAGAGAGAATGACTCATGTACATACACTAAGCTCGATGTACCATTTTACGCTATATTGTGTACAGAATTATCCCCCCACCCACCCATACATACACAACACCAATAACACACCTTCCGATCCATCTAACACAGAGTACAAGGTGAATATCATTTACCACTCTGGCGATGCCTGATAAAGCACACAGACAAGACAATGATGTGATTAAAGAGAATGAGAACAAAGACAGAAAAAAACATACATCAGCATCCAGTCGAGCTGGCGAAAATGTATGAGAGATGAACAGTCGAAGCTTCCGTTTGATCTACAAGAGCAGAACCAGAGAAAAAGAGAAGCAGAGAAACACACTCACATATAAAGGAGAGAGAGAGAGAGAGAGAGAGAGAGAGAGAGAGAGAGAGAGAGAGAGAGAGAGAGAGAGAGAGAGAGAGAGAGAGAGAGAGAGAGAGAGAGCAACAAGGTCATGCTCAAGAATGAGAAGAAGTAGTGCCGGATCGGCTGTAGTCAAGAAAACTGACTGCCCTGAACAAGAGAGTAGAAATCACCCCACACTACAGGAAATACAGCAAGTCAACCACACACGCATTAGCGCTACCTTGGTTGGCTTCTTCACTGCTTCTTGCATCTCAATGTGTTTCCTCATGACGATCATGTCCATGTGGCGTTCTATCTCCACCAGCTCCATGTATGCCCTGGACTCAGGCACCAAGTCGCGCACCTACACGACAAAGCGCGACAAACACCAACAGCACCAATATTACGCTTGCTAACAAGATCACGCATAGCAGCAAGTCTATATATCAGCTAGAGATTATTCCAGCAATGTGTAATGTGTGACCATGGCAGGACAATAGTGAAGTTTCGCTGGACGGTGTAGTCGGGTGACTCGGTGCATGGCAAAGGCGGACCAGCCAGTCTACACGTGATGCGACCTCACGGCGCGGCACACTATACACGTCGGCTGTGCTGCGCTTCCGTGAACTGCACATTGGCGAACCATTATTGCCGTCCTTGGGTGGCGTCCAGCTGAGCCGGAACCACAAATGAATAGAAACAAGCTCATTGGCGGCAGCAGCAGCAGCAGCAAGCCTCACTGCACCCCAGCGAACAAGGCAATGACAGCTCGCCACTCACCCGTTGTGGAAGGACAACATCTGCAATTCGTCGCTTCCGACTGTCGCAAGGAACAGAAAGAAAATAATTGACACATACACACACACACACATACGTACACATGGACACACACACCCATGCAGGCACATGCACATACACACTAGACCATCAGACCGGTAGTACGATGGCAAGGTTGCAACCACAGTAGGTACAAATCACGTACAAACGGCATTATGTTGCAAAGGAAGGACCCACGAGCGGGATTCGAACCCAGCACCCCTGTCTTTCCGGGACAGTGCCCTACCGATTAGGCTACCGGGGATCACACACACACACACACACACACACACACACACACACACACACACACACACACACACACACACACACACACACACACACACACTCATGGGTCCTTCTTGCTACACTGCTCCCCTGCCCCAACAGGCTGCGTCCTCACGCCGTACCTACTCGCGGGGTACGATGGGTCGTGGGTTCGAGCCATTGCCAGGCGCCAATGTTGCAAAAGCAGGATCTACGAGCGGGATTCGAACCCAGCTAGGGGTCAAACGGGTGTACCTTTAACTAACGAACGGGTAATTTTCTTTGAGCCCGGGTCCATTGAAAACCTCTGCCACGCAGTAAAAATTTTAAATTCACTCTATGTGAGCAAACTTGATTTCAAACGATTCTTTCATGTATCCTGAGCACAGAACTGTTTTTGTTTTGGAAATACGACAAAGATTACAAAAGTTATGACCGTTTTCATAAAGGTAGTTTTACGCGAAATTGGTATTTTGAAATGTATGCAAGCGCATGTAACTCCAGTTCAAACGTACGGAGCGACTCGCATTTTTTTGTTACTGTACTCGTACATCCTAGGAGTCCTCTGTGCAGCGGTACAGCTCGACGCCACGCCACGGAAGAAACGCGGTATCGATGTAGTTCCGCTCTGACTCGTGACGTTCTAGAACGTCACACGTGTCACAGTGGCAGTGGTCATGACGTGTCAGAACGTCACGCGTGCTCAAAAGGTTAACAGGCGGGTTAACGGGTACCCTTTAGCAGCCATGTTTAAGTTTTTTGCGCAATTTTCACATAAATCAAGATTTTAATTAATCTGTTCTCGGGTTGCATTTTGATATCACATGGTGATTCGCAAATCGATTGGTGTCTGATAGTCGCAGGAGTAGATCTACTAGGTGCGAAAATGCAACAACAATGCAGACATCCAGCGTGGAGTTGTAAATAATTGACTCCTGCCTGGAATACACGATCCCAAGAGTGTTGCTTCGTACTGACTGGTTCATCAAAATCCAAAACGGGTACCCTTTTACTAACGGTACCTGAGATTACCGGTCGGGTACCCGGTACACCCCTTTGACCCCTACAGCACACCTGTCTTTCCGGGACAGTGCCCTACCGATTAGGCTACCGGGGATCACACACACACACACTCATGGGTCCTTCTTGCTACAATTACAGTAGAAATCGTCATGGCGACGCGTGCGAAATGCAAAATGTGCTTTGCATTTCTTTCAAATTCTATGTGTGGTGGCGTGTAGAGGGGAGGGAAATGGTCAACCTCTTAATGTCTAGCTCTTCTACGTGTGGTGGTACATAGAGGGGAGGGGAATGGCAAACCTCTCGACTTTCGGCTTTCCAAAAATGTAAGTGTCAATTGATTGAGGGTCATGCAAGGTGCGAGTTCCAGTTTTTCGTCAGTTCAGTATTATACAACTGTACGTTCTGTGAAAGAAATACTTTTCAAATACTTCCGCAATGGCGCTTCGCCGTGTTTTCTCGATCTGATGGATCTTGCCATGGCTTAAAAACCTGTTTTCAGCGGTATGGTTCATTGTATAGAAGTTTGATAACAAGAGATTAGAAGCGGTGAGGCCTCCTGCAGTTTCATACAGAATTACAGATGGAGCGGACTCGCTCCCTTCTATTTACACTGCAACGTTCGAACACATTTTCGTAGTTAAAACAACGTTTCGGCATATAGCCCTCATCAGGTTTGCAATGATGTGCACTCTACAAAGGAGCAGTAAATATACTGTGCTGTGCTGTGTTTGCGCCAAATGTGTCAGCTACAAAGGTGGCGAAAGGGATTGGTGATATATTAATATCCAGATACGATATATTCACAGTAGTGCCCAGCCAGCATTAGTGTTTACTTGCGGCCGCAAGTTGCGGATTTCAACAGCTTCTCGCAGTTTTCTGCTTGCTCTGTCGCCTGCCCTTGCCAGGACTGACACAGCCGAGAACACACTATCCGCAGCAGCTATACTCTCGCCAGAATGTTTGTCGCGCACGTGGTAACCCCATGGCTTATCGAAAAGCAATACGGAAATACAAGTTGCCGGTACGTGTCGTATACGAGCACTCGGGCAGCCTCAGGCGTCAACTGTGCCGTTCGGCGCTGTTACCACCCAAGTGCGTAAACGAGCCCAACATTACTGAAAAAGACGAAGAGGACGTCCACTAGGGCCTTGCATTACCTGTGAGTCTGGAGGCGAACGAGTATGTATGACAAAGAATGTAGTCTACGAATTGCAATGCAAATGGTGCCGGGAAACGTATGTAGGGGAGACGGAACGCTCCTTGGAAACAAGAATTCGGGAGCACAATGGCGAGGCACGCCGTCGCACTCTCGATAAGCCATGGGGTGACCACGTGCGCGACAAACATTCTGGCGAGAGTATAGCTGCTGCGGATAGTGTGTTCTCGGCTGTGTCAGTCCTGGCAAGGGCAGGCGACAGAGCAAGCAGAAAACTGCGAGAAGCTGTTGAAATCCGCAACTTGCGGCCGCAAGTAAACACTAATGCTGGCTGGGCACTACTGTGAATATATCGTATCTGGATATTAATATATCACCAATCCCTTTCGCCACCTTTGTAGCTGACACATTTGGCGCAAACACAGCACAGCACAGTATATTTACTGCTCCTTTGTAGAGTGCACATCATTGCAAACCTGATGAGGGCTATATGCCGAAACGTTGTTTTAACTACGAAAATGTGTTCGAACGTTGCAGTGTAAATAGAAGGGAGCGAGTCCGCTCCATCTGTAATTCTGTTTGATAACAAAATGCAACATTCGAATCCTTGATGTTGGTGTTCCCTTCACCGTTATGTATTACATATGTACAACGTTATACACCTACACGCCTGTAGCTGTGCCAAAGGATCAAGGACTCTATTTCATACCCCAAATGCTATAAAATAATGAAAATATCGCGTGAAAGAGAAATGCACAGAACAGTCAAGTTTGGTCAAGATGTGTACCTGCGAGATTTAGACTTCGTCTCTGACTTCTTCGCATACGGGTGTGCATGTGAATCAGCCATACCTCACCGAATTGTCATTGGTAATTACTACTAGGTGATCAATAACAATGAACCAAGCGAGGATGCAGGATAGGAACCTCCAAACTACGAAATAAGACGTGCAGCAAGAAACAAATGTTTTGCAACCTTGCACCACAGTGCTACAACAAAATTGATATACATGCAGTTCACTACAAATATAAACTAACAAAGTTATCCAGCAGCGCCTATTGCCAGTTAGCAATAGACTCCTTTACTAAGTCTTCTACAAGTTAGTACAACGCAGTAGAAACGCTGCTCTATTTATCAGTATTCTTCAGTGATGTTCTCAATGGCCAAGCTAGCTCGATATCATCGAGTGTCGTTTTCTTCATTTTTCAAAAAAAAGAAAAGTATCGAAAACTCATCAAAAAGGCAAAAAAAGAAATAAAAGCGCAAAAACGCGAAAAGTTGGTCGGTTTTTGGTTTGAGGTCGGATGCAGATTTTGTAGCTCCAGTCATAATTATTATATCAGTAGATGCGGAATTTTCCTGGTTTGTGCGCCTGTCGTCAGTGTCGAACGTGCGTGATGCAGAGTACTACTAGTACCCGGTGTTGCCGGTGCAGCGGCAAATACGGCACCTGTGTCAGATGTGAATGCACCAAGGCCGGCCGCCATTGCACAAACTGCTATCCCTCGACGGCGAAGGAACTGGATTGTTGCCAAAATCGAGCACCAACACCCAGGCCCCAAACGACAGTTGAGGAGGCCCGTACAGCCGCAGGTAGTACAGTGAGTATCGTTTATAAAGTGAACGAATACTAACGATACCGGCTATTTAATAGTGAGGCCTCAAGTTTTGCATTCCGAATTTCGGTTCGGCGTTCTTCGGTCATATTATTATGTCGAACATCAAAATGCCGAATTTTCGCACCAACGTTTGTTTTAAGTAGCGGTGAGGCATCCTGCAGCTTCATAACTCGAAGAGATTAGACCAATCCCGAAAAGATTGTCTGGGTTCGTGAAAGGGGGCACGCGTGCAAGCCAGAATGTGTGAAGTGCATCGTTTTGTATTCAGTTTGTGTGTGTCAGCTCATGGCGGAGGAGAGAGAGACTTTTGCTCGCCGAGCTGAAGCGAAAGGATTTGATGGAGTCCTGCCAGCAGCTAGTCAAAGGACCTTCGGTACCTTAGGCAGACCCTGACGGAGTTTGGAGGCCAGCTAGCTCTCGGTGAGGAGAGAAACATTCGCGTGGCGATCGACTCTCCGTAAAAAATGCAAGCTACATAGCGCCGACATACTGCAACAGCTACGATTTCAGCTAACTTCTCGATCTGCTGCTTCACAAAGTTCAACTATTTACAAGTCCTGACTGTTGTCGTCTGAAGCTGGAGTCTCATCGCCCACCTACAGGTAGCTTTTGGAGCTGATGGATTTCCCGACATGGACTCCTTCCGCAAACTCTCGCAACATTACTACAGTGTATGCTGTGTTTCCGCACGCTCGTGTCGACATGTCATCTATACTGTATTATGTACCGGGTCGCGGAGGAGCTGGACGATCTCCGCTGACTCCAGGTTTCCGAAATACTGCCGTCGTCTTCGTTGATGTCGCTGGTGACATTCTCCCCTTGCAGGACGTGCGCATAGTTGTCGTCCCGGGGGTAAAGACTATGTTGTCTTTCGAAATAGTTCTTCATCACGCGCGAATGATTGATGTTTCTCATCATGAACTCGTTCCGACGGTGTGACACGGCGATGGTCTTTGGTGGGGCACTGGCTTGGCGAAAACGATATCTTCTTGTGCAATATAACATTGATCGGCTGCAGATGAGTACAGTCACTTCGTGGTTGATCCTAAAGGAGGGCAGCGGCCAGGAAAGAGGCAGGACTCATCGAAAACGAAGCGCTCGCAACAAACAATAGCACTCGAAATATCTCGTAAGATTTAGGGCCTATCGCTTTGAGCCACAGCGCTCACAGCCTTGCCTACTTCATCAAAGTGAGCTCTACATGTTCGTTGACCTCTTCACACTACACAGAAGAGCGAAACAAGGATTACTAGAGTATGTCTTAGCATTTCAACCCCAACAGCAGACCATTACCAGTGCGAGAGAGAAAACTACAAAGGGCTTTGCTTTTCTGTTGCATCGTCTCTTTTGCATGCAACTAACGAGAAAACCGTGTACTTACCCTCGCATTCACACGCGAACTATCAAACACGTCCTGTGCCGCATGCTGATCAGGTAATGCCATGTATGTGTTGTACAGTGTACTCTCAGGTGACATGCCCCCTTTCGAACCCAGACAATCTTTTCGGGATTGGTCTATTGGTGAGCACACATGCTCATTCCCTGGGCACTGCAAATTCACAACTCATATCATTTCACATAATCATTTTCAACGTTTCGGCAAATTGCCATCATCAGGATACAATATGAAGTGGAAGTCTGCCAAGGAGCAGTTATATACACTAATTTGTGTTCTTAGGTGTTGATAATATTTCTATGACTACATATGTTACCTCAGTGCTAGAAGTATGACATGTCTAAAACTAGTGAAAGATCACAAGTTTTCACTGACTCATATGCTGGGTGTTGGTAATAAGTTAGCACAGCGCAGATGTCACCAGATAACTTGAGAAATGTCTGAACAGGTTTCTCGCAAGCAATTCACGAATGTGACCATGTCAGTGGTTTCCAGTAAATACTGTCACCTAGATAGACAGTGTGGTGTGATTGTTTTAGAGTAATGACCATCCAGTACTGGTGTTGATCTCTGGGCCTTCGTTTCTGATCTCCACTGCCTCTCGCAATTTGCGGCTTGCCCTGTCACTGGCTCTTGCAACCACAGACACTGCCGAGAAGATGCTGTCCCCGACACCTACATGTAGGTTGATCCCTGCATGCTTAGCTCGCATGTGGTCACCCCATGGCTTATCCACAGTGCGCCTACGAGCTTCACCGTTGTGTTCCTCCAGTCTTGTCTCCAGTGTGCGACCCGTCTCTCCGATGTATTTTTCCCTGCACAACTTGCATTGCAGCCGGTATATCACATTCTTCTTCAAACATATTTTCACTCCACCCGACTTACAAGTCAGACACGGCCCCAATGGGCGTCCTCTTCTCTTTGTCTTTCTGATGTTGGGCTCCTTTTAACATGCTCGTAAACCACCCGGACTGGTAACTTGTGCTTCCGGATAGCTTTGCTGACGCTGTGATGCACCCTGTCCGACTTATACGGCAGCTTCAGAAACGCACAACACGGATTACCTCGGCGGCGACGCTTGGGTTTCCTTGTTGCTTCTCGGGCATTGATGATGAGGCTCTCTGGATAGTGGTTGAGTTGAAGTTGGTCTTGAATTTTCTGTTCACTTTCTTTACACATGGTGTCATTGGAAGACAGACGTTGAGCATGAAATTACGCAAGCCGCATCACAAGCCCAGCTTGGAGCTCGGACCAGTAGTGCGGCGACATGTGATGGATCCAGTGTCCAGCGGGCATTGGTTGTGGATGATTGTGTGCCGGACAGCACCAGGCGGATTCTGGAGATTGGGCCGAGCTTTGTTCCTTCGACACGGGCAAGTTTTCGGATCGCGAGCGTTCGGAGGTGATTACGTCTGTCGAGCGGATGGCCTACACGTTGCGCTGGCAGCAAGCCCAGCCTCAAGAGGTGGAGGTTCCAGACAACGAGACTGTTTCTGACACGGTGGGCGACAGAAAACTCTGGAAGCTCAAGCAGCGTGGGTTTAAACAACCGCCGAAAATGTGTGACGATGAAGAAAGGAAGCTTGCGAATTTCAAGGACGATGTTCTCGCTGCTTACACCAAATACAGGCCATCGACGTCTAATATGACCAAGGAGGAACGAGAGGAGCTGGCCAGACTCCGCAAGGACACAAGTACAGTCATCAAACCGTCAGACAAAAGTAAAAAATTAGTCGCAATGAAACAAACGCTCTACCTGGAGAAGGCAGACACATTGCTATCAGATAGCGCTATGTACGAAAAGGTTGACCTAACAATAACTGAGTTCGAGACACGGGTGAAAGCTGTCCTTGGGGACAAATGCAAGAACATGGATTCAAAGCTGCTGAAGTCGATTCTCCCCAATGATACAAGATTCCCCGAGTTCTATGGTCTCCCAAAGGATCATAAACAGAACCTACCCCTACGACCCGTCGTGTCAGCATGTGATAGTCCTGTCACGGGCATATCAATCGTACTAGAACGCATTCTACACCAGTTGCTAGACTTGGTCCCAGCACACCTCACTAATACGAATGAAGCCCTTGATGACATCTGCGCTTTATACCCAGATCTCAAAGCTCCAGAGGGGACTATTCTTGCCACTTTGGATGTCGTGGGCCTGTACCCGAGCATTCCAATTGAAGAGGGAGTCACCGCAGTGGGAGAAATATTGGTACAGAATTTCAAAAGAATCAACATGTTCGGCCTTGACGTGTGCGAAGTCAAGGACTTGCTTCAATTTGTTCTCAGTAACAATTTCTTCAGATTCGGGCGACAAATTTACCACCAGCTAGAGGGAGTTGCAATGGGCAATAATCTAGCACCACCATTCGCAATATTGTTCATGCACTCTCTGGAAACGCGCCTTCTTGCCGATTCACCGGTTCTGCCTGTGCTGTACAAACGGTACATTGATGATGTGATCATTCTCTGGACCCACGGTGAGGAACGCCTCTTGGAGCTAATACAGCACTTCAATGCAGGACACGACCGACTCAAGTTCACCTACGAGCTCAGCAGTAGCAAAGGCTGGATTGATTACATGGACGTGACGATTGCCATACAACAGTCGGGCCAGATGACGTACAAGCTCTTCCAAAAGCCATGCAATAGTGGATTGCTGATAGACTACGCATCTGCTGTACCTCATCACATCAAACTTGCCGTTGCAAAGTCTCAATTCTTAAGAGCACAACGTCTGTCTTCCAATGACACCATGTGTAAAGAAAGTGAACAGAAAATTCAAGACCAACTTCAACTCAACCACTATCCAGAGAGCCTCATCATCAATGCCCGAGAAGCAGCAAGGAAACCCAAGCGTCGCCGCCGAGGTAATCCGTGTTGTGCGTTTCTGAAGCTGCCGTATAAGTCGGACAGGGTGCATCACAGCGTCAGCAAAGCTATCCGGAAGCACAAGTTACCAGTCCGGGTGGTTTACGAGCATGCGGGCAGCCTCAAGCGTCAGCTCTGTCACTCAGCACAAAGTCCGCCCAGCTGCATTAAGGAGCCCAACATCAGAAAGACAAAGAGAAGAGGACGCCCATTGGGGCCGTGTCTGACTTGTAAGTCGGGTGGAGTGAAAATATGTTTGAAGAAGAATGTGATATACCGGCTGCAATGCAAGTTGTGCAGGGAAAAATACATCGGAGAGACGGGTCGCACACTGGAGACAAGACTGGAGGAACACAACGGTGAAGCTCGTAGGCGCACTGTGGATAAGCCATGGGGTGACCACATGCGAGCTAAGCATGCAGGGATCAACCTACATGTAGGTGTCGGGGACAGCATCTTCTCGGCAGTGTCTGTGGTTGCAAGAGCCAGTGACAGGGCAAGCCGCAAATTGCGAGAGGCAGTGGAGATCAGAAACGAAGGCCCAGAGATCAACACCAGTACTGGATGGTCATTACTCTAAAACAATCACACCACACTGTCTATCTAGGTGACAGTATTTACTGGAAACCACTGACATGGTCACATTCGTGAATTGCTTGCGAGAAACCTGTTCAGACATTTCTCAAGTTATCTGGTGACATCTGCGCTGTGCTAACTTATTACCAACACCCAGCATATGAGTCAGTGAAAACTTGTGATCTTTCACTAGTTTTAGACATGTCATACTTCTAGCACTGAGGTAACATATGTAGTCATAGAAATATTATCAACACCTAAGAACACAAATTAGTGTATATAACTGCTCCTTGGCAGACTTCCACTTCATATTGTATCCTGATGATGGCAATTTGCCAAAATGTTGAAAATGATGATGTGAAATGAAAATAATGAGTTGTGAATTTGCAGTGCCCAGGGAATGAGCATGTGTGCTCACCAATTCTCTTCGAACGTTTGTTTTGCAAGTCGAAACTTGATGATGTGTTTTCATTTCGTGAGCCCCAGCATCAGCAATGTCCTGTCCCGTTCTCCTTTCCTTGCTGATTCCAACGAACTTTGATCGCCCAAAGAGTCGAGGGCCAAACCTGCCTCCCCAGTCGCCTCAGAAAAACCAACTCCATGGCCAAGTCAAAATTTAATTTCATGCGTATCGCCATAGTCTTTCAGCCACACAGATGACGGTCAGGACACTCCAGGCGAAATAAAAGAGAGTAGACAGGCAGTGGAGAGGAGCAATCAGAGGTAGCTGACGATGCTGATATCGCCAAAGACGGCGGCGAAGCGATGCCGAGATAAGAAACCTCTTTGAATAATTTAATTCGCGCGCTAGCGCTCTTCTACAAGAAAATTCATCCGAAAAATATTTTCGGCAAAGTAAGCTTTTTCCGAACAAACATGCCGAATCTTCGTGTGCATTTTCGACCTCGCTCTATATCTAGCTCTCGCGTGCCGAATCTTTTTGCCGAATTTCGGAATGCAAAACCTCACAGAACTCGTCAAAATCAAAATCAAATCAGAAAAAATACAGCTAAAATATCACTATACACACTATTATCGGCTATACCGATTATTGCTTGTTTGTTTGTTTGTTTGTTTGTATTTATTTTGATTCGCAAATTCAAACGGGCATAGAACCCAATAACATGAAAGCGAATATGAAAATTATAATGAGAAGCTTATTGTGATGGGCTTCAGGAAGCAAACCATATCAAATGTACAGGAACGTATCGCATGAAGTAATGCAAGAGTACGAGTGATGATCAGTGATCACAAATCAAGCGTTCTTCCAATAAAGTTCACTTCTTCCAAAACTGATCCAGTGCTGCCTGGATGCATCTGGCAGCAGACATGAATGAGAGAAATTTCTTCCCTGTATGCTGTAAACAGCCACATGTACACGTGGCTGCTTTTCAATTTTTCATGCTTTTTCTAGCGTGAACCAGGGAGCCCTACACATACCTACACGTATATGTAGGTATGTGTAGGGCTCCCTGGCGTGAACGCATCATTTCATGCACTCTGATCTGGCGTGAACGCATCATTTCATGCACTCTGGCGTGAACGCATCATTTCATGTACAGTCATGTGCCATGTCATGATGTGTCAGTCGTACGGTACATGCAAATCGGCTATAGTGATGCATGACAAATTATCGAAAATCAAAGGGGCACGTTATATGCAGTATTTACTGTAGTTTTGAAGCTGATGCCAGTGTGGATTCCGTTAAGTAGCTGTAGCTGAACCAGCCGAGACTAGTTGTAGTAGTTACCGGTACATGTATCCCGAGAGCACCCCCACGACCGAGGAACTCGCTCCTGCAGTGCTCGACGCTGCCCCTTCAGCGCCCGTTTCCGACTCACAACAGCTAGCATGGGACTTGCTTGCGTCAAGTTTGAACTCTCCGCCACGTGCCGAACAGGCACCGGACACCGTGGCCGGTGCCCTCACTGCAAATCATTGCAACTCTCCACCACGTGGGACAGCCGCTGAGGTCCAGGTTTCTCAGGACTCCAAGACAGATGAGACCCAGATATTCAAAATAATTGCAACTAGCCCGCGGCCCTCGACAGTGGCACCGTCGGAGGCGGACGATCAGGACTCCCCTCCAGGGACACGGCCCCCGACACTTTGCTGTTGGCTTCTCTGGACAGCCCTGTGCCAGTTGGCGAACCGGAGGCAGTTTACTGTAGGAGAGCTGCTGGCGTTAGCTTCACCCTGGGTACCATGACAGCGGAGGAAACTGCACACGTCATCAACAGCGCCTATGACGAGGCGGTTCATTACCGCCCGAATGCCTTCGACGTGCCTCGAGGTTCAACCGGGGAGGCATTTGTTACCCAACTGAGCCAATACCTGCATGTGTTTGGCAATGGAGGGACCTACGAAGATCAAGCCCTCAAAATTGCCATGGTATACCAGCTGCTTCTGCTTCAGAAGCCCTACCAGTCGCCGCAATCATCGTATGCCAAATGCCTCAGACAACGGATGGACCAATGACAAGCGGGATCAATCCCGGAGCTCCTGCGGGAATGCCAAACAATCCACCGGCAGCTCAGTAAAGCACGACAACGGCAGGACAGAGCAGACACACAGCCGGACGTTGCCAGGGACTTTGCATGGTCACCGGAGGGAAATTGAAGGCGGCTCTTAACCTTCTAGAGGACGATACCCCAGAAGGAGTTCTAGACCTTGATGAGAAGATAGGAAACGAAACGGTCCGCGACATTCTCATCTCCAAACACCCGGACGCTCAACCTGCCAAACCCGACGCCCTGCTCGAAGGAGATGCACCTGCACCACCACATCCAATCCAGTTTGAGTCCCTGACACGGGAGGTAGTGCGACGGGCAGCCCTTAACACCCATGGCTCCGCTGGGCCCTCCGGTGTCGACGCGGACACTTGGCGACGGATGTGCACCAGCTTCGGAGGCGCCTCAACTGAGCTGTGTGACTCTATGGCCCTCTGTGCACGTCGCCTGGCGAGCACCTACGTCGACCCGGCCATGCTGGAGGCATATGTCTCATGCCGACTCACTCCCCTCAATAAGAATCCAGGAGTGCGGCCAATCGGGATTGGGGAGGTGTTGACTCTGTTGAGACGGATCCTCGGAAAGGCCATCCTCTTTCTCCTCCGAGACGACATCCAAGATGCAGCTGGCAGCTTTGCGCCGGGCACGAATGCGGGGTAGAGGCGACCATCCACGCCATGCGCACCGTGTTTGAGGACGAGGAGACTGAGGCCATCCTGCTTGCCGATGCCTCGAACGTTTTTAATACACTCAACCGGGAAACCTGCATGCGCAACATTCAGCACCTCTGCCCAGTGATGTCCCCCACTGTCATCAACACGTACCGCCAGCCCGCACATCTCTTCGTCGGTGGGGAAACCATTCTCTCCAGTGAAGGGACCACCCAGGGCAACCCCATTGCAATGTTGTTGTTGTTGTTGATTTTTATTTTGCTTCGCAAGGCCAAACGGGCAATGGTGCCCAATTCTATGGAAGCGAATTTCAAAAGGGAGAGAGCTACGGGGAGAGAGAGAGAGAGAGAGAGGGGGGGGGGGGAGGGAGGGAGGGAGATGATAAGCAATTTTGCAGCGTCAACACTGAGCGATTTTGCAGTGTCAATAGAGCGATTTTGAAGCGTCAACAGAGGGAACACAAAGAGTTCATAAGCGCACAAGCACGCAGAGAAGAGTAAATGACGTGGTGTGTGGACGGGAAAAGTCAGACAGAGCATTCATTGCAAGGTGTAGGGGATGGAGGCAAGCTTAAATTGCTGGGCAGCCTTGATCTCCCTTACACTCCTTGGGAGAGCGTTCCAGGCCAAGGCTGCCTGAAAGGCCAGGCGAGATCTGCCGGCTTCTGACTGTGCCGAGGGGACAGTGAGGCCCCTGGAAACCTGGTGCCGGGTGGTGCTGCCAGCTGATGGTGAGAATAGTTCCTGGAGGACACTGCTGGCTTTCCCATTGACACAGCACCACACCAGGACGAGCCGCTTCTGGGCGTAGCACTCGCGAACTCTGTACAGGGACATCCGTTCGAGCAGAGACTGAGCCGAGGTGTGAGGCGGCAAACCGTATACCGCTCTCGCCGCTCGGTTCTGCAGGACCTGAAGGCGATCAAGCTGCGAAACCTTGAGGGAGGAAGAGAAGGCGTTACACCCATCTGGGAGGTCAGGCATGATGACTGACCTCACATACTGGATGCGACTACTGAGGCTCAGACATCTGCGGGACCGCCACAATGCTCCAATCTTCTGCACAACTTTCTTCGCCATCGCGTCAACATGGGGGTCCCACTTCACAGCGGCGTCAAGGGTCACGCCGAGGTACCTTGCTGTTGGGCTCAGGGGAAGCTCTGTCTGGTTGCAGCGGACAGCGACATGCTGACCCGCATTGCGTTGTGGTACAATTGACAGGACCTGGCTCTTCTTGTCATTTAGAAGCAGATGTCGATGCTTGAGCCAGTCAGCGACGTTGGTGACGGCCCCTGACAGGCAGGCTGATGTGGCTAGCACTGATTTTCTGTGGCAGTGCACTGCAATGTCATTGGCAAATTGCAGAGATGGAGCAGGATGGGCTATGGCAGGGACATCACGGGTGTACATGCTAAACAGGATCGCGTCCTAGGACCGAGCCCTGAGGTACACCAGATGAGCACTTAGCAGCAACACTGTAGGTGGGGCCAATGCGCACTTGCTGGGTTCGATCGCTTAAGTAGCTGCAGAACCAGCGAAGGGAGGCATTGTCCAGGCCGAGATCGAATAGGTCCCGGACCAGTTGGCTGTGATTGACCTTGTCAAAGGCTTTTGACATGTCGATTAGGCAGACGCCTGTGGTCAACTTGTCGTCCCGGGCCTTTAAGATGGCATCTGTTGCTACAACTAGGGCGTCCTCTGTGGAGTGCTCACGGCGGAAGGCAAACTGAGGCGGTGGTATGGCACATGATCGCTCCAGATGTGCAACAAGTTGCTTCTGGACTATCTTCTCGAGTAGTTTGGATACGATCGGCAGGAGCGACACAGGACGATAATTTGCAGCTACCGATGGATCGCCAGCTTTGAAGAGAGGGCTTATTACAGCATGTTTGAAAGCCAGAGGGACTTCACCATGCCTCAGCGATGAGCTGAAGAGCACTGAAAGCGATGGAGCCAACAGGTCAGCGCAAGCACGTAGCAGACACCCAGGAATCCCATCACTGCCTGTGGCTTTGCAGGGATTTATCCGTTCCAGGAGGTGCTTGACCTCATCTGGGGTGGTTGACTGGAAGGTCAGCATTGAGCCTTGCGGCTGTGGACCAATGGGAATCTGGAGCTGCGCCGGACGGGACGGATCATGTACAATGCTGTGGAAGGCATCCGAGACTTCTGTGATGTCGCACGTTGGCTGATGATGTTGACGAGAACGGCTAGTGACAGAGTTGATCACGGACCACATCATCCGCAGGTTGGAGGAGTGATCACGACACTGCTGTTGGAAATGCTGATTGCGTTTTCGCCGGTAAGCATTTGAGGCTTCTGCACGGGCTCGCTTGTACTCCTCATGTAGATGCACGTTAGTCTTATCTCGTAGCCACTTTCGGTGAAGTCTATTCTTGCGCATGTTCAGTTGGAATAGATCACGGTCGGACCATGGCGGGGGAGTCCTCCTGGTGGATATTCTGACTTCACGCAGGGGAGCGTGACTTTCGAGAACCGACATAAACTTGGCATGCCAGCCATTCCACTTCTCGTCTACAGTTGCAGCAGGGGGAAAGGAGTGGAGGCTGCACGAGGCAATATCTTCACGAAATGTTGCAAGGTTAATGGCACGGATCTTGCGGGTGAGGCGCACTGATTTCCGCTGCAGTGGGTGTTGCGAGGAGGGTAGAGACAGACTTGCATGCACAAGGAAGTGATCGCTGATCGTGCAGGGTACAACTTCACAATGACTTATAGTACCCACGGTGGAGAGCACTAAATCAAGCAGCGTTCCATCCGGACATCGGGGTGTGACTCGTGTGGCAGACTGGACGTAGTTGCGGAGCCCATACGATCCGATAAGGTCCCAGAAGCGCTGGTGAGGACGACTGGTCATGCATTGAGCCAGACTGATATTAAAGCCAATGTACGCCCTGGGTGTTCTACCACTGCTTTTAAAGTCTGTTGCTACACCGGGTGCCATTCAGGAGTGGTTTGCCGACGATGCAGGAGCCGGTGGAAAGCTGATGCCGCTGTGAAGGTGGTGGTGGGGGGGGGGGGGGGGGAGGGGGGGGGGGCTTACCGAGAAAGGTCCTTCCTACGGCTACAATCTGAACCCAGCCAAGTCTATTCTCCTGGTCAAACCAGCCTACCTGGACCGGGCGGAAGAGTTGTTCGCCGGCACAGGAGTTAACACCTCAGTTTGCAGAGCACTTCCTAAGTGACAAGGTGCAGTCTTGGACTGGGCAAGTGAACCGCCTCTCCAACATTGCCATGTCTCAGCCTCACGCTGCCTACTCTGCTTTCACCCAAGGGCTGAAGGGAAAGTGGGCCTTCATCTGCCGCACTATGCCGACCACAGCCACAGCTATGGAGCCGCTGGAGAAGGCCATTGCGGAGACGCTCATCCCTGCTCTCACCGGGCAAACAATCGATAGCGAGGATCGCGGTGTGTTGTCTCTCCCCTGTGGAAACGGTGGTCTCGGTGTGGTCAACCCTACGGAGCTGTCCGACCAGTACAACGGGTCCCGCCACATCACCCAATCCCTGCAGCGTAACATCGTGACTCAATCCCTGCAGCGTAACATCGTTCTAGCTTGGTGGAGCTCCGCATGCTCTGCGGGCTGCCAAAAGAGAGGTACAATCTCGCTCCCGTGATGCTACCCGTGCCCTCTCCGTTATCCTGCGAGCATCTTTGACGCCGGACAAGCAGCGAGTGATGGACTTAGCCGCAGAGCGCGGCGCCTCAAGCTGGCTAACGTGTCGACCACTGAGCCGATACGGTTTCGCCCTCTCCAAGGGCGAGTTCAGGGATGCCCTCAGCCTTCGCTACAACTGGAGACGGCCCAGGATGCCGGGGACCTGTGGCTGTGGCAGTCTGTTCTCCATCGCACATGCCCTGTCGTGCCCAACAGGAGGTTATCCCTCCATCCGACACAATGAGATCCGAGACGTCACTGCTGGCCTGCTGAAGCGAGTCGCCACGAATGTCGCAGTGGAGCCTCACTTACAGCCGCTCACCGGGGAACAACTTCGCCTCCGCACTGCTATCACTGACGACAATGCTCGTCTGGATGTAGCAGCCAGTGTGGGGAGGGCGGTTTGAACGCACATTTATCGATGTCAGGGTCTTCAACCCTTATGCGCCTTCAAACCAGTCCTCCTCCCTCCCGGCCACCTACGTCCATCACGAGAAGGCTAAGAAGCGGTCCTACGAACAGCGACTCCGTGAGGTGGAGCACGCATCGTTCGGTTGTTGAGAATCGGCTGATCGCGCCGTTCCGTAGCTCCGTGCGCTCCCGACGTTCCTATTCATAGGCGCTAGGCCCACACCACTACTAGTAGTAGTAGTAGTACTACTACTACTAGTACTAGTATCCCAGGCGCGTACGCAGGGTCACCTCTAGGGGGGTTTCCAACCTAAGGCCACCCTTTGTTAATTCATTGTTTAACGTCCTTTTTTTCGCGAAAAGGTACGCGGGAGGGCGGAAAAAAACAAAAGCCCATTCCAAAAACTGGAAACCCCAATCAAACATTTTGACCAGTAAAGCATGTGATATATACAATATTTCTGGGTCTAACGGCACTTGCAGGCATAGAACAACACTCTTTGATGGTACATTGGAGCACATGCCTGATGAATCCAACAAAACAGGTACATAGCATGGAGTTAGCATGTCATGAATTCATTACAATGTCATCTGGATTTTTACTAGGACACACACCATACGATATTTAAGAGCCAACAAAAAAAGAAAAAGAACACAAGACAAAGGCATGCCCGGGAGGCAAGATTATAAGTTTAAGGTCATGATCGGCACACTGTGAAACTAAACAATCATGTATTTACAACTTCGCATATTATTGGGTACTACTACTTTCTTGTTTTTTTTCCGGTCGGAGGCAAAAAGGTACGCGGGCGCGGACGTTAAACAACGAAAAAAGAAAGGGTGGCCTAATCCCAAACAATGAGTTTTTTAACGGTTTTACCGTATTTTTCGGAGTATAGTACGCACCTTTGTATAATGCGCACCCCCAATCTTCATTGAGGGTGCGCACTTCAATCTTCATTGAAGTACATGCATTTCATATTCGGAGCATAGTGCGCACCTGCGATTTAGGGCCTAAAATAGCACGTCTAAAGTGCGCACTATACTCCGAAAAATACGGTAATTAACCCTTTCTAAAGAGCCCTAGGAAATTTTCAAAATTATGCATATTTTCATGTTGTTTGGATCATAACTTCAGTTCTACTCACTCAATCTTCATTATCTTGGGCTTCCTGGAAGTGGAATTAATGGAAGGGTACCAGTGAGAGAATGAGGTCGACCATGATAGCCAGAACACAGTACAGTCATGTACATATCCAGCGCTATAGGCTATAGCGGTAGAGTGCAGCGACGGTGCGAAAAATGGCCCAAACGCGTCCTGCTCCAGCGATTTCGTTTATCTTGATCGCAAAGTTTCGATTTTTTTGCTGAGTACTCTTGAAAATATCACAAGTGAAGCCCCTGCAAATTTGAGCAAATCAGCGCGACGAAAATCTCAAATTGTCGATACTCAAGTCTCACTGCGCGCTTTTGAAATTGCCGAGATCGTGGCTCAACTTACGAATGATTTATCTCACGATACATTGCTCGTAGCGCTTCGCAAATTGTTTCAACCGACAGCTGAGAGTTTTCTATTCGACCTGGATATTTGGATCGTAGGATTTGAGCGAGATTTGACTGAGTTACGATCTTTTGAAGTTTTGCATTCTTGCCAGATCGATCATCCGCCCTACCAAAAATGCCCAAAAACGTTGCTCGTTTGGAACATTTGGGGGGGGGGGTTTCCGGGCAACGGGAAACCCCCCCCCCCCTGCGTACGCGCCTGTATCCTAGGAACGTCGGGAGCGCACGGAGCTAGCTAGCTACGGAGCGGCGCGATCAGCCGATTCTCAACAACCAGGGAGTCGTAAAATACTGGTATTTTACGACTCCCTGTCAATTTTTTTTTCTGGGCTGTCAACTCGGTCAAATATACAACAACATTTTCGCGTTTTTGTTTCCCAAGAACCGCAACAAGCCTCTTGTTAGTAGTTGTAGTTGTACGGGCAAAAGTACGTACAATTATGTAGTGTGGAACAAAACCAATACTAAAAAATCGTATAGATAAAGTGCGGACCTCAACAGAATAAAAAAAGGGAAGTATGCGGACATGAGGGTCGCGCGCAAAGAGTTACGTGGTTACAAGAGGCATGTATATGATTATTATACCTGTGAGCAGGAAAGAACTTTTTTTTCCAGGTCTAGACCTTTTTTTTCTCCAAAAACAAAATAATAACTCCAAAGCACGAAAAGGCCAAAAAGTTCAAAGGCAAAAACTAAACCAAGAACATGTCGTGATGTGCAATAACATCAACAGAGCTAGCTAGCTTGTAGCGCGATCAGCCGATTCTCAACAACATTTTTCGCGTTTTTGCGCTTTTATTTTTTATGATTCTGCGATTTACGTCTGCACTGCAGCGTTCCCGCCTGCCATGCTAATGCAGTAATGGGTAGTAATGCGCTAGCAGTAGTACTAGTAGAGTAGTGCATGCAATGATGCATGCAGCGCACTGCCACTGGATCTAGACTCGAGTCATACTCCGAGTCAGACAGTCAGAGTCATCATGGTCATAGTCATACAGTTGTTGCTAGCATGCTGTAGGCGCACACGCACGGGATGATCGGGAGCTAGCTGCGGAGCGCCAGATCATCTATATTTTTGAAGTGTTTTCTGATGTTTTCTGCGGACCGGAAAGGGAATGGGGAATGTGCGTAGATCTACGGCGATTTCATCCATTCCAACTAAACCTTGCGCGCTGGCGAAAGTAGCAGCTACTGCTAGCACCAGCACTGCATCACTAGCATATGCACACCGCACCGGCGTTGGTGAGTCCTTGGCAAGAGGCTAGTGCCTGCGCGTCAGTGTTGTGTTGGACGACATCGCCGGAGATTGGGAGCGCTAGCGAGCTAGAGCGCAGCAGATCTAGAGGTCGGAGATGAGACGCGGATGGCGGCAGAGGAGCTAGCAATGTCCTCGGCGCACCCACCACCATCCTCCGCCGTCATGCAGCTGTCCCCGGTACGTGGCGGAGGCGGCAGCGCAGCAGCAGCAGCAGCCGTACAAGGTGGTGCGTCCATTGCCACCGTCAACGCGAGTGCTGGCAATAACGGCGACAGTAAGTCAGCGACACACAGCGTGGCGAAGCAGCTCAACAAGCTCAAGAGCTTTCTGGGCACGCTGCAAGCGTACAGGGACCCGAACGAGGATGAGCTGACGCTGGTGAATCGGCGAAAGCGAATCGACGTTGCCATTGACAGTCTAGTGGTAAGGAAAACACATTATTAGTAGATCTACGCGGATTGCACAAACTGACTAACTGGGTCGCCCATCCTGTCCTCACTAGCTTACTGCAATCAGTGATAGGTCACTGGTCGGGCGACCAATGGCAATGACAACGGCTTATACCACAACCATTCAATACGGTGAACCCCTCGATAGGCGATTTGCCTTTGGGTCATCCTAATAAAGTTATTATTATTATAGGCAAACAACACATTAACACGTTTGCAGCCCACACCTTCGGCATCTCTAACAATACAATGGCCATACTAGCATGCTATGCTATAGTTTATTGGGGGAAACAGGAGGAGGGCTTGCTTTCCACAATCTGTAAAGGTTGTGGGCAGTTTTCTTCTTGATTTCTCCAGTTGCAGAGTGTCCGTTGCATTTGGAGCTTGTATATGTGTATTTGCATAGAGCTTCCATGTCAATAGCATGCTCTCTGGTGAAGTGTTGTAGGCAAGCAGCTCACCCACAGGACGAAATTTGAGATTTTATTGGTCGAAATCGGATCCTTTTGCGTCGCGCACAGCTCTGTTCTGATTTTTTTGTGTAACGATCGCATCCATTTACCTGCCTGCGCAGACAATGATTTCCATCGGCAACTGCAATGGTTGACGTCATCAAATCGATACAGCGGATCACACGTCCGTTTTTTCTTCTATTATTAAAAAAGGATAATGTAATTCCCAGCGCATATTGCCAATTCGCATGCTCTTTTGCTTGTCTGTCAAGCGACGGATAGTCTTTCCATGTGGTACTACTACCACCACCACCACTGTGTGTCCCACTGTGTGTCCCGGAAACTCCAGATAATCCGGCCTGACAGGGGAAAGTTGACCCAGGGGCGGGGGGGGGGGGGGGGGGGGGGTGCAGCATTTCTGTTGGCCATCGGCCAAGTGGCAAGGTGCCTCTATGTAAGTGACTACGGTCTAAGAAAGACTTCGCCATGCCATAATACAGTCAACTTCGCTAATAACGACTGCGGATATAACGACAATTCGCGAATAACGACAGAATTCCCATGCCCAGAGCAAAGTCTCGTCCAACTGTAATACCTATAATGAGACTTCGGGTATAACGACACTTCGGGTATAACGACACTTCGGGTATAACGACACTTCGGGTATAACGACACTTCGGGTATAACGACACTTCGGGTATAACGACACTTCGGGTATAACGACACTTCAGGTATAACGACACTTCGCGAATAAGGACACTTTTCTGATGCCCTGCCGAGTGCCGTCGAGTGTGGTTATACGCGAAGTTGACTGTATTTAGGTTCCGCAACCTTTTCAAAAACCTGTGTGACATTTTGACTTGTTCCAACTGCTCAGTTCACAAGAAGTTGCTGTGCTCGGTTGTGCTTTCTCTGCAGACATGTGCGATACAGATCGAGCAGTTCTTTGACCAGTTGAAGGCAAGCGGCTATCCGATAACGGACTCGGAAATTGCTGCGGTGCACCCTGTTGTGAAAGTGAGTTGTGGACGGTGTCCTGTCGCAGCCTAACTATTGCTGTCAAGTGCGAGGAGGCAAACGGGTGGGCTCGTTTGATTGCACTTCAATGTATTGTGTAGACGATGTGTACGGGTTTGTCACATGATGTAAAGTTCTGCTGTCGCGCACCGGCCATCGCCTGGAGTTGCACACCCTTGAGGTCTATGCACTTCGAGGCTTCACGGCGATATGCACATAATGTATTACTTTTATATGTGTTGGAATGACTGAAGCCGGTCTGTTTCTAAACGTTCAGCACGCCCGTACAAACAGACCTCGCTTATCCGGTCCTCTTTTATCCGGATCCCTCGCCATCCGGAAGAAAATCGTTGGCTACCGATTTACAGTACACGTGTATGTGATGGATACATACAGTATGTGTGTGTTCAAGCGAGGTCTGACTGTATTCATTGCGTCTGCATTGATTGCACCTCAGCATGGCTTGCCGCTGCTGAAGGCTGAGATGAGCCACACCAGTACTGGCAGTGCTACCAGAGTGGAGCGGCCCTATGTTAACGAGTAAGTGGAACTCCTGCTCACACTGATGTAAGTTATTATTATATACAGCGTGTGTGACGTACGGTTGAGGCCAATGCTAAGTCACGTGACCAGCCGTATCATGTGACCAGCCGTATCATGTGACCAGCCGTATCATGTGACCAGCCGTATCATGTGACCAGCCGTATCATGTGACCAGCCTTGTCATGTGACTAGTCATTACGTAAGCCATGTGTCATAAACATGTGTCATAGACTGTAGTTGCCTGATCGACATTTCAAGAACATGAAAGCCGTGATGCAGCACTAGCACGTAATACAATACATCAGCACACATTCCGCATGACTTCTTCGCTAGCAACGTTTTCCCGTAATAATTGCATGTCCATGTGCATGTACTTCCACCCCCGTCCTCAGGGTCTCGGAAACAAGTTACCGAACTTACTTTAGAGCAACCAAGAAATGAAGTTGATGATTTTGATAGTGTGTGTGTGTCACGGTGTGTGTGTGTGTGTGTGTGTGTGTGTGTGCATGCTTGCGTGTCTGCGTGTATGTGTATTGTTTCATCATGTTACCGGGCCTGTTCACAGCCAAGCTCCAGAGGAACCGGCGCCACGGCATTCATCATCGTATGACCGGCGGCGGGGTGAAAGGCAGGTGAGTGACATCAGGTATTTACAATTCCCGAAGCTGTGCTGAAGACGTGACTTTACTGCCGGAGTAGCGTCTGGCGCTGGCCAGGGTCCACAGGCTACAGCGCTCTTTTTCAGCGGGTGTTTGTGTGTGTCGTAGGGCCGTCGTCACGTGACGTGTCATGCTTGGCACACTGTCTCGTTCATGTCCCGGGAAAAAAAAAGCATAGAGTGGGCACTGAGCTTTCAAGCTCACTCGTACAAATCCAAAGCCGGTAGTGGTGGCGGAATGTCCGCACCACTTGGTACCAATTATGATCAAATGTATTGTGTTACTAATGTGCTTTATAAGCATGCATGCTGTAGGTCAGTAGAGTGTTCAATGCAACTGTACACAATGTTTTATTCAGATGGTACCTCACAGTTCACTGCATGCAGCTAAGTGCTATGAGTCGCAGTTGTAATCAACCCAGCCTATACCGTCGGCTAGAGTAGCACGCTTCAGTCTTGCGAGCTTGTGTGCGTGTGTGTGTGTGTATGGGGGGGGGGGGGGGCACCGTGGTATTCAGCGGTGTTTTCACGGAGTGCTGCGGTGTTCATGTACAATGTATTTGTCTCGCTGTAACCGGCCGCTGGGTTGTGAGATGTGCTCTGGAGTACTAGTATCACCCAGTCACAGTAAGGATTCCGGCAGTCTTCACCATCGTCCGGTGCTCACCCCCCAGGGCCGACCTAGGAATCTATATCCACGTCAGCTCTACAAAATAAATACTCTTAACTGTGAAAAATATACTTTCTATCAAATATTGAAAAATAATGCAACTCCTGCACATGCACTGTATGTGGCCTGATAGGATAGACAATGCAGTCTCTCACATATCACTATAGAGTGGTTTCACATCTGTCACATGACCATGCGGGACAGCCATGTTGGTTTCAACTCCATACTGAGTCCATACAAATCCTGCATCTATGGGTCACATGATGTCGGCCATTTTGGTTCCACTGTTCACATGATAATGATCGCTTTCTGCACAAATTTAGTCACACGACCAAGATGTTAATTAACAGCGCTCTATATAAGATGTAACGTTACCTGTCTTGCCTGGCTCAGCGACGTGTACATGTATACGTGGGGGGAATCGGGGAAGTAAACCAAGATTATCAAGACTGCACCTGCCCTGCTCCGGGATAGAGTAGCACGCGACAGTCAAGGCCGTTTCCTGTGACCGTTTTCCCTGAGCAAGTGGTCACCTGGCCGTGCTTCCTTCAGAAGCGAGCCATCCATGTCTATTGTCGCATGCATGTGTGCTAAACACCTGCTCAGCGGCGTACTGGGTGGTGTTATGTGTGTTTGCATGTGGAGTAGTCTACAACCTAAACGAAGATCTTCCGTCCTCAGTGGCCATCCGATATGGATACTACGGTTGTTCAAGCCACTGCCTGAGGGCCTGTGAGGCTATCTCAGGAATATGGGTGGCAGATCTAGATGTGTGTGTGTGTGTGTGTATTTGTGTGTGTGTGTATTTGTGTGTGTGTGTATTTGTGTGTGTGTGTATTTGTGTGTGTGTGTGTGTATGTGTATATATGTGTGTGTATAATTATGTGTGAGTCAGATCAGTTGTGTGATGATTGCCTCACGCCGGGCATGAAACTCAGAGTTACAACCAACCTGAACGTCCTCCGCTGAGTCTGCTATGTATTGTGTGTGTGTGTGTGTGTGTGTGTGTGTGTGTGTGTGTGTGTGTGTGTGTGTGTGTGTGTGTATACTTATGTGTGCGTATAATTATATATATATATATAATTAAGTATGTGTGTATGTGTATTTGTACATGTACTGGTAATGTTGCTATTAGTATAGTGGAATGTCTGTGTGAACATCAGCAGCAGCAGCAGCAGTGGGGTGATCAAAGTCTATTTTGGTGATGCAAGTCTGGCTCGTTCCAATGTGGAGTACAATGTCATGTAGATGTGTGTATGTGTGTATGCACGGAGTGTGTTCTGTACTGTATGATCTGTATCTGTGTGTATGTCCCTAATTATAGCAGTCAATTTGTTAAATTAACTGACTGCATTCAGAAAGGGGGAAATCCCAGAGAGCAAGTACCATTCTACTCGTTTAGCCGATAAAATGATCGAAACAGCCGCTCGATCTTTTTCTTATCGATGCGCTACAGGAGGGCATCCAGTGGGTACTCAGCAACTTCCTGCAGTGAAACTTCCCCTGGCTGATTTGACGCCGGAAATGCAGCGAGAAATGCAAAACGAAACCCTCGCTTCCGCCTCGAAAATGATCCCGATAGCTCGGCTATGATTAGGACACAGTGATTGTAAAATAGCAGGGCATCGTCTAGAGGCATGCTATGATGCTACCAATGTCTGGGATAATGATTAGTTAGATGTGAACGGCTGTATGATGAGGTCTGGAGGCATGCTATGATGCTGGTACCAATGTCTGGGAGAACGATCAGTTAGATGTGAACAGCTGTATGACGAGGTCGGAATCTACCTAACTGGGAGGTGCATTGCTTCTGGTACTGTAATCGAGGTTGCCCGGAGACCACATGTAGTTGTGGGCAGAGTTGGGCAGTGCCAGTAAGCCATAGTTGCATTGTTTGACCTGTGTGTGGCAGGCGTGGGTGGATCTGGAACCTTCAGCTAAACGGCAATACTCGAAAAGTAAGTGCCCCCCCCCCCCTTCTCTCTCTCTCTCTCTCTCTCTCTCTCTCTCTCTCTCTCTCTTACCATGGGCACGCACACTTTTCTTATGCTGGTCTCACACGATGATAGTAGTCATGAACATGTTTTGTTGTATAGCTTGCCCATCGACACCTCCCGCTTCTCCGTGTGAGTTGGATGAGGTACGTATTCTGGTGTGTGTGTGTGTGTGTGTGTGTGTGTGTGTGTGTGTGTGTGTGTGTGTGTGTGCGTGCGTGTGATTGTTAGACAGTACAGAAGCCGCAGGAGCAAGGCTAGCTTCTTGTTTGTCATTTCCTTTTCCCATCCTCCACGAGAGCCACTCAAAAAGCATCCTATTGCTTCTGGGGAATTGGTGAAATACAATAAATACAAAGCAAAGCTAGGTGCAACTCATTTACTCTGTGTGCATCGTTTTGTGAATCCAATTCTGTCTTATGCTCAGACGATGCGAAGAGCAATGGGCAGCAACCGTCGCGAGCTGAACTCCACGAGAGTCTTCAAGGTGTAAGTGCCCGGCAGACTGTGTGTTCTGAATCAGGAGCAGGCTTTCCACACGTGCTGCAAAGCCGCCATATCAGCTTGGTAGCGAGCAGTTGGCACACACCCACACATCGGTCACTATCGCAGTGTGCAACTTCTGTGTGCTGTGATGCCTTGAGCAGCCCGTACTAGTTACCAACAAGTGGTGAAAGAAACGTGCGCCGCCTGTGCAAATCGTTTAGAGCTAACTTTCCGGTTAATTTTGTTAAGCTAAAGTTGGACTGCAGGCCTACTACTGTCCCACTCTCGGTCTCACAAACATGTATGTTCCTGACGAAAGGTGGAAAATTTATTTCTAGCGAAAGTTTACGCTAACGACTTGTACTCCTCCAGTATGTAGTACAGTCAGACCTCGCTTAACCGCACACATCCGTTTTCCACAAAATATCCGGATAGGCGAGGGAACGGACGGCCGGATAACTGAACACACATACTGTATAATTATTGTTGTGGTACATCAAAATGGGCGGCATCGTACATACACGGCATCGTACATACACGGCATCGTGCATACACGTATATGGGTCCTATGCAGAACAACTAGCGTGCACAATATGTAAAACAAGCGCCTGAGAAAAATGACAAGTACATGCAACTAAGTGCTCTCCACATGCATGCAGCAGGTCAAGGACCTCATTTGTTTGTACAACTCCCTGATTCTAGCTTCTGCAAGCCACGTGCAACCGGATGCGACGAAGCTTTTTGTACGTATTTCGACCAGTTTGTACACAAAATCATGCACTGGTATGCGGATCGCGAGGTCCGGTTATGTTCAGTTGTATGCGTAACGTATGATGCACATCGATAACCAGCGATTTTCTTCTGGATGGCCAGGGATCCGGATGAACGAGGACCGGATAAACGAGGACCGGATAAACGAGGACCGGATAAACGAGGACCGGATAAGCGAGCCGGTCTGACTGTACATATGCTTCACACCATTGCACTGTGCTGTGTAGAATACTGTAAAACCGGAAGGTCTAACGTTTTAACGACCAATTTTTTTCGTTATTTGAAGAAAGGTTATGGGGAGATGCATCCGCCGTGGGAACGCCACCACCCTCTAGGATCAAAGGCGCAGATGCAGCGCGTAAACGGTGAGGGGTGAGTAGATCAGACCCACCACCAAGTGGTCAAAGACCGAAATCCCATTAGCTGCATCCATGTTTCCCTCGTGCCAGGCCACGAGTTCCCAATTAACTGTGGGTCACAGCACGGCTGGAAAAATTCCTTCCGCTTCCAAGCAGGACTTGAACCTGGTACCCTCTGTTTCTCAATCATGGTCGTAGACCATCCCACTATGCCTGCGGATGCGGAAAACTCGGCTGGGGTCTCACGCGAACCGTGAAATTTATTATTTATTTATTTATACTGATGGGTACCGGGTGGCCGGCCAGGTAGCCATCGTTAAACTTTCTGCACTTTCTGCACGTTATCATGCCAAAATTACGAAATCGTTAAACTTTCTGGTTTTACAGTAACTGCCAGTGAGATTCAGGTGTGTGAATGATGCAGAAGCAGGCACCTGCAGCCTTGCTCTGCGGCACACATGGACCATAGGTGACCGGACAGTCGCCGCGGTGCTAGCTACCTGCCCGGGCCCTACCCCACCGCTGTCCGCTAGTAATGCAGTGGTGCAGGGTGGCACTTTCTAATCGGTGCAGTTGCTTGTGTGTGTGCCGGTGTGTGTGTGCGTGTGTATGTGTGTGTGTGTATGTGTGTGTGTGTGCGTGTGTGTGCGTGCATGCGTGTATGTGTGTGCGTGCGTGTGTGTGTGTGTGTGTGTGTGTGTGTGTGTGTGCATGTGTGTGTGTGTATGCGTGTGTGTGGGTGTATGTGTATGTGCGTGCGTGTGTGTGCTGCCCTCGTGATATCACCGAATGCCCTGCTGCACTGCATCCCTGCACCGCAGGTGTACTATCAGCTGCAAGTGCTCATGGAGCAGCTCGGTCACACGCTCTATGCCCTGAACGCTATGGACACAGATCCAGGCACAGCCATGCCACCGGGAGCAGAGGTCGCCATGCATGCGCATGGGCCTCCACCGCCATCTGCCATCGCACGGCCGACGGCCTATGTCGAAGCCGGCAGAAGTTTACGGCCTCCGCCCAACAAATCAACATCGGTATGTTGCCAATTGAATGTGTGCATTGGCACCGTGTGTTCTTGATTGGAATCTTTGGAGGAGCACACGGCCTGGGAGGGGAAAATCTCAGATCTGCATGGTTTACCTCCTTTTGTCTATTTTGTAAATTCTTGTGAGCTTGTGCTGCCTTGTGGCACGCGAGTCTGTTGCAAACTGCTATGATGGGTGTTGCAAAGGTGATGTTTCAGCATCACTGCTTCTTACGCCATCGTCATGCTTATGACATACTCAGTCACTGACAGCTGTCATGCAAGCGTTCCCTCCTTGACTTTAGAACTCTCCTTCAACATTTCTTCCGTTTCCAATGTGACATAAATCTCCAAAAGTGTCGAACTTACCATCAGCAACGCCCAGACCCAAGCTCATGACCGTAAACAATGGCAAGAAACTGTCAACAGATGCGTTGGCTCATGCTTTGAGTGACATGCGGAACTTATTCCTATCTTTTCACATCTTTCCCTCGAGTGGGTCTATTGTTATTAGGCAATTGTCTGTTATAGTCACCAGTATAAATAAAATCCAATCCGAATCCAACAACTGTGTATTATCATTGTTACCGGTATCAATGCTATGTCGATCCAGCTTGTCCTACTGATTACGCTTTTGAAATGAAGGCGTTCAATTCTGTTCGGACTTGCGGTGACCTGGTTTTCTCTTGACTCCCCTGTCCACCAGCCGCCAGCACACATCAGCCGAGGACCGGCGGCTGCCTATCACATTCAGCAGCAAGCTGGGCCGCCGCCGCCGGCAATGCAGGCAGCCCCTCCGCCGTCCTCGATACGCGCCACCGCTGCTGCGGCTCACCACCACCAGCAGCACGTGAAAGTGTACAGCACGCCTGGCGGCTCTTCGGCGCACGCGGCACAAGCACCGCCGTCGACGTCGCATCACCACTCGGCCACCAGCGCCACACAAGACATTGTCAAGTCGACTTCTAGCAAGCTGCCCGGCGCCTCTCCCTCGTCCAATCGCAAGGAGTCCTCGAAAAGCGGCAAGCACCGCGATGAGAAGAAGCACCGCTCCTCTACAACAACGACAACAACTACAGAGGTGGGTGTTATGTCGTGCATTACGTCATGCACGATCTGTAGTCTTCACTCTCTTTTCATATGCGCATGCTCGGAAATGATCATGGTCCGTTTCCTCAAGCGAAATCTGTGTGAACTTGAAAGAAGTACAATGTCTGTCGGAATGTGAATGGGGGCATGACAGAGGTGAGACATTACCACGTGTACCCCATACTACGCAGTGCATGTATTGGTAGCTGCTGCTGAACATGCTTACTGCTGCTCTATGGTCTCTGTCCTGCACTCCTGTTCACGTAAGACCGTTTTTTTCTTCTTCTGTCGTGATCGCATGATGACATAATCGCATGATGACATAGTCGCATGAGATGATCGAACAGTGACGTAGTTGCATGATGGCATGATTGCATAAAGGCCGATTCATACTTCATGTCGCGTACGGGAAAGTCATCGCGCGATGGCTTTCCCGTACGCGAAATAGTTGAGCTCAGATCAACTTTCTAACGACGTGACGCGTTTCCCGTACGCGAAATGAAGTATGAATCGGCCTTAATGACGTAATTGCATATTAAATAGAGACTTTGTCGGAGGGAAACATATTAGCACACGAAGAGACGAAGCCAGTTGTAAGTCTGATGAGGCCTTTCGTACCAGTACTTCTCACATCAGTAGTCATGGTGATAATGTGACGAAGCACAACGATGTCAATTTATACACCAGCATTCAGCCTGTGTACGTTTCATCACAATTTTTCCTCCAATATGCTGTATAAATTGACGTCGTTGTGTGCTTCGTCACATTATCACCATGTACTGATTTGAGAAGTAATGGTACGAAAGGCCTCATCAGATTTACGACTGGCTTCGTCTCTTCGTGTGCTAATTGCATATTGGCTCTCTTTCTGACTGCCCATTGGATGTACGTCTGTGTCTGCCCTGCTGCTGTTGCCGCTGCTGCGCATAGACATGCTGGAGCTGCGGGGCACCGGCGTCAGAGACGTGCAGTCGCTGCAAGAAGGCGCGCTACTGCGGCTCGGTGTGCCAGCGCATGGACTGGAACGAGAAGCATCATCGTGACTGCAAGAGTCCCAACAAGACTAGTACTAGTGGCGGACAGTAGGTATATAATTCCAGGTCGTCTATCCACCCTTGGGAGCAAACGCCAATACCACCAGCACTGCCCCGGAGATCCATCAGCAGCGTAGGCAATGTCTAGAGTGGTGCATTGTTCCGAGACGGCGGGAACAAACCCGCGCGCCTTGTGAACACGCGTACGCGAGTACACCAGTGTCGCTGCACACTACAGGCTGTCACCTTGATGACTGTGCTGCTGACATGTGCACTGCTCTAGCTAGGCCAGGCCCGGGTACGCTCTCGAGTCGGTTGAGAATATCTCCATGCACCTGTGCAGCCCCGGCGCCAGCGCTGTAGTGCGGCGGATATGGTTTTACGCGCTGACGTGCTCCTGGCTCTCAGATACCTTCCCACCGCCATATAAGAATCTGTGTGTGTTATCCCCGGTATGCCCCATGTGCAAGGTTGACTGCATGCCTCCGCTCTGCTGTGGATAGCAGCAGCACCACCATTGAGATTACGATGGGGCACATCGTTCCTGCTTTCCTTTCCGCATTGCTGCTGCTGCTGTACAATCACGCTGCACACGCTGCACACGCGCACTTTCACATGGCAGTGATCTAGCACTGTTGAAGCATGGTGAGAAAACCGTCAAAAATTATCCGGTTACAAACGCATACGTGCACGAATGTCCATTTCCATTTCCTGCCACCGGACATTCAAGCGCTCCGCTGCAAAGTTGAAGAAGCTACGAGACACACCCTGTAGTATCGGCTCTCCATTTACTAGTACAATTGTCTCCTTTAAACCAATTACTGTCCGCTACAACTTACAGGTCTATTACTCCAACCACACACACACACACGAACACTACAGTCGACTGTCCAAGACACAGAGTCTAGTGGCTCCATCGCTGGCTCTTGCACAGTGCGTCTTCTGCTTATTCTCCAATGTTCGATCCTCAGGTACCTGCTGTGTACTCCAACAGTGTGCTTGTAAGCTATAGCTGTTCGTTACAGCTATACCACTCCCGCCGGTGCGGGAGATCAATCGTTGTTAGATTTGTAGTGTCACTCCCGGTGCGGGAGATCAATCGTTGTTAGATTTGTAGTGTCACTCCCGGTGTGGGATATCAATCATACTACTGCTGATTCTGTTGTCACGTTTGTTGTTGTTACTGGAGTTGCGATACAGCTTCCAATCTCTCTCTTGTGTTGTTTAACTATTGTAAATTTGTTGTTGTTACTCCTGTAGTATCGTTGCTACCCTGTGCTTGATAGCCATTTCTGTTCCACAGTTGACGCGCCTTTCAGCTACTACTATTTTCTAGTTGATAGTATTCCATGTGTGAATTTCACCAGACACCTGCTGAACCGCAGCCAGTTCCACAGTACGGTAGGACAGGTGTAGCTGCACAGACCTACCAACACGGGGCTAGCTGTGCTGGGCGCAACACTTACACTGCAGCTGCCCTGGTGCAAGCAAGAGAGTGTGTGCACTTCCACATTACTCTAATTAATTTTCAGAAATTCTCGGTATGAGAGCAAAAGATCAGGTTAGGCGAACAGAAATTTTAGGCACAGAGAAGCAGTTCCCTATTGGATTGTGTGTGTTGTTAGTGTTTGTTCGGTGTATAGAAAATTTAGGAATGAAACAGATGCACCGAAAGTATAAGTACCGAAAATAAAAAGTACACCGAAAATTTGCGAAATTACAGTACTTCCTGCATGCCCGGGCGGGCTGGCCCGTATTCAGTTGCGTCAGTTTCACAATGCAATGCAGCGGTTCCTTTAAAAAACACCATTTCTGTTACGGAAGTTCTGCTGGATCAGGGAGGGTGCTGGATGAGCAAATCTTATTTACTGCTCCGATCATGTGCAGGTCAGAAGAGTACATTTTTGGTGTATTGAAAATGTTGCTGGTTTAGGGGGCGGGGTGACTGAACACCGACTGCACACACCAGGGAGTAGTACACACAAGAACTGTTTTGTGCACAGTCAACTATGCAGCCCTACTACTAGAAGTAGTACATACTGCTGCATAGAGCTGGCTGTACACCATGACAAACGGCACTCTGAAAGTGTGCTGTGACCGCTACCCAGCACGGCCTCGTATACTGTAAAGCGACAAACTTTCGCGGGGTCCAAATTTAGCGTTTTCATTAAATAATTGGGCTGGTTCACGATGAGAAACTTTTGCGATTCTATCTCTTCAGTCGGATCTTGTACTGCCTACAATCAATGTACGGAGAGGTTTGCGGCGATCTATATTCCCGAATGTGTGATGGTCGCGAAAATAGCGAAATTTGATCTCTAGCGAAAGTTTCTCACTTGACAGTACTACCAAAATAGAGACGGCTAGAATCGAAGCTGCACTACAGCACGAACACCAGGCGGTCAGATTTCAGTTGCCACCAGTGTGCTGCATGTTTGGAAATACAGAGGCCAGTGAGTCATGACTGAGAAGGTAGCGGATGCCTGGCAGAAAGACAGGCACGCAACTCTAAAAAAAGAAAAGAAAGAAGAAGCATTCGGACACAACACAAAAAGTGGTACATTCATTCTTACAGATCTGTAGCACTCCTGCACACAACAGCAGCGCTCTGATACTGATACTCTGATAGTGCAGTATAGTCTGTAGACGTGAATACCAGCAAAGCAGGGGTTTTCAAAATTGACTGGCACAACAGCAGCAGAGAAAAGAAATGAACACAGCTGAACTGCGAGTGCTCCAAGTACTACTGTACGACGCTCAGTTAGCGGATACTAACTAACACGGTTGTGCTAAGTTCTGACCTAATGCATGCACTAAAACTGGTAAAAGAACAGAGAGAGAGAGAGAGAGAGAGAGAGAGAGAGAGAGAGAGAGAGAGAGAGAGAGAGAGAGAGAGAGAGAGAGAGAGAGAGAGAGAGAGAGAGAGAGAGAGAGAGAGAGAGAGAGTGTATGAACACATGTCACCTGTGCCAAGAGATAGATATTATATATCTGGGTAAAAGCTAAAACACATTGTACAAGGACTTCTTCGCCACACTTATCTGTAGCTCTAAGGTAGTGGCTGTGTACAAGTTCAAATAACTGCTGTATATGATGAGAATACGTATATGATGAGTATACGTACATGACGAGTATAATAAAGCAAGACAAAGTGCATACCATTAGCACACTGCACCCAGGCAGCGGGCTGCAAGCCAATACGCAAGAACAGTAGAGTGTGGTGGTTTCCACCTAAACACTCCCCACCGCCACCACTGCCGCCGCAACAAACAGCATAGCAACAAGTGTGCCACACACACACACACACACACACACACACACACACGCGCGCGCGCGCGCACACACGGCAGAATAAAGCAAGCCTGTGAATACATCCTGGCAGCAAGCTGAGAGCATTCGGAACAGGCTGGTAGGCACAATAACAGCACACATTGCCACTGCCACCACCACCACCGCCGCCTCATCCACCAATACACATACAAACGTTGAGGCTACGAGAAGCAACACAACACAAGTGTGTTCCTTGTTTGCACACCGTCACTTCGCAGACTAGAGTGAGCCTACACACAAAACAGGAGCAACGACAACGACAAAAACAACACCAACACAACCACAACCAGCGACAGAACAGCAGCGGCAACACCGCCAATGACAACGACAACACCGCCACCACCACCAACAGGCACAGAATTGGAATCGTCAAGTCTAAGAAGCACACAGCTGAACCTTGCTGCAAATACTGCATGGCCAATGGGCAGAAAGGAAAGTTCTACTTTACGGGTGAGATGGATGGACAGTTAACTGTTCGACTAGGTTCAATTGTGGAGAGTGGAGAGGACGGCGAGGACAAGAACATTCGATTCAATGATTAAACAATGCGTGACATCTTATTGGTCGGAACGTTTCGTTGTCTCTCTTGAGATTGGGTTCGACAAACCCTGTGGTCATTCCTTGCTCCAAGCTTTACCCATATCGATGCATGAGAAGTAGAATCAGACATAGATATTGAACATCTCGTAATGTAAGTGCACCACTCCACACTGCACTCTCAGCTCACTAGCATAATGTGCACAACAGTGGTAGCATGTCCACGTGTCTTCTTGTCTACAATACCGTCGGTCGCCGAAGAACTGGGGGGGGGTCAGCCTCCTAGCATTCATTCTCATTTTCATAAAGTCGAGTCACCGTGTAAACAATGGTATGCTGTGCTTGATGAAATTCTAGCCTGGCCGTTCTTCGGCATTCCGTTCTTCGGCATTCCGTTCTTCGGCATTCCGTTCTTCGGCGCTACCCGACAGTACTGTATTACTAAGCAGTAGCTGAATGGCAGACCAGATGTGCAGATGTGCAGCTACTGGTTACAATGCACAGCACAGCACTCACCGTCTTTCTTCTTCTTCAAGTTACGCCACTTGTCCTTCAGGTCCACTCCGGACCGGCCCCGCAGCGTCCTGTACGACGACTGGATGACGTTCCAGGAGCCCTCGCCGAACTTCTGCACGCCCGACTTGAGCGCCTTCTCTTCTTCAGGCGTCCATTTGAACCGACGGCGTGGCTGTCGCTTGGCTGTAATCATAGCAGAGAGATAGATAGATAGATAGAGAGAGAGAGAGAGAGAGAGAGAGAGAGAGAGAGAGAGAGAGAGAGAGAGAGAGAGAGAGAGAGTAAAAACAAGCAAGAACCACAGGCATTACGTGTCAAGGAAGGAGAGAGTTGAAGTCACATCGGGTGCTGAAGAGCAACAGCATAAATATTTCAAAGAACATGGCAGGCTGGAGGCAACGATTTACGAACACCAGTGTCCTGGCTTGTAGCCAAGGCGACATAGCGTGGCAGTGCGCCCGCCTTCAAGTTTGGGCCCCTTCGGAATCTAAACTGACACTACACAATGCGTGATTCGACTTGAAAACAATCCTCTTTTCCTCAGGCAGGAAGAACTGTGTGCACGCGAGCACATATGCTGTCATCATCACACAGCGTGTACACAGTGTACACACACTACGCGAGTGCACGAGTACAGCACACGAGCGAAGGTGCCGGGATCTCGAAGAAACAACAACACCAGTTTGAACTTGCAGCACGAATCATTACTGACCATAGTCTTCGAGCTGCATGTCAACATCACTGTCAGAGCTTGACCACTGCTCAGCAACACCGGGGGCTTCGGTACTGTCGTGTCTCGATATTCCCTTTCGTCTCTTCATCTTGAGCCTGCGGCAGTAGGGGGCAGGACACCAACAGACGGACAGAGAGAGAGAGAGAGAGAGAGAGAGAGAGAGAGAGAGAGAGAGAGAGAGAGATTGATGGAAAGAAAGAGAGAGAGAGGGAGAGAGACAGAGAGGGAGAAAGACACAGAAAGAAAAAGGCAGAACATATTATGTAGGCTCAGACCTGTTTTAACAAGCCCCTCACTGTGACAAAAGCGATGCACCACCTGCAGTCTTATCTACATACCCACACCTAGACACGTATCATGATCATTTTCCTGGATTGAGACTACACTTGGGATTATGATCATTTGTTGAGACAGTCAATTCCCTGATGAAGGCCAATGGTCGAACCACTTTGAACCTCACATTGCACAGATAATCCGTCTTGCGTACACGCATGTGTGTGTGCGTGCGCATATGTTGTCGTTAGAAATAGTTATCCTCAAGAATGCCATAGTCGTTGTGGTTGTGGCACAAGACTGACCTAAAGAGTACCAATCTCCAATGGTCAGTGGTCAATGGTCAGTGGTCGCATAATGCAGTGATTGTATTGTATAGCACAAGGCCTACGGCGCACGACCTTTCCTTACCGAGTTGAGAGTGTCGGCTGAGTGCTTGCGGGACTGGAGGCAGCCTTGGCAGAATCCGATGTCACCGCTGGTGCCGCCGCTGCTGTACTTCGCGTCGTTGTCGATGATGTGGAGCTGCTTGCGCTCGTATTGTCTTCTTGCCAGTCCTTACGTCGTCTCTTTCGTGCAGGCAACATGTCGCTGTCGTCATCGCCATCCCTGTTGTTAGCACCCGAGTGAACTGCATCGTCCGCAGAGCGAGACCCAGGGAAATCGTAAACTGCATACCGACTGCTTTCTGACTCTGTCACGCATAGATCACGTGCATGCACGCAAACATACACAAGCAGTGCACATGTGCGCACACACACACACACACATGCCCGCCCGCACACACACACACACACACACACGCACACACACAGAGGCATTACTGCCATGAACAGTTAGTCATAACTCCGAACATGTTTGTCCTTTCCTTTATCAATCATCACATTGGCTCAACATCTGAGTTCAGATTCGCAAAATTTCCCACTTGGCATGCACAAAGTTAAACGACTCTGGCATCACACTAGTGCAGAGGAGAGAATGAATAATATACTTGGTCCGCGTCAGCGATATTGTCGCTTATCTTTCAGCTTTGTTTATATGTCACCAATGCTCACTTGGCAGCCCATTTCATTCCAATTTTGGTTAGTAAGTTAGTTTACTAGTACCTGAAAGGTCTAGCTAGATTTCGAGTGGATTTCGAGAGCGACAAGTGGGTGATTTTGATTGATACAGCGCTGCATCAAAATAGATGATCTTGTTACGCTGTGCAGGCAAGAGCAGCGCAAGCCACAAGAAAGAAATCGGCTACTCGGAATCAGCTTCATTTTGCTGAACGGCCGAGATCGCTCACCTCAGGGATCGCTCGTCAAGCTGAGATCGCAGCTCCCTTACCTCCAGCTCAACACCCGGAGTATCCAGGGCGACAAGGAGATTTGCAAGTACTGTACGCGTTGTCGTCGTTCAAAATGAAATCTTGCAAAGAACGACGTCTGATTAGAACCACACAGGTTGTCGTGCTGCCCACGCGAAGTCCTATAGAGAAGGCGACCGTCACGATCGACTTCTCTTTAGAAAATAGCCAGGCAGCGGAGAGGAAGAGAGATGAGCTTGCAAAAGCAAGAGAGTCAATCCCGAACAAAAATATTTGTCACCAGCGCCGAGAGCAGAGAGAAGGAGGACCGAAAAAAGCATGAACACTTCCTTGGACAATAAATTCCTCATAGCTAGTTGTCATTCTATACCTTACCTTCCATCGTACCACGTTTTATCACTTCAAGTGCACGCGTTGATGTCCAAAGTCTAAGTTCAAATTGTCGAAAGATAAGCGACAATATTGCTGACGCGGACGAAGTAACTAGTACTAGTAGTGTTGAGAACTGACAAATACATCCAGTGCTGCGCGATGAAATCAGATCGAGTCAGTCAAGTAAGCGACAGGTGCTGTGCAGCCCTAGACAGGCGCTGTGCAGCCCCAGACAGGTGCTGTGCAGCCCTAGATAGGCCTCCGCGGAATATGCTCGTATTTTACCGATAATTCCTTTGAGCATTGCTCAAATTTTCGACCGATTATTCCCGTAATTCCACCAATAATTCTCACAATATCAATATCTCACTTTACTTCTATTGTCTCACCTTCCCTCATTCTATTTTAGCACTTTGTTTTGTTCCCGTAACACATTGAATGTATATAAATTATTGATTTAGCATGGTTATTCTTCAGTCACGGCTTTCCACTGATGATTGTGACAAGAAAATCGATTTTGGTAAACCTTCATGACTTTGTTGTAGTGTGGCGATGACAGCAGAATTTGTTCTCTTTAGGCCATGGTAAAAAATAAAGTTGATTCTCAGGTCATGAGCCTGTGAAAATCGGTGCGAGCGAGCGATTTTTTATTTTAATTCCCACAATTTTTTTATTTCCAAAGATAGGGTCACACATGTGTACGTCACAGGTTCATAATTAATTTATAATTATTTTATTATTCAGGCCAGGGAGTAGAAAAATACCGGTATTTTACTACTCCCGGATTCATGCCTTTCGCATTGACCGTTTTCATGCACGCATATGCATGCATAGAAATAAAAAAAATCGTCGGTGCGCCACCAAAAATCGATGCGCGCGTACTTGAGAATCAAAGATATTTTTTACCATGGCCTTATAGCTATTATAAAATTCTCACAATAATGCTTTTTTTCTTCCCTTTTTTTGCAGATACCGTACCGCGTACGGTTTTTTGCCACTTGTACGGGCAAAAAAAATCACGGCTCGCGTGAAACTCGGCTGAAAGCTTTTCTTTCTTTCTTTTTTGAAATACCGGGCGATCAACTTCAGGATCACAAGCTTTTTGGTGCAAATGAGGGTGTTATAAATGGAAAAAATTGAAAAGGGGGGGGGGGGGGCATTGCTCAAATTTTACCGATTATTCCACAAAAATTGCCAATACTGTAATTCCCGTTTTAAAAATCACACCGATAATTCCTGAAATTATGCCGGCACATTCCGCGGAGGCCTAGCCCTAGACAGGCGCTGTGCAGCCCTAGACAGGCACTGTGCAGCCCTAGACCTGCGGAAACTGGGATGTTCACTTGTACAGGTTGCAGAGCTGGCTCATGTGATTGGATTTCACTGAGCAGCACTGTGAACTACATTGAGACAGACATCACATGACACCACGTTATATCACATGCCATCATTATTACATCACATGACATGACATCACATGACATCATTATTACATCACATGACATGCCATCATTATTACATCACATGACATCACATGACATCACATGACATCACAATACTCACTGGAGGCACCGGTGGAGCGTGTCTTGCGAGGTGAGGCCAATGGTGTTGCCGCCGAAGATGCTTCTTGATCTCTGCCCGACTCGTCCATACTGGAATCTGTAGTGGAGACGATGCGGCTGGATTCGCCCACTGTCTTCTGGCCAGCCTGTGTTGAAGACGTTGCTGCTGCTGCGGTCGCTGTTGCTGCCGTCGTCACCTCTGATGACTTGAATCTAGTTGCTCTGACGGCTTTGAGCGCACGCTGTAACGGGGCTAGATCGCGGGTTACTGAGCTAGCTGTGTTCGCTGCTTTCGCCGCTTTCGATGCCACCGTTGGCGTGTCGTCGTCCTCCGCACTCTGTTCCGATAAGACCTTGCGCGGCGAGCTCCTGGTCACGCTACTGGAAACACCTTGCGTGCAGTGCTTGCTGCCGGAAGAGAGACGCCGCTGGCTCCTCACAGAGCACGCTGGTGAGGCGCTGCGCAGCGAACCGCTGGCGTGGCGCTCGCCGTCAGAGGCCGACAGGGACTCTTCTGCAGACGCCATCGGCTGCACTGGCTGCACTGGCTCTGTCCTGTCACTGTCCGGCTGCTTGCTTGAGTTAGCTACCAAGTCAGAAAGCAACTGTAGAGATCTGTGAAAAGAAACGACAAACTATTTTTAAAGAGAGGAAGGGATGCACCACGAAGATGTGACCAAGATGTGCACGAGCTATATCCCTCGGCACAAAGAACGTCGAGCAGTACGGGATGATGATGACGAGACTAGTAAGACCATTGGACAAACCGGTCTAACTACAACTCGAAAACGCAAGGCAACAGACCACCCAGCTTGGGAGGCTCAAAGTATTTTTCTGAAGAGAAATATCCCCTGCATTCCTGTACCTGGGAGGAGTTTTTTCTTGTGGAAGTTCTTCATTGCCGGACTGCCCATAAACAAGGAATCCATTTTTAAGATAGATAAGAGAGAGAGAGAGAGAGAGAGAGAGAGAGAGATTGTGTGTGTGTATGTATGTGTGTGTGTGTGTGTGTGTGTGTGTGTGTGTGTGTGTGTGTGTGTCCCATATGGTGCAGTGTATGTGCAGCGATTTCAAATCGATAGATTGCGAGTTCGATTCCCGACGATTATGGTCACACACGTCTTTCTTCTCTTTCTCAGACTCTTCCTGACTTTTCTTTCATTCTCCTGCGTGGTTACCAACAGCCAGTGCACGCCGGAATATGTGGTGTGATGTGTGTGCGGGGGGAATGAAAAAACCAAAAATAGGGATTCACTGGCCAGAAAAATCACTTCAAATAGCTGTATGGTGTAGACCAGGCTGAATAGTGACGGTCAATTCTTCAGCCTTGCAAGCTGTTGAATGGTGCAATCCCAGCACAAGTTGCTATGGCTTCTGTCGTAGCATTGCTATCATCGCCTCTGGCGATGGGCGTCAAAGGTGTGTGTGTGTGTGTGTGTGTGTTGTGCAACCGCCATCGCTGTTCAACGCACTGCCACCGACCAACGGCCAGAGAACGGGACAAGTTCCCGCATATGTGTATCTGCTCTCGCCGGTTCCGACTAGTCTCGCATCTGGAGCGCCATCGGGTGGCGTGCTCTTTCTCTCTCTCTGCTGCCCCTCCGGGGCCCACGTGACCCTAGTGGTAGTGGCTCTACAGGACAGGACAGGACAGGACAGGTGTGTGTGTGTGTGTGTGTGTGTGTGTGTGTGTGTGTGTGTGTGTGTGTGTGTGTGTGTGTGCGTGTCTTACCGGCAGTTGCACGCTGGCTTATTCCCACTAGAATGACCCCAGGCGTCCAAGATGTTCACTAACTGCAGAACGATTTAGACATGTTCACATACACACAGACACAGAAGCAGACACAGAAGCAGACACAGACACAGACACATACACCACACACACACACACACACATCCACACACACACACACACACACACACACAAGCACAACAGGGTTAAGCTTTCTGCCCACGGAATCACCAGCGAGAAAATACTCCGACAACTTGGAGTGTTACGGACGATTTGACGCCAAACCACAGCAGCCTGCATCGCATCACTGAATGTCCAAAGGGTTAACATAATAACTCACAAACGGTGTTGATCCATGGCCGACCATGTCAGCGAGGGTAGGAGACACGCGTTCCCGGAACTGGCTTCCAGAGAAAGACGCACCCACGGAACTCATTAAGCGCTGGCAAGCCTCGTCGCGTCCTCCTTTCTTCAGGTGTAGACACCGCTCTAGACTGCCCTGCAAGCTCTAGAAACACACAAAGACACACACATACGCGCACACACACACACACACGGGCAGGTGCATCCACAATGCACACATCCTCACTTTAGTAATACAGATAGGGGCTTAATACCCGTTTACACACATAGCGAAGTCACTCCACATCACCAGTCTAACATGCCCAGAGCACAGACACAGTCAAGCAGGCCTATGCAAATACAAAAAATACAATACATGAGGGGGGGGGGGGGGTTGGCGTGCTCAAAGCAATCCGATCTCATGAATTGCTCAGCACCCTGCATCAGTGTATAGCTTGGTGCTGGCAAACTGCTCGGTGACTGGGACTGCATAGCACACAGCACTATTGAAATTGAAAAGTCCAGTGTTCGCAGGTCTGGGGCTGCACAGCGCCCAGCGCTAGCTGCCTCAAGCGATTGGGTTGGGTTGCGCAGCACTGCACTTCACAACGTGTGCGGAGAGAGTCATGCAATGGGCCTTGAACTCGTCCAGTCACTTTTTTTCCGTAGCACATGGGTTGGATACAACTTCCCGTCCGTGTACGGGCTGAAGTACACATCGGCCTTAACTCGTACGTATTGACCTTGAGCAAACGCAAGCAAATACGGCACTGTTCCTGATACACATATACAGTCAATATTCGCATCACCAAATTTCACGATTTCTGAGAACCAACGAGCTAGCGATGGCAAATTATCATGGAGCAGTCTGTGGCCACACATATACACTCACTATTGAAGTTTGATTTCACGATGGTTACCCAGCAAAAGAGAGAGAGAGAGAGAGAGAGAGAGAGAGAGAGAGAGAGAGAGAGAGAGAGAGAGAGACAGAGAGAGAGAGAGAGAGAGAGAGAGACAGAGAGAGAGATAGAGAGAGAGAGTGAAAGAGAGTGTGTCTGTACGTGGGAGAAAGTAAATACTTCGTAGTACAAAGTCTTACCCAGCATTCTTCCAGGTCTGATGCTGCTATCTCACTGAGTATGTCCTCGGCTGTATCCAACCCATCGTGTACCACACATACCCACGCAGCCTGAAACACACATACACACATACATACACACACACACACACACACACACACACACACACACACACACACACACACACACACACACACAGGAATAGCACCCGGAACACAAAATGTCCATTATCACCCAGCCGTAGAAATAAGACGGACATACTTTTCCCGTTTGCGTCTTTCCATCAGTGAATATTTTATGACTTGGGGCTCCCCGCGTGCTAGTTTGTACGTGAAGTGTGTGGGTTACAGTGAGGGCTGCGTCCCACCCGCCTGTGTGGATTCACAGGAAGTGCGAGTTACGAAGTCTGAAGAAAATGTTGAACGGTCTCTGCTGGGATGACGACTACACCATAGCTCAGTGATTAGAGCATCGCTAGCTACAAGCGAGGGTCCCTGGTTCGAGTTCTGGTGGTGACAGTCAATTTTTTTCAGACTTTCCCCGTTTGCGTCTTTCCCTCAAACCAGTGAATACTCCCAAGTGCCAATATTATTAGGGCTGAAACGATTATACCGAATACTCGATGATCGATCGATAATGAACAAAAGAACGATTACCGATTATTTTTGGCGCGTTCTCAACATTTTTCAAGAATTAAAAAAAATCAAGAAAATTTGAAGGCACTTTTCGTACATCCGACACTCGCGGAGCTCTACGCGGGACCAGGGAGCACTGCATGTACATGTGTAGGGTGGCCCTGCACTCGCCGTAGTCCTATACTCGGTACCAGGGAGCCCTGCACGTGGACCTATGCGCAGTAGGGTGGCCTTGTACTGGCAGCAGCTCTACGCGGTACCAGGGAGCCCTCGAGGGCCTCCGCGCTGTACCCGTACACTGCATGCATGCTTGCGAAAAATTTGATCGACTGTCTAACGACGGCCGCGTGGACATCAAAGGCCACGCAGTCGTATAACACTGTAACTGTGCACTTCGTCACCGAAACTTGGGAATTGGAGAGCGCTGTTGTCGAGACTGCTCTCTTTCCAGGCTCCCACACCGGCGCGAGGATCGCGGAAAATGTGTCGGACGCAACGAAGAGAGTGGGACTCAAGCCTGCTCAGGTAATAGCAGTGGTGCATGACGAAGCGAGAAATGCGGAGCTTACTGGTCGACACCTGCTCCAAGATCATGGCTGAGAGTCAGTGACCTGTTCTGCCCATCTCCTTCAAAAGTGCGTGCGACATGTGCTTGACGATTCAGCTCCTCCACAGAAATTGTTGAGTGCTGCCAGGAAGTTGGTTGGGAACTGTCGCCATAGCAGTCAAGCAACAGAGGCTTTGCTTGCAAAGCAAGTCCAGATGGGGAGCAAATCACCTGTAAAACTGACCCAGGATGTACCAACGCGTTGGAACTCTGCACATGACATGCTGAAACGTCTGGTTGAGCTACGACTGCCCGTCATGGCTGTACTGACTGCTCCAGGTAAGCAGCAGTGTCATGGTATGATTTGTATGCCTAGTTGCTATACCTTTGCTATTGCTGTGACGGGTTTGGTGGGATTGAGCTGTTACATCGCGAGTCGTGACCTGTTCTTTGCGCTTGAAATAGAATTGTTTCGTCCTATCTGGCTTGCCAGGTTAAAGTCCTGTTTTTTGTACTTTGTTGACTGCCACAGGTCAAAATCAGAACTTGCTCTTGTAGGATACTGAGTGGACAGTAGCCGAGCAGCTGACAGCAGCCCTGGAACCACTGAAAGCAACAACAACAGTATTCAGCGGCCAGAAGTATGTCACCTCTTCTCTCGTGCTGCCTGTTGTGGCCAGTCTTATCGAGAGGTACGCTGAGCCTGTGGAGGACACCTGTGTTCGTGCTGTTGAGAACATCCGTGCTGCACTTGTGTCAGAGTTAGCGGTAACAATGTTTTTGCCGAATTTCGAAGGCAATCCGAGGCATGAATTCCTGCCGGTTTGCCGAGCAGGACGCACAGAAGCTGTACATGCTCTTGTCAAGTTTTTCTTTCATTTCAAGTACTACGAAAAGTCTCTGCATCCCGAGCGTTCTACTCTCTGTTGCAGGTTAAGTTCCGTCTGTCAGATGTGACATTGGCATCCCCCTCGTGCTCGCTGCAGCTTTGGATCCCAGGTTCCGTGGCCAAAAGCTCACGTCCAATGTCCTGTGTGAGCCGGATGCTATCAAGGCTGCACTAGCTAAGGAGATGAAGAAGCACACCGCTCAACCACCTTCTGTTGTCGCACATGAACCGCAAGCCAAACGCAAGCCCGAGGACAAAGGCCTTCAAGCTCTGCTGCATGGAGCTGTGTACGATGCCACAGCCGTGGAGAGTGAATCGCCTGCCCAGGAAGTAGCACGGTACTGCAGTGAGAGGATGGAGGGCATTGAGATCAAACCTCTGGATTGGTGGAAGTGCAATTCCACCAGGTTTCCTGGTCTTGCTGTCCTGGCTCAGAGATATCTCTCTATCACAGCTACATCAGTACCGGCTGAGCGCGTGTTCTCTGCTTGTGGCGTTCTTGTCAACAAACTTTGCTCGTCTCTGGCACCATCATCCATTGACGCTATGATCTTCTTGGCAAAAATCAAATCACAGTTGCACCAGAGCAAGCCGAGAAAAAGGAGGAAATGCCAGCTCTGCCTAACCTGGCTGCTGTGGAGTGCCAGCTTGTTATCAGTGGCTCAGATTCAGAGCTATCTGGGACCGGCACTGACTCTGATTCTGATGCCTCTGAGTGACACGTATATGAACACTGAATAGTACACTATATGAGTATATTTGCTTGAAGTTGTAGTCACTGACCGCCTGTCTCTCAGATTTCTCTTTGCGTCTTCCATTAGTCCCTTCGCCCCATTATGGCGTCACAGCTGCTGCCTGCAACGTGCATTTCAAACTTGATCCTCTTCACATATTGAATAGCAGCCACCATATCCGGTCGTTTTAAAAGTGCTCGAAAAATGTGAAAAATTGGCGTGTTGGATAATATAATACTGCAACTCGTTAAAGGTTATAATCGTTAAGCAAACGAGTAATCGGTATGCAAAATTTTACGATCGTTTCAGCCCTAAATATTATATACCGTATGCCAGCGCCTTTAAAGCCATGGCCTTATATTCGGAACACCGCTGCTTTCCTAGATATTTTAGATGCAAAATGACTCACCCACTACGCCATGCCATAAAAGTCAAAGTCCATACAGATATTTCAATCTATATCCACTTGTTCACCCTTCCTGCTGGCCTGTAAGATTGTTAGTATAATGCATATTCCTTCATTTCACAAAACATACTTCAAATGTCATTTCATTTATGAAGCCCATGGCTTTACAACTGAGACTGGCTTTATAATCGAATATACCGCCATGGCTTTAACGGTGCGGACATACGGTATTCGTCCTCATCAACACCAGTGCCACTACCCTTATCATCAACAGCAGCAACGGAACCGGTAGTTGTTGACGTGACACCCAAATCAGGACCTCTCGTGCCTGCACTATGTTTTCGACTCGAGACTATAATTCTGTGAAGTAGCAGGTGACATAAACACAACACGGTGTGTGCATAGCTGTGCGTACACTACTGTACGCATAGCTATGAACTAACAGGAAGACTACATAACCTACAAGAGTGTGCAACTGCCTGCACAGCCTCTATACATGTACAGTGCTGCGACGACGGCAGAACTTCACATCACCTGACATGGTTCAAGAGGCTACGCTGGCAGACAGTGCAAAGTGACCACAAGAGAGTTGAACCCAAAGCAGGGTTGCTTACAACCCTGCATCTATCGTGCACAGGGTGCGAATAATGTGTACGGGTTCGTCACGTGATGTGAAGTTCTGCCGTCGCCGACCCCATAGCTGGAGTTACACACTTATGGGGGGGTTCTGTACTCTTGATATTACCAGTAATCTCTGAATCTTGAAGATCTATCAGCTATAGTATAAAATAAAATAAAACGCTCAAACTGGCCCCAAAGTCAACATTCAAAGAATGGAAAAGGAAAAAAATCCCCAAAACACAGCCACATACCTGCAGCAGGACTTGGATGTGCAGCACCGTCAGTGGGTGGTTGAGAGAAGCAGCGCGTGTGGAGTCGCTTTTGATCATCTCCAGCACCACCTGGTGTGCCTCCAGCCACGGCTGCAGCATCGCGTCGACGTCCTCGCAGCGCACACCCGGCTTCTTCAGCAGCCGGCCGCCGTTGTGTAACAGCAGGCACAGGTGTGCAAGCTGGACATTGATCGCCTGCAGCTCCTGGTGGTCTTCAGGAACGCGATCCCAGCAGCCTGGCCACGTAGCAACGAAAATCAACCAAAACACCATCAGTTAAAAGAGAGGACCAGCGGTTTATAGGTTAACCGTGCCCATCTGCAAATGCGATACCACGCCTTAGCAATTTACAGCTTTTTTTTTAACAGTGCATCTGCGCCTTGGTCTTTTGGGGGTGATTGCGTTCCTACGCATGCTGATAAGGTCTTAGATACGTGAACTGTGATTTTTTAAATTGTAATAACAGAGTGTGTGAATATTCATCTATTGAGGGAGTTGAAAATGTAAAAGTCTGAAGAGAAATTGACTGTCACCACCAGGACTCGAACCTGGACCTTCGCTATAGAGGTTATGCGATTACATCATCAGTTGGGATGCTTTCGTATGCGATTACATCGTCAGTTGGGATGCTTTTGTATGCGATTACATCATCAGTTGGGATGCTTTGTATGTGATTACATCATCAGTTGGGATGCTTTGTATGCGATCGCATCATCAGTTGAGATGCTTTGTATGCGATCGCATCATCAGTTGAGATGCTTTCGCAAAGCCACGGCACAGTGATGTACATGACTGTACTATGTAGGCCAAGTGAAACCGCCGCCTCACACCGTATACTTAGCGAATCCGCCGACTCGCGCCGTGTACTTTGCGCTCATACACAAAACTGCTAGTTCACCTCCATGGCATCACCTGCACAACCGTCCAGCGGTGCTCCAACCACTGAGCTATGGTGTGACCATCATCTTAGAATAGAACTAAGTCAAGTTCTATAGTATTTAGCAGTGTGTGCCAGATTCTGTACAATGATTTTTTTTCCAGGATAGTACTAGCAGAATGCACTAACTCCAGGCTTTACGAATGCAATCGACTATCATATGCCCCACAACGTAGAGCCGGTGCATTGTGCATTGACACGTGCATAAGGAGGAACAGGTGACGCACCTTCTAACATAGTGCTGTAAAACGACATGGCTTCCGAGTCAGGTCCATTGCGATACGCCTCAACTAAATGATACGCTGAGAACTCAGCCACCAAGATTGGAAACGCAAACGGACTGCGATCACGGTCACCATCTTGCTCCTCCATGCCCATTCAGCTCACCTCAACCGAATGTAAAAAAAATCAATTTCAGCACTGTCAAGACGTCTGTGTGTAGACGTACGTTGAGCAAAAAGCGAAGGGCAAAGGGTGATCCACAGTTTGAACTTCTCTTCGCTCGAGAGCAAGGTAGGCAGTGTGGCTTGTTAACTCCTCCAGAAGATCTGGAGACGCTGAGAAATATCTACAGTATAAATTCTATCACAAACAAGCTGGCCGTTCAGCAAATCCACAACAATCAAGATTACGGTAATACGAGAACTATTCATGATGTTGCACTTTTCAGTTTTTAATCCGCGGGAAATAAGTGAAATTCGAAACATTTTTTTGTCTAGCAAGCAAGGGAGTCGTCATTATGCAGGGAGGTTTAGTCCCACGTAATCCGTGGGTACTTTACGTGTGTGTACCACGTGATACTCAGTGACCCACGTACAGACGTTTTCTGATTCACGACATACCGGTCCGTGTATGGAGGCTCACCCACGTTCCGCCAGAACGTGGGTGAAAATCAGAATGGAGCGCATTGTGATTGATTGATTGATTGATTTTATTTAAGGATTGTCCAAAGGCCGCAGAGGCCTATCGAGGGGCTCTCCTGTGTACTGTTTAAGGAAAGGGAGGAAGAGAGAGAGGAAAGGAGATGAGTGCAGTGTATGGCTTGTTAATCAATACTGTCGGGAGAAAGCGGGTATACCAGAAACAGAATACATACAAGTAGAAAATTGTTGCATGAGGGATGTACGGAATTGCCGGGGGTGTTCAATCTCCCGAATACACGTGGGTAATGAATTCCAAACGGATAGACAATGGAATAACATATGTTGACGGGAGTATGTGTTGATATGGGTTTTAAATAATAAATAGTAAGGTCTGCGTGGACTGGAACTGAGGGTGTAATGAAATTCATCAAGGGTATCAGGGCAGACGTGAAGGATGTGGTGGACTGTGCAGAGACACTGGATGTGGCGTCGCCAACAAAGGGACTGCAGACGAGAAAGTTTAAACAAGTTCTCTTTGGGTGTGTGCCAGTCAAGGTTTCGACTGCGGAGGATACATCTGCTGATGCGCGCCTGCAGTCTGTCCATGCAAGTTCTCTCAGCTTGTGTCAGAGAGAATGTCCAGACTGGGCAGGCGTACTCCAGCAGGGGTCTGACATACCCACAGTAGAGACTGAAAATGACCTTCTCCGGAAGACGGTGGGACATAAATCCCAGCAGACAAACTCGTTGCCGGAGCTGTGAGGGTGCTCATGAAGAAGTTCCCGAAGCACGAAATCAAAATATTGGATGAGCGGGTAGCTTCGTCTTTGACCAGGTTTGGGCCTTTCGCTTCATGCTCTTCTTTGTTCCGTGTGACCAAGAGTACATAACCTGGTTATGTACTCTTGGTGTGACTAAACACAACATTGCAACGTGGGTGCTTCATCCACTTTACGTGGATCACCCACGTACGCGTTTCCGTTACGTGGGAACTTTTTCTTTCTTCTCGGATTTATTTTCATGACATGCTCACTGATGCTTGAAACGTAAAAAAAAAAAAAAAAAAAAAAAAAAAAAAAAAAAAAGAACTAAACCTCCCTAGCTAGCTATAGTCCGTGAGCCAAATCTCAGAATCGGCTGTTTTAGCGTTGACCGTTGCACCCAGAGAGGGACAAATCGTCCTTCAGCACACTGCTTCAGGATGGTATCCTGAAGCGATTTCCACTTGTTGGACAATTCGAAACTGATCCAGGGAGGTCACAGAAGACGCCAAACATCCAACTTTGCTCACTGACGGCAGCTAGCGCGCTAGCGGCCATTTTCGCCTTCTTCACTTGATTTTTTTGCGCTTGTTCACGGATTCTCATTTTTTGAAGCCATGAGCAGATTCCACGAGTGCACATAACGCGGAAACCAGTGCACAAAACTAGATTTGAATTTTTTTACCGCTGAGAATTATCAATCCGGATCATGCATGCAAACTGCAGCAAAGTAATTAGTTACAATGCATTCGTTCAGAACTAAACTGACTTCAAAGAATGTCCTAAATACCTCTCGAGATATTTGTTCACCACTTCCTAGGCGTAGAAGACTGTAGTGAGTAACCTTCTGGAGCGAATGGCGGACTCTGCCCCGAGCATGAACTTCTTTTCATCCTGTTCAAGGTCAAATATTACTCAGTTTACGTTGAAGAATAACAATTACATTCGTGAATGGCTGAACTGAGAATACCCTAATGATTTCTCTTGGATTTCGTATCCCAAGTTCCTCTACTTGGCTGGATAAATCGCCTCTTGACTTCATCATACTGGAATTGGACTTGTAGATAATAGCGAGCAATGAATTGGTGAGTGAAGTATATTTATAATAACCACTCCATTACTGAATACATGTACGTAGAATACTCCAGTATAGAATGATATGAACACTGAAGCTAATGTGACATTACGGTAGTACAATAGGAAGTACGTCACTACTGTTGTAAATGCACGCGCTGATCCTATCCAACCTGACAGCCAATGCAAGAGGTTGGAATTGGCTATTGATTGCCTAACACACTCATACAGTACCAAAAACTATCTGTCATTGCTCATTTTCTACTCAACATAACACAGTTGGAAATTACCAGCTAGGTGCACATATTGGCACATAATGTGTGCTATCGCAGTCCACCGCAGTACACAGTAATACACAGATAACTACCGATATAAGATGATGCCACATACATACATACACGCATACGCGCGCATCCACACGCGTGCGCATGCGCGCACACACACACACACACACACACACACACACACACACACACACATGAAGCAGCTGCCGAATCCGACTATGCAGTCTCCCAGACACGCACGCACGGGCACACACACGAACCAGCTGCCGAATCCAACTATACAGTCTCTCAGGCATGCGTGCACATCCACACACGCGCGCGCGCGCGTGCGCACATACACATGAACCAGCTGCCGAATCCGATTATGCAGTCTCCCAGGCACGCGTGCACGCGCGCACACACACACACACACACATGGACCAGCTGCCGAATCCGACTATGCGGTCTCCCGGGCACGCAACCCCAATGGCAATGGGAGAAGAACAGACTCCAGGAGGACGCCGGATCAGGAGGAGGACCCACCTCAGTGAGTGCAAAATGACCGATGCCCGTTGTCTGTTGTGGTCCTGCTGCCGTCAGTTGTAAATTGATCTCTCTTCACAAGACGGACAGCGACCGAACGAAGGAAAAGCAGATGTCCCTGGTGCCTGCCTGATCACCGAGGCAGAGTCCAGTAGCGGATGGGAGTGAAGGCAATCTAGGGATGCACGTGTGGTCGGCCAAAGCTCCTCTGCTGCGAAACCAGCAACAACAGCATGTCCCGTGGCCGGAACACACTTCCTGTCTTGTCCTGAACATTGCCGTTTCCGGTTACATGTCCCCTCGTGTGAGGGGCCGACAGACATGGAGAGTTTGGCTGAGGCGCTGCTCGCATCAACGTCCTAGCGAGATCTAGACTTTTCTTGAATCCATTTGTTGCAGTTGTGCAGCTGGAACCCTCGGGTTGACTTGCAACATGATCGCTTTGGCTGCAGTGAGCTAAAACCCACCACTGACCTGAAACACGGATCACACTGACCACAGTGATTGTGGCAACACCGTGCCCCGACACCCACCATCCGGCCCGCAGTTGTAGCCTGGGGTGGTGTCACCAACAAAGGAAAGCGCCTAGCACGCACACACATGCACCCGTGCGCGCGCACACACACACATGTACGCACGAGCACACACACATGCACGCGCGCGCACGTACACACAAACACGCGCGCGCGCACACACAGAAACGTGCACGCACACACGCATGCACACACTGGCACACAGACACAGACAATGGTATAGTATGTTCCTCGTCAAGCAGCCAGGTGCTCTGGCTTGGACCTCCAGCAGCGCTGGTTTCGCCCTCGCTACTTGTCGTCTTGCCCTCTCCAGTGCTGCCTGCAACAAAACATTCCCTTCCGTAAACTCTGGGTGGACCAGTTCTCGGTGTTGTGTTGACACCGTGCTCTGCTTTCATGGCATTCGTTGTTCGTATCAGCCACTAAGCTCCTGGTAGGTAGCCCCTTGTTGGCCTTAGGATGTGGCTCTGGGTTCACTACTACATGCACATCACTGTCAGTAAGTATAGATAAAGCAAAATCAGAGGCACTGGTCTTCTCCAGTGTTGCAAATGCTCAGGATCACGTGCGTGCAATTGGTGTAGCACTTTCCATGATACCAGCCACACCATTTGCTCTTCCCTGAGCCCTTGTGCTGGCAGAGAAAATCCCAGACATGGTCGTCCTTCTCTCGAACAGCGCTGACGATGCGACGCCAACTTGTAGTCTCGATATTACTCGCTGCAGGCTTCTCGTTTCTACTAAATTGGGTGCTGTCACACAGACACAAATTCCAGCAATATTACTCCGCTGGGCTGTCATTTGCCACTTCGTTGCCGTCAGCTGCCCCATCTGGCATCTCGCTGCCACTAGAAACGTCTTCCTCCTCTTCCATTGTTGTCAAACAACATCAATGTACACGAAAGGAATAAACTTCAATAAAGTGATCACAAAATCCCAAATCCATATTGTCGTCAACGTCGTTATCTTCTAAAAAATAAATTATTTTTCCTCACTCCACCCGAAATCGTACTTTTGTGCTTACTCGTCCGATGCACACCTCACCACTCGCGTAATAATATTTGTTCTCACGGTGGAATTTGGTCGAGAAAAGAAGCCCTCCCGAAGGTCTCTGGATCGGTTCTGGAACGTCCAACAAGCGAAAACGTATCCTTTGTGATGTCCTTGACCAACACTGTAAGCGGCGACTTGTCCCTCCGAGAGTGCAACGGCACTTGTGATTTTGAGTTTTGGCTCACGGACTACTATAAGGCGCTTTACTACATGTAAAAAAAAGCTAGGCGCAGGCCCTATTGAGTATTATTGTATTGACCATACGTACGACTCCCGGAAACAAAAAAGGTGTTGAAAAGTCTGTTTTGGGAACATAATTGCAACGTTGTTATGGCTACAGATATGGCGTCGGCCCGCTTTTGTATGTACGTACGTCAGATCATGTAGCCAGAAATCGCGAAACTGCTCAAAAGTCTTTTATTTTTGTTGTGAATAAGACCGACCAGCCCGCGCGGCCCGGCGTTTCGCGCTACGAGTACGAGTACTGCTGTAAAAAAAGACAAGTGTAGCAGAAGTCAGAACATTTTACATTATTTTAGTCGATAAGAGTCGCTCTTTGGAAGTAATATTAGTTGCCCATGACAGCTGTAGGGCCTGGGCAGCAGAAGTAGTGTAGCAGCAGCAACTGTGTAGAATCAACACGTGGATATCATCTCAGCTAGGATCCGGCGAGGTCTTGAGAGGCATCAGCAAGAGTACATAACCTGGTATCAGTGACCAGCAGACCCAACTGACTGTCGCATCACCATTCGCCAATCAACGAAGCGGAGAAATTGCTGTTGAGCTGGAAAAAGTCGTGTTGTCAGACCCTGGCGAGTTTGCCAGTCATTGTCAAGTTGTCGCGAGTGATGCACGCCTACTAGTGGCTGATGGAAGTAGTTTTCAGAGCTGGCAGGTTCCTGGGGCAGTTAAACGTGTGAGAGAACCTAAGTCCTTACTGCCAGTGTACGTACCAGTACTCTGCGTACAGACTCTTGCTGCTGTCCAGTACACACACAGGCAGTGGTAGCAATGCCTTGCACGGTCATTATCCGTGTGCCGGAGGCGAGGAACCTCCCGGTGATGGACAGGCAATCAGAGTCGACCGATGCGTTTGTCGAGGTGCGCCTGGGCAAAGACGAGAACCTGCGGCGGTCGGAGGTTTGCAGGCATTCTCTGAACCCGGTCTGGGAGAGCTTGGAGGGGTTTGTGTTTGAGGTGGACGACGATGAGCTGCAGAATGAGCCACTGCAAGTGCGAGTCATAGATCACGATAAGATCAGCGCGCACGACGTCATTGGCCGCGTGTACATATCCCTCGGGCCACTGCTGTTGAGCAACGCGCAGTCGCTGCCGCCGTTCCTGGACGGCTGGTTTCCGATCTACGACACGCTGCGCGGCGTGCGCGGCGAGGTGCGCATCGTCGTCCGACTGGATGTGCTGGTCGACGCTAACCGATACCGGCAGTCCAGCACTGGCGTGACGTTCTGCGCTGCGAGCTCTCTACCCTCCGGATACGCTGTACGCCTGCACGGCTTTGTCGAGGAGCTGGTCTTCAACGACGATCCCGAGCATCAGTGGATCGACAACATTCGCTCGAAGCGCAAGTCCAACGAGGAGCGGCAGAGTCTGCTGCAGAAACTGGCGTGCTCGCTGCAGCGCAAGGTGGGTGTCAAGGTGCAGGAGGCCGGTGCCAATTCGGTGCTGGGCTATCGGCAGTGCATTGACCTGGAGGGCGAGAGTGGCATCGTACTGCGCTGCGTGGGCACCATGGCTCAGGTCGACTTTGCAACCGTTGGTACGCCGCCCATGGACAGCTCCATGACCGACCGGCCGTACACGCTCAACTGCACTGCCGCTAGCGACAGCTTCCACGCCATCTCACCGGCGGGCATCACCAAGGAACCGCTGAGGAGAGGCTACGATAGTCTGCCACACACGCCGTCCGAGGTGACCTTCCACGGAAACCTCTCGGGGCAGATCTCGTCGAGCTTCAGTGAAGAGGACCTATGCCATGCGGTGGCGCAGGCGGACGGGACCGCCGTCGCCACGGCCGTGCCGCGGCGGACCAGCGTAAAGCCGGCGTGGCTGAAGGCGCCCGGTCAGCGGCAGGCCACCGAGTTCCCATTCTTCACCGTGGACAGCCTGCCACCGGGCGTGCTGAAGCACATAGCCGGCATGGTGGTGTGCCGCAGCGTGGAGCTGCTGACCGACATTACCGACGACGACAAGATCATCCGCGTGCACGACGACTGGTGGCACAAGGTGCGGCGCGAAGTGATGTCGCACGCGCACTCCTGCGGCTGCAACGCCATCGTTGGCTACGAGGAGACGGTCGCCATCGACGGCGAGGACGTGGTGCTGCTCTCTGCCAGCGGCACCGCGGCGATCGTGCAGCTCAACTGCGTGTCCACGCCCAGCTTCAAGAGTCAGGAGAGTAACGCCGCGGAGGGGGCGACGACAGCGGCAATGCTGACCACATCTGCGCCGACGTCCGTAGGTGGTGCTCCGCCGTCAGGCTCGGCCACCACCGTCACAACAGCAGCAGCAGCACCACACACTAGTGTTGGTGGAGATGATCGGCATGCGCAACACCAGCAGCTGACCAACCTGTATCGGCATCAGAGCAGCGGTGTGGTGCCCAGTGCCGAGTCCTGCGCTCTGCTGCACGTGCCCGCTCAGCGCTGGTCCGTCCTGCAGCATCGGCAAGACCAGGCCAAGTGCAGCGTGTGCGGCCTGGCCAGCGTGCCCTCCATCCTGCTCACCAGCATTGAGATTCCACCGGAGCTGGTCGTTACCGGCCGCTCCAGCATCATCCAGTCGCACGTGTGCCGCGTCAGGAAGAAGGTCGGAGGCGAGGCTGGTGCTATCTCTGCCAGCTCTGTACTGCCGTTCATCGAGTCCAACCTGCATCGGCAGCTGCTAGTCAAGCTCCAGCGCAACAAGATGAACGCAGTGTTCGGACTGAAGACGCAGCTGTCTATCAGCGAGTCTTACATTATCGCCGTGGCGACGGGCACTGCAGTGCGACTGGCCGCATTGCCGCTGGCTGGAGAGACGCCGTCCGTCCCTGGTGCCGGTCCCACTGCTACTTCCACTCCCTTTCCTAACGAGGAGGCACGGGCAGATGGAAGCGGCAATGCTCAGGCTGCTCCTGCTGCCAGTGGTACAGACTCTTCTCACCAGCACCCGCAGAGACGGCCATCGCTGGTCTCCATTGATCACCAGGACAGCCGCGGCGAGCGCTTGGCGGCCTTTGGCGAGGGAAAGGGCATGTCGTTCCTCGAGTTGGACGACGGCACCAGCGAGGAGGACGGCATGCCATCTCTCAACGACCTGTACGAGAGTGCGGACATACTGTGCTCCAGCTTGCAAGCCGTGCCCGGTTCTCCTTTCCTGCCGTCCCAGGCGCTCCACTCGCACCAGCTGTGCGTCGTTCACCGAGTGTCCGTCGACAAGCCGAGCTCCGTGATGGCCCAGCTCAACCGATGCATGTACAACGCACTAGCGCGGCTCTTCTACCGCGCGTCGCGCATGCAACAGTGCTGCATCTGCAAGCTTGACTTTGACGTGAAGCAGTTTGAGGAGGGCGAGGATCTACAGGTGACAGCCCGGGCAAACGTCATGGCGTACGCCACGCACAGCCACTCGCGGTCTATCGCCGAAGTGGAACACGTTCCGGTGGCGGCAATGTCCTCGACAACGTCGGCAGCGCCCGCCTCGGCTGCCGCTGCTGCCGTCGCCACCGGTGTGCCGGCCCCGGCCGTGCCTGTGGCTGCTGTTGCTGCCACTTCGGCTGTGGTCGCAGTCCAGTCACCGGCGCGTCCCATCCCGGCAGCAGCGCGCCTGTCGTCGTCGCAGCGTCCGCCGCACATCGGCCGCGCTCGTGCCCCGCTCTCGTCGTCGTCGCTGAGCACCGCGCTGAACCGCGTGCTGATCTCGTCGTGCGACATCGTGCCCGGCTACCAGCTGCTGCAGCACCTTGGCCACGTCTCCATCTTCCTGGTGCGCGAGAGCACGTCACTGCGGGAGGATCACGGCTCGCTGGGCGGCATGCTCTATGAGTTCCTGGTGGATGCCCAGGCAGTGGCGCGTAGTCATGTCAGAGCGCGCGGTGGCAACGCACTGCTCAGCTTCCACGTCGAGATCTCCGAGCTGGAGGAGAACAGTAACCAGGGCCAGTGCTTGCTGGCAGTCAGCGGCGATGCCGTTCTTCTTGCTAGCATTGACCGAGATACGGCTGTGTGATGTTGTTGTTCTTGCTAGCATTGACCGAGATACGGCTGTTTAGCATGCCGCCGCCTCAGCCTCGATCATGTGTATCTGATACAAATACTAGCCAAGGGAAACAAATGACGGACGAGCTGTGCGTGAGCGGGCAAGATCTGCCCCTACTGGTCCGAGTCCGAACGTGTACTCCCCCAGACCTGCCACGACGTGTGCTATTCCAGCGCCAGCTCACAGTTGGAGTCGCTAGTTCTCTGCTGCTGCACTGATCCTGTTGCCGTTTTCCTACGGTGGGGAGCAGTTTATCAGGTTGGACAGCATCTGTACTACACCAGTTTATCAGGTTGGACAACGTCTGCGCTGCAACCGGCACTGAACACGGTATGCAGTTTGTCCTGCTACACACAAGAGCATCTCCTGCTTGCTGCACTGGGCATTTGGGCTGCACCAGGGCCGCATAGAAATGCATTTGCTGAGCGGCTTGCATTCAAGTTGCACACGCACACACGTGTACTGGACTGAGTAATCTCCGCAAGAGCTGGTGTGGACTGCTGGTATTACAAGGGCCGGTTGCTGTTCATCTCCTCTTGGCGAGCGTGCCGAGGTACATTGGTGAGAACCCAGTGATGTAACAATCTACTCGCTCGTCATTGCTACACTTATTGTCTCTCTTCTGACGTTTCTTCATCGGGTGACGTTTGCTTGGACATCGTGGCCGGTAACTTTGATGGCTTTGTGACTGATAGCTGTATAGCTGCATCTACTGGAAGTAAGTTTTAAAGGAGGTCTTTACCGCCACATCATGTCTCTGAATATATTTAAAAAAACAAAAAAACAATTTGCTTTCACTAACTGCTACCTGGTGAAGGGTTTTTAATTATGGATGCTGGCACCCGAACCCCCTCACCATTGGCCTTGCTGCGTACCCGAACGGCCCACTGAGCTGAATGTAGCATACTTTGCCAATACCGCTATATGTGTGTGTGTGTGTGTGTGCGTGCGTGCGTGTATGTACTTCTGAAGCTCTCCTGTCTTTGTTTTAGTGCTGGCCATTCCAATACCCGTGCTACAGGAATCTAACATGCCGCTGACTGCCCGTAGAACTTTGCTGATATCTCCGTAGTATCGCGTACCCATGCTGCTTGTGGTGTACATATACTGAAGTAGTAAACTATGATAATATATTATAGTTAAGTTGTATGTGTGCTACTACTATGGCTGTACTGCTTTGCCATACAAAAAAAGAATAAACATTCACTTAGAAAAGTTTTCGCTGCTGAGGCATATTTTTAGATCACAACACTCCATGGCACCCTATTGTATAATAATTATTGTTATTTCCTTGCCGGAAATTGACTACTACTAGTACTGGTACCGAAGTTTATTTTATTTTATCGTGCATTGCTTGAGCAGTTTATTTCTGGCCAGCGTCGCAAGCTTGTCGATTCCTTGCGAGGCGTTGTACTTATGACGTCTGCCTCGACCCGTAGTCGTTGATATCTGTGTGTGTGTGTGCGTGTGTGTGTGTGTGTCTGTGTGTGTCTGTGTTGGTTTCAGGGTTCGTATCCTTTCTATTTGAAGTGTACATACCTGTTAACCATCGACCACTTCTGGCAAGATTGACTCTTGTGTAATCATGGTGCTAGTGAAGCTTATATCAGATCCACTCTGATTTAGCCACCCACAGTAATACTAATAGCAAGTATTACCTTCACTGGGGGCAGGGGTAACTGCAGTTGGATCCCGGGACGGATACCTTGATGGCGTCAAACCTTTTTTCTGCACCTTGTCCTCACCCACTTACTGTTTGTTTGTTGTTTGCAATTTGTTTATTTAAAGTCGAAGAACAAACAGGCAAATTTGCCTAATTACATGATATCGACTAAAAAGTATAATAAAGTATAAAAGGCCGGTGAAGGTAATGGATCCTGAATAGAGTGGGTAATAAAGTATATATAAAAGCCAGTTAGGCGGCCAGTAAAGGAAACTGGGGTGTGGTGAGCCCATAAGTGAGATCATTTTCAAGTCCACCCAGAGTTTCGAGATTTCAGGGGGTGTCGGCCACGTTGGCCGGTTCAATGGCCAATCGAGTCATATTTCCAAGATTCCTTTTGAATCTCTCTCCCCTCTTCGGGGGAGACTCGCGGGACCAGTCATAGCAGTGAGCAAGCACAGTACAGTATGTGTGTGGCATGTGATGTGTTAGTGAGTCCGCACCTGCTCACTCAACCCAATGCTATAAGCCTCAGCTGCCGTATCGGCCATGCATTGTCCGTCTTGGCGGGCGGTGGGTGTATTTTTTTACTATTTCTTCTTCTTTTCAATAGCCTCTTTTTCTTTCTTTCTTGGAATCATGGCAAACATTGACGATGGCGTTACTGAGCGGTACACAGCATCGGGAGTCTGCGGGCAATGCAGGCGCTGTTTTGTAAGTAACCTGGAGGTCTACCACCTGCATAATTATATCCTCAAGGCAAGAGTCCATAGCCCCCTCCCCCTGGTTGTCCCCGGGACTCTTGCCCCAGGGGGTTATCAGGCAAGAGTCCATAGCCCCCTCCCTTGGTTATCCCGGGACTCTTGCCCCAGGGGGTTATCAGGCAAGAGTCCATAGCCCCCTCCCCCTGGTTATCCCGGGACTCTTGCCCCAGGGGGTTATCAGGCAAGAGTCCATAGCCCCTTCCCCCTGGTTATCCCCGGGACTCTTGCCCCAGGGGTTATACACAGGGGTTATCATGGTTATGCAGTGTGCACTCTTGGTGTTGGCTACATGACATTGTACGTATTATATTATGACAAGGAACCGAGTGTACATGTATATGGAGATTATACATGTATACACCAGTATGAAAATTTTTACACGAGGTCCCTTCAGGGGCATCGGAAGGTAATTTAGAGTGGTACGGTCAGCCATCTGAAGTACAATTTACTCGTGGGGAGGCTCGAGGGGCGGCTGAGCCGAAAATTTTGGGAATTTAGAGTCCAAATCAGTGCATTTTATTGATTTACAGGGTACTTGGGGCAAATAGTGGTACGGTCAATACCCGGCATAGTGACCGTACCGTGTCCGACGCCCCTGCCCTTTGGTATACAGTGTAGTATATTTTATACCTCTCCATATTACCGTGTGTGACCTCCTAATGCATGGCTTGTTCCTCGCTGATAACTACTGCTAATTTCCCTTAGCGGTGTATATGGAGATACATGTATATACACCACTAAGGGAGAGCATGCCTAAGACTGTAAGTGTATATGGAGTGAGGTGTCGGAGTCGTAAAATACTATGCCGACATTTTACGACTCCCTGGCCAAGACTGTATACCATGGTTGGTGTACTACTCTTGAGGTGTCGCAAGGGCATATTTGTTTTGTTTGTATTCTTTATTTAGAGTGGGAAGTCCAAAACAGGCCCTAGCCTAATAACAATGGTCCCACTAGTGAGGGAATGCTGTATATCTGTGCATAAGGACCAGTGAGTCACGGTAACAGCAACTAGTAGGGAAAGAAAAAGAGAGAAGAAAAACAACTCAAAACAGGAGTTGCGACTATGCATGTACATGTACCAGAACTTCTGAAAGTTTGCAAAACAATGCTTTCTTCCGTATAGGTATGTCACTATTTTGCACTGTGATAAAAAATTAAAGGGGAAGTTAAGGCAAAAATTAAAATTTCACCAGTTGTAGTCTTCGGGGTGCTGAGTCGAATGGTCGTGGTCCGAGGAAGCTGAGACGCTCCCTTCCTACTTGAATCCCAATCGAACTCGCGCACTTCCACCGAAACTGGGTGACTGCGCCCTACTAGATGGGGATTTGTATGCAAAATGTCACTAAAAGCGCCATTTCGTTCTTATAAAAGCACGGATGACCGCGATTGGCCCGTGTGTTGTAGTCTTTTGGACGCTGAGTCGACTGGTTTTGGTCCGAAAAGGCTGCGATGCGGCGTTCCTCCTTTATTCCCAATCGAACATGGTTGAACAAGCGGTCACGTGCTCCTGCGTACACCAGTCACCTGGTCACCGTGCCTGCAGGGTACAACTTACTAGCCTGTTTGACCTTTTTTGGGTGCAGTCCTGTCACTCGAGTTGAACCCGAGTTGAACCTTGGTGTGAAAGTTGTCACCTGCTGGCGTGGTGACCAGGTGATTTGGGCACCCAGGACCACGTGACCGCTTGTTCGACCATGTTCGATTGGGAATAAAGGAGGAACGCTGCATCGCAGCCTTTTCGGACCAAAACCAGTCGACTCAGCGTCCAAAAGACTACAACATATGGGCCAATCGCGGTCATCCGTGCTTTTATAAGAACGAAATGGCGCTTTTAGTGACATTTTGCATACAAATCCCCATCTAGTAGGGCGCAGTCACCCAGTTTCGGTGGAAGTGCGCGAGTTCGATTGGGATTCAAGTAGGAAGGGAGCGTCTCAGCTTCCTCGGACCAAGACCATTCGACTCAGCACCCCGAAGACTACAACTGGTGAAATTTTAATTTTTGCCTTAACTTCCCCTTTAAAAAATAATAAAATGCTGTAGTGTAGGCTATAGTATTATGGACAGACTAGACAGTACTCGATCAACTATTACTTGCACCAAGAGTCTTGGCAAGACTACAGACTGTGCGTTATCATGGTCGCTGGTTATCTCCTGAACCTTGCTTGCACTTGTGTAGATCTGATCTACGATCCATGATCCACACAACAAAGGTTTGAAAGACAGCATCATTTTGATGGCATCATGCAGTGATGGCACCATGTGAATGGCTTTGTTCGCGTACTCGGACTCTACTCAACTCGCACAAGGCTGCAGCTAGAGTGGAATCGACTTGTGACGTTGTGTCGTAGATCTACAACACGGATAGCATTAGGAGTGGTGTCAGTCTTTATCGGCAACAGAACACAAATCTCCGGAACATACACGTACACACGCTATTTGCGCTTTGTCATCGCCATGGATGCATGACCACTTGCACTGCAGTGACTGCTCTCAGTGCTCTGCATGCTGAGTGATTGCTGACACCAGCTATGTCTATGAAGTATGAGTATGACCATGACTGCATGAGCCTGAGCTGATGTCAGTGATGAGGCATGATGACCATGATGACGGACTGACATGTGTGCGTCGAGCGCGAATCTGTGCGATCTCACGTAACGTTCTCACGCGACTGCGTCTGTGTGTGCGACTGTGAAGTGTGATGTGCTAAGTACTAGGTAGATCTGTCATGTACACGAGTAAGTCCGAGTATGGCTGTACCAACGCTGCATGCCAAAACTATGAAAACAGGGTTTTGACTTTTGTGCTCCGATATTCAATGATTATGTACATGAATCTACTGTAGTACTGACTGACTAATCATCGCTACTACTACTACTAGTACTAATCTCGCAAGTGGCAGCCTGAAATTATTTCCAGAAGAAGTTGCGATCGGGTGGGTCAGCTCAGCGAGTGAAGATGCACATCTAGTTGTACCCGAGTGGCTGCTGCCGTTGTTTTCGCGTTGAACACTCGCCATTGCTGCGTGTGCGTGTGCAACAGCAGCCTGTGGAGTAGTGCGTGCATCTGTTATGACTTGAGTGCGTTCTTGTAATTGTGTCGACGGGACAACGGGCGTCAGTACAGTGCACTCGCAGGCTGTGGAGGAGGAATGGGAGCGACTAGGGTGAGCCTAGCGCCGCGTTTGCAAGGTGAGTGCCACGTACACGGGTGATCGCTAGCAGCGTGCACGGGCGCTGTGTGCTAGGAGGAGGTGTTTGCATGGCAAGACACATAATGTCCGGCTGAAAAGTGAAATATATAAGTTTTGTATTCTCACGGAAAAAGCAATTGGAACGCCGCCGCTGAGAATACGTAGGACGCCGACGACAGCAATAAACATACACACTCACAACACCAGCACCCGAATGAATGCATGGATAATTGTCCATTCGAGAGAGGGACAATGAATTCTTCAGACATCACTGTCCGTCCTTGAAAATAAGAAGTAGATTCTACACTCCACTCCTGCCATGATGGACTCCACGCTAGACCTAGGCTAGGGCCGCTACAGCACTAGGCACTAATGTTGAGTTCGCAGCAGTGCGTGCAGTGTGTAGCATGACAAGCCATGAACCTATACTTGTGTTATTTTGGAAATAAGGTCACATGTTCAGCGTACAGATGGAGACACACGCCACACAATAATTGGCATGTGTAGCCAAACCCTCAGCTCAACGTTGTCCACACAATGCAAAAAAAGCACTTAGTGCGTATGCGTGTATATCCGGAACAGTAGTGGCTGGCGTTGTGATCGAGAGTAGCAATTGAAAACTCACATCCTGTTATATAGGCTACTGAATAGTTCATCTTGTATTTAGGTCATTGGAAGGGAGTCCCCAATTACACCCCAGGTAGAGTGCACTTAAACAGCCCTATAAGGCTGTAGTGTTTGCTGCACATGGCGACCAAATAATTCAGGAGTGAGACGGGTTTTATTGTCCAGAATACAACCGACTTCCAGATCACTACTGAAGCATATCTAAAATAAAAATTATGACAAAGGTGCTAGAGAGGTCAGCAATATGTGCCATGTTTGGCAGGTAGTGAAAGTGCTACGTACATGACAATTGCTGAACGTCCTCCGCCGAGTCTGCTATCTACGTGACAATTGTATATGCCCAATGTATTGTACTTGAATAAAATTCTATTTTACCTTTCATGGTATCTCAATTTTTTCACGTCTACATGACTTTATTTTGCCCGTAAAAGAGGCCGTTACCCCCGGAAAAAAATTGTATATGCCGTGCCATTTATGTGCAATGTCAACACCTAACAAGGCTGTGTGCGAGTGGCACCAATGGAAGGTGCCAGCGTCAACAAAGCACTGCACTTCCTTCTGAAAATGACATTTTCGCTATGAAGCGAGCTTTGTTTAGCTCGCACGCCAACACTCCCCTAATCCGGACCCCTCATACCCAGGCACTCCTCTCATACCCAGGCACTCCCACCTACTGGGCCTCCTGGAGTCCCGAGAATAATCGGCTTTTGAATGAAAAGTGGTGCCCTAAAAATTGATGGGCAGTAAAATTGGTTTTGCATGCAGTCGGTTTGGATCAGAGAGTAGTAAAATACCGATATGTTACTAAGTTACTCCCTGGTTTGGATGCTCTGAGTTGCACGCAGTCCTAGATATGTGCCACGGTATCGCGGTCCCAGTGTGCCCGGATGAGTGGGGTTCCACGCTTGCTCAGGGACAAACAGTGACGGTCTGCAACTCGAGCATGTCAATCCTCCACGAGCAGGTTATCTCCAGTACCGCCCGGATTCGCACTGTAGGTAGTACGAAAAAAAAAGAAGAAAAAAGCGGCTAGTGTCACCCGGGGGTGTGCTGTATGCTCAGTGTACGGCCCTGTG